CGAACCGGAATACTAATGAGGACTTGGCCCTACGGCACTCCGAAACAGCTGCATTTTGGATATCACAAAGCCAATGGCTGTTTAATTATCCCCTCTATTATCGGAGGTACAGAATAACAGTGTGCAGAAATAACGAGGGAGTATAGAAGACCATCCCACCGTTTTCACATGATTCCGAGACTACGCTCGCTTCACGTTTGCCCCGAACCACTCTTTGGATTTCTTGAGACCACTTTGAAGGTATAGTAGAGTGTCGGCATTAGTGCCAATGTCAGTGTGTATGTATCATGTCCAGTCTTGGGTGGGATGTTACAATTGATGGTTGTTACTGCACTGGCAGGGCCTGAGAACGTGGTTTTACGCCCAACCCTCGCGCCAATGTCACTGTAATTCTACATGCTCAATTGGAGAACGGCTTGCTTTTGTGTTTGAGTCTTTCGACATCAGCCAACGAATTCTTCTTCATATTTAGTTGGGCGAGACATATAAATCGCTAGGGTATTCCATCACAAAGAAACATATCATTCGAAATGGTGGACCAGCCCATCCCCATCTTAGGGACAACGCTATCCTTAATCCAGAGTGTCCCAATTATAAAACTAGAATGTAGCCTTTGAAAAGATCGGAAATTCAACGACCTTATCACCCTTCACATTGCCGCAGCAGCTGCAACACGTGGAAGCCCTCGATATCACAGCCAACTTTGGCTCTTTTACCACTCCTGAAGTGACAGACTCGGCGTTGAGCAAATCAGCAGCAGGGTACATGCGAGACGTCAGGTCGACAAATGACGGGGTAATCGGGGTTCATCCTCAGTGTACGGCACTCCAGCTCCCTCCCTGGCCAAGTCATTGATCCAACGTTGATTGGGTTGAAACTCCCTGTCAGCGGCAACGGCAGCTACCAGATACGTCCAAGCGAGTGCATTACCCACGGTGTGAACCTCATCGCTGATATGATTAGTTGCGTAATTGCTCATGCGAGAGTACGACTCCTCATCGGTGAAGAGGCCATGCAGATATTTGGCAACCGCCCCAATGTCGCCCCTAGGAACGAGAAATCCACTCTTTCCGTGTTCAATCTGCAGGGGTATGCCTCCGGTATTGGTGGCGATGACAGGCTTGCCTTTCCGCAGGGCCTCAGATACCTTGACCTCGAACCCTTCTCTCGACGACAACTGCAGCACGACGCTTGCCTTGGATAGTATTGCATTCAGCATCTGATCGATGGGCCCAAGCCGGATGACGACGATGTCTTTCTTGAGCTCTGGGAATTCTCTGGAGATCAGTTCGATGGTCTGGTCATAGCTTTTTGCTCCGTCAGGATCGTCAATGGAGCCGTGACCGCAAATTATCAGTTGAGGCTGCTTCTCGATTGCTTCTTCTTTCATGTATTGGCGTCTGAGCTTGCCGTAGCTTCTAACCACTTCGGGAATCCCTTTGGAGGGGTCAAAGCGCGCAATCTGTGCGATGTAAGGACGTCTTGGATATTCTAGTGCAGGGACGCCTTGGTCATGACAGCTTTCTCGAAGCTCGTGTAGGTAATATTGGATATCCCACTCATCCATTGTCTTATTCAGACCATCGAGCCAGTCCGAGGTAGCAGGATGCCAGCCCACGGACGCTGGTTTCACGTCGTGCGGCACGAAGGATCTCACCGGATGGCTGATGAACACGTCGGCAAGTCTAATGCTTTCCCACAGCGTTTCCCAGACATGGTGTGCAGCACTCCCCTTCTGATGAACGAGATCATCACAGATTTCAATATGGCTCCTGAAGATGACTGGACGATCTGGATCCACGCTTTTTGAGATCTTCACCAGTTCTGGCATTTGTGGATCCTCAACAATTATAACGTCCGCACCATTCTCGGAACGTTTCTTGAGAGGACCGTTCGCTGAGAGCCAATACCTTTCGGCATTTTCTCGGATCCAGGTTGATATTGATTGTAATTCTTCATCTGTTGCCCGTGTATCTGGCGTTGCGGCGCCTTGTAGAATGTTGTGGTTGGTCTTTGTCAACCGGAAGACCTCTGGCCGGGGTTTCGGGACGTACCTAACTCAATCAGTAATCTCTACTCAAAGGATGAATCGATTCCCCGATACCATTCTACACGAACTCCCTGAATTCTCAAGAATCTCAGGAGGGCGTGGCGGCTCAGCGCGACTCCCCCGCCTTGTGGTGTCGCGCTAAAAAAGGCGAAGCGAAGATTCTGTTCTTTGATTCGGCTGATCCAATAATTGACCGCTCGCCACGTGGTAGGCCTTACGGTTTTCTCGTAGTCTGAGAGAGTCGTGATCTGGCACTGCCCAGCAACATCCACTTGCACTTCATTGCGATGATTAATGGACAGTCGAGGCTGCTTTGCCGGACCGAAGAGACTGGGTCGATAAGCCCCATCAGTCACAGAAACCGGGTTACAGGCCTTACCTCAAGCACTTTCGGGCTACCAAATCTGCAAGTTCATCGACATCTTCGCCCTTCTGTGCACCTATCATCCTTGCGCCTGTGAACACAGTTGGCACAGTATCGAGAACTGCCCAGAGCTGGGCACAAAGATTTGGAACTTCATCTGCAAGCTCAGCCGTTACGCCAACACCTAGGATTTTGCAACGATGGGTTTCGCGGTAAGTTGCGAGGGTAGATATAATATGTTTCTCGATTATAATAGCTTTCCTCTCTGGTGAAATCTGGTCCACCCAATCGATCATGTCTGGAACAGGCAATTAGTCTCATCCAGATATCATTACTCGCTTCCCTACCGACACGGAAATCAACATTGTAAATGCTGTCATGCAAGCTGAAGCCCAAATAAATGTTCGATCCCTGGACAGGGAAGACGGCCAAGCCAGCCCAGATTTCCTAATTTCATGTGAGTGGACCAAGGTCAATAATCGTTAAGAAACTTCATACGTTGTAGCTGCGGCTGTGATCTTCAACCTCAACGTCTAGCTTCTGCAGACCCCGTTGGTAGTTGGGCACCTGCCCCATAAATGGATAGATGCATTTTGGTTGAAACTGGGTGCCATCCTCCTCAGAGGATGGGTGAAACATTGTTTGACCTTTTTGACTAGATGTCTCCCCTAAGAACAAAAGGAAAAGAGAGAAAAGAAAAGAAAACCAGACGGAGCATGCAACGTGCGAAGTATTCGATAGTTCAAGTTTAGTCGGGAAGGTCCTCAACTAATTGATCTAACTCGATTTCATAGAGCGCTGCTAGATGGCCAGTTATGTGCCATTAGCAAATATCTTGAAGGGAAATGTTCCTGATAAGAACAATGGCCGGAGGACGAGGACTACGAGGAGAGGGGTTGAGGTCAGCCAGGGCCGAGTTCAGCACACCAATGAACGCCAGTAGGCAAGAACATTCGACACGTCGCTCACATCTGCGATCTGATTCGGACAAGCCACGGCGTCAGCCCAAGAATTCTGCAAGTTACGACACCACCGTTGCAAATGGCAGTATTGGGTTTCCGTTAACCCGCCAGGTTTACGAACTTGTTAACCCCTGGCTAGGTTTGTATGACCGATACTTCCGGATCCCACGGGTGAGTGTGCTGCTTCTGCAAACCACACAGCGGACTCCAGAGCATTGACTGCAATTGGATGCCACGATTCGGTGCTGGACAGCTCAAGCGAGGGTTGGTTGCAATATGCGCAGAAGCAAAGCGAACGGCGAAATCGTATTGTTGCCCTCCCATTGGCGAGTATCAAATCACTTTATTTTGTGATGATAGTGTCCACCCAAAATTGAAGTTATACTGTATAAGTTGGAGCGTTGATATCCTTTTTTTCACCAAGCGTTGTATTCGTCTCTTTTAATCTCCGTATACCACAGATTCAATCCTCTGCTCAGACAGCAGTTTGATAACCATGACCACATACGCCGAAATCAAACCTTCCTCAAAGGAGCCCGAAGTGACAATCTTTAGGTCTCGAATTGCAGTTCTCGCCAAAGTATAGGCCCAGCAATGGCCTTTTGCCTTACTCCTCACCCCGTTGCCCGCAAGACCCTTCTGGTAGATCCTTGTCCCGAAAAGGTAACCATTGAGCGATGTTCATTGAGTTGGAAACACTCGAGTTCGCCTAAAATTGCCTCCCCTGCGGCTATTCCGCTCGATATGGACCTTCAAAGCTTCGAGATCCCCCAGGCTATATGACGTTTCACTCAACCGCCAACAACAACGCTGGCTGCTTGTGGCTGCTGAGGCCACGGCTTCGCACTTACCAAGTATTCGATAAGCGACCTGTAGTGACGGAAACGTTGAAAACGAAATCCTGCCTTATTCACAAAATACATTGTCGCTCAGTCATAAGATTGTGCACGCACACAAGATCTATAGTGACAGTTGGACTTGAATTGATGGCACCTGCGCCAATATCAATTATATGCTTCTTTTTGGAACAGGGCTTAAAGGGAAGGCAAACGAAATAGCACAAAGGTGCACCCATCGGCCTGGTATTGAAGAAGCAGTCAGCATCGCTGCGTAGTTCGACAGGGACGGCGTCCAAGTGTAATGGTGGCGTTCCCACGTTTTCTCCTGAAAAGGAACACGAAAGAATGAGCATCACGTAGAAGATGATTCAATTCGATTTGGCGCTAACAAGACGTGCAGAAGGTGCACTCGATCACCAGTTAAGATGAAGGTGCTATGAACTATGGCTATACAGCCTTGACTTGACTTGACTTGACTTCATTTGCCCTGACCTCTCTCTAGGCTATGCAGCCGTGGACTGAACCGCCCTTGACCGCCCTCCCCATTGCCCACAAACCGTGACTTTCTCCCGTACAAAGCTAAGACGTGGGGTAATCCCAGCCTAGTAAGATCTCCTCCAATGACCGATGATCTTCTCCAACCCCACCTTTCAGAGGGGAACAAATCACGTGCCACCGTGTCAGGAAGATGGTTCGCGTGGCGCAGTGTTCGCGTTGCGATTCTTGGGCCGATTCTTGCCCATCACATCATCTCGATCTCCAAACGTGTCCTGTACCTGTGCACAATGGCCAGCAACGAGGACAGGGATCGAATTACATGGTCTCCGTATGGTCCACCATCCCATCCTGAGAAACCCCAAGAACGCCCAGCACACCAGCACATTCACTTCAAACATCCCGGCTGCGACACCACCCTCTTCACTCTTCCCCCTCTGGATGCTGGCGGTATCCATCATGAGACGGTACGCATTGCTTGCGGTATTCTCGATAACAATACATGGGACGGTTTCTTCTCTTTGGACAAGCATGGAAAACACCCGGTCCCGGAATCAGAAAGGATATTGAGAGAGAAAGTATACTATTTCCAGACATCACCATCGCCGAGTGGTAACGATCATCTTGTATTTTACTGCTATACATCTAATGGGAACTAGATTTGAACTATGCCGTAACTCCCACGTTCGAGCACTGGTGCTTTCCCTATGGTGATCTCCCTCCCCGCTGGCGCGAAATCCCAGACTTCCAGCAGAAATCACGGCCGGATAGCGACAGCGCTTGCCGAATATCGCAATGTGAGGAGGGTGTTGAAGATGCACACTTAGTTTCCAGCGCCGAAAGGCAATGGTTCAACAACAATATGGCTGTACACATTCACTCCACAAAGGCAGATAAGCTCAAAGAGTCCGATAACAGCATTCGCCTGCGGAGCGATATACATACCATTTTCGATGCGAAGCGCTTTGCCATCGTACCAATCGAGGGACGCTTAGTGGTCTATTGCATGAACACTAACCTTGGTTCGCAAGTTGAAGGCCTTTATCACGGTGTCGAAATACACAGAGTTCGAAACTCAGGCTTCCTCAGCCAGTTTTTATTCGCACGTTTCGCGTACACGGTTTTTGAGCGCCTTCGAGCATTCTTGGAAGCAAACACTACAAGGAAACTTCGGCTTCGCGTGGACAATGAGACAAAAGAGGAGATGTGTAGCCCGGAACGTTGCTTGCGCCTCGCTAGAGATACAGCATATCAGGGCAAATCTCGCAGCGTTAGTCCGAAGAAGCGCCCCCGTCCTGACACAGAACCGAATGATGATAACTGGTCGGAGACCGATTTTCGAGGCCGGAAAAGAAGACGCAGTGATGACACTGAGTCATTCTCTGTCTCGCTCCCCAGCAGCGTGGGCTACTCAGCAGATTTATTAATTGGAACGCCTGGAACTCCTCCAACGCCAGCACCTAAGACCGAGAACACAACCGATATCAGGTTTGACTTGAAAACCGAAAGACACCAGTCAAAACCCCAAAACGAACAGGCTCTATCTTGAGATAAATAAAAGCTCGTGTTATTCCTATCCGCAAAGCAGTACTAATCACAGAAGACCGCCCAAGCAATACCAACACCGAATAAACCCTTCCAAAAAGCCCTCTACCACTGCTTCACCCTCTTCAGTGTTACATTAAGGCCGTCTCTTGGTTTTGATGTGATGATTCCAGCCGGAACAACTTCTTCATCCGGATTGAGCAAAGTCCATTCAAAGGCGCCAACAAAGGCAGCCACCAACGCCCTAAGCTCTGCTCGGGCGAAATTCTGTCCAATGCAACTTCGCTGGCCGTGAAGGAATGTCATGGTGGCATAGTTGGTCGACGCACCACCAGTTTGATTCGGCTTACCGGTCTCAGGGTCGATCCATCTTTCTGGCTTGAAGACATGAGCGTCGGGTCCCCATAACTCTGGATCATTGTTGACTGCCCAGGGAGCCATTATGATCTTAGTGCCTGCGGCAATTGGGTGGCCCATCAATGTAGTATTTCGCTTGGCAGTTCTCATGGTCACGGGTACAGCAGGTAGGACTCGGAGAGCCTCGCTGCAGACGCCGTTAAGCAGAGGCAGCGACTCCAGCACCGAAGCAATGCTCGAGTCTTGGGAGTTGGTCGGTGAGAATCCATCCGGAATTGCAGTGTGTATCTCGGCACGGAGGCGGGATTGAATATCAGGATGAAGGGCGAGAAGGTATGCTACCCATGTGAAGCTCGAGGAGGTCGTTTCATGGCTAATTGGCGAAGTCAGTGATCAGAGAGGCTGCAAAATTTCCAAGCGCTCGTGGGAAAGAGAATTCGTGCTTACCCAGCTGCAATGATTGTCAAAAGTTGATCTACGAGCTCTTCATCCGAGAAAATGTTCGACTTGATCAACAAGGCCAGAGTGTCGATGGCTTCGTCTTCTGAACCCTTCATTCCCTCTCGTTTTTCTCGCACAAAGCGCCTGCAGATCAGTCTCAACTGAGCATTGAGCTCATCAAACCGTTGGGCGACAGGGCGGCAGAGCCATGATGCGAGCTCGCTACTTCCAATTAAGGACACAGCTGCGAATACTTGCCGGCCCACAGAAGGGTTCACCAATTGATCGTAGATTTTAGCCATTTCGTCGTCCGAATTCTCCAGCGTGTTGAAATCTCGACCCAAGCCTGCGACACCGATAATATCCAAGGTTGCTTTCGGGGCAAAATGCTCAATGTCCACCGCTCCAGGTGGCAGTCTTTCGTCCTCTGCATGCCTCCGGTCTTGCCCAAAGGCTTCAGCGTCAATCACCTTGGTCATCTTGACAGACTTCTCCCAAAACAAGGGATACAACAGCTTGATTTGTCGAAAAGCAAAGCTGGGCATGCTATGTTTGCGTTGGTGTTTGTGTTGGTCACCTTCAGCCGCGACCAGTCCGTCACCGATCAAACGACGGAGAAAGACACGATCCTTTTCAGGCTTGGGGAATTCATATGATCTGGTGACCAAGATCTCGGCCAGCGCCTTGGGGCTCGTCACCAGCAACTGGTCGACGTTCAAGAAACCCTTGAGCCGAATGAGACCGTCGTTGGGGACTTCCTGGGTAAATTTCCGATAGTCCCCGCCTCGTGGGAGTCTGAACTGGGACAGGCTGTGGCCCAAGATGGGATAGCCACCCTAAGAACAGGCATTAATCCTCCCGCCTTGTAAACCCCGCTCCAGGCAGTGCGTCAAGACGTACCTTTGGAGTTGGAAGATCTCGAAGCGGGCTGACGAAATTTGGATAGATGAATATGAGATAGAAGAACCACAATGCAAAGTTGAGTAGCGTGAAGCCGAGAAAGGCCGGGTTGAAGCCATCGACCGGGGCATACTGGCGAGCCGTCGCAAGCAACACCACAGCCTGTAGAGCCGCAGAAAAGACCAGGAGTAACGGCGTAGGGATGTTGAAAGCCATCGCCGTGTTGTCGAAGGCGATAATATAGAAAACAGTTCAATCCAAAGAGAGAAGAAGCATTGGTCCCGAGCAGCAGCAGGGTGTCCTCGCCGTCCAGTATATCTATACGATATGTCTACGCGGGGACATGCTAACCCGGTACAGCGATAAACCCTCACAAGGAAATCCGTCGCTCGAGCAATAGTAATAGCAATATAGTTATTATGATGTTTGTCCCTCCAGAGGTCAAAATAGAGCCGCGGTATCAAGGCCCAAGGACGGTGCAAATTTCCACCGAGAGCCCCGCAACTCGCGATCCTGGAGCAGTGGAGAAATGAACGTAGATCGATCGCTCGGTGGTCTGTACGCAGTACGGGGTACGTGCTCGGAGGCTATGAATCCTTTCTCGAATTCTGATGATGGTGGTGGTGTTGTCGGGCAAACGTACACTACTACTGCCATGGTAGGCTTACAGCTGCCGAAGGACAGAAAGCAAGCGGTACGTATTCACCTTGCATCACAGATGTCCGCGCTCCGGGTCATCCGGGGTTGTGGACGAGGAAGCGGCCCGCGAGTTGCGACTGCAATGGGGGAGGTGAGTCGGTGTTACGATTCCCCAAAGGGGAGAATGATCTATGTAATATCGACTCCGTCAAAGTAGATATCTGTGCAGGCAGGGGGGTGTAATGGTTTATCCCGCGCCTCCATCGCAGGGTGCAGGTTGAAGGAGGTGTTGGTTTTTGTCAACCAGGATTCCTTATCGTTTCTATGTGCACCAACGCTCAGCTAGCTGCGCCTATTCTCTCTTTCGCACTGTCTCCTTCGACTACCCATATACCAAGAGCCATGCTATCTCAATCCCTTAACCCAATCAATGGAATAAATACCCCAGAGCTAAACTCCTGCCCTTATTAGCATTTTCGTTACGCTGCCTCGCACAGCCTCCTGGATCCAGAAGGGCAAAGCTCTGACAAGAGCCGCACCGGATAATGTAGCTGGGAGGATGATCTGCCCACTGCTGCCAGAGATGAGTTGGTTTACGATGGCATCCGAGACTGTTTCAACCTGCAGAGCCGATCGTCGAAAGCCTTTGTCGGCATCTTGTAGCTTCTGTGTCATTGGCGTAGAAACCCAGCTAGGATGGACAATGCTGTTCGAGTGTAGGTTAGAAATACGCCGTCAATACGAGGGATACGCTAACTATACGAGATACGTTCTCTATACGAGCGACATGCTTGCCAACACTGAAAAAAAAATCATCGGTCGAGGGTTTAGATCGTACGTACCTAGTGCGCACTTTTGGAGCGTTGTACCAGTATCTCAACTCTTGCGCGAGCCCTTCATGGAATGCCAGGGCGCTAGCTTTGGAGCATGCATAGGCAATCATGTCGCCCGCCGTTACGAAGCTGGCCATGCTCGCGACCGTAACAATGTGACCGTGATTATTGCGAATCATGTCTGGAAGGAATTCTTTCACAAGGACGAAGTGGGAGATGGTGTTGACGTCGAATGTGCGTCGGACACTCGCTTCCGTCCCATTCAGGATCGTGCCTCCATCGCCCACGCCTGCATTGTTGACGAGAATCGTGGGATGTCCGTATGTCGTGCGAATTTCGTTCGCGACATCTCTCACAGCGTCTGACGATGTGATGTTGACTTCGAAGAAGGCGACATTTGGCGCTGCCCGACACCCTGTTAGCGATGCCAACGAGCAAAGACTCCGGTGTACAAACGTAGTGGTGTTTTTGGCGCATTGACGTCGAGGATGATCACCTTTACACCTCTTGCTGCCAGGTTTGCCGTTACTTTCTCCCCGATGCCACTCGCGCCTCCTGTGACTACAACGAGTTCCTTCCCTCCATCCCAGCGATCGCTTCCTGTCCAGTTGTTGAGTGCAAGTCTTGATAGGACATTATTGGTCCTCTTCAGAATTCCAAGGATGAGAAGCAAAGTAAGCGCTTTGGCCGTTTGGGGCGATTGAATGACACTGTAAAGGCTGGGCGGCAGGCGCTCAAGGAGTGATGGACGAAGCGTAGGCAGAGTGTACAGCAATGCTCCAGTAAATAGTGGCTCGAGGGCGGCTGCTTTGAATATGGACACCATCGCGTGAGACGAGAGAAGCTTCCCTCGTTAAAGGCAGGGATCCGTTGGACGTCTATTTTTCCGGAAGGAACTTTTGATGTTTGTCGACTTGTCTTTCTAAAATTCTAAACGACCCTATGGCAAGAGGATACTGCTGCAATATACAAAGAAGCCTTGGATGAAGGCCATTCAAAGCGTGGTGTAAGATCATTCAGAAGGCTGAACCGAGGCGAGCTTCAAGGCTTCAGGGGTCGGAAATTGCCCCTAACAGGTTAGACTGATTCCAGTCCATATCGAACTGGTGGAGGGCAGAATCTGATTCGTAGCCTTGCTCAACTTCACCATACTCGGTAGCCTTCACATTACCCAGCAGCTCAAGTCTAACTGTTGAGCGCAACTCTCTCCTTCTCTGTTCTCCACCCTGTATGGACGATCGTCAATAACGAGCTAATAGACAACTCGGACATGGTGCCTCTCCACTTCACCCTGAGTGTGGACATAGGAATATCTTGGCGCCCTAGCTTCTAAGGGTTTATTCACTGCAATTGCTGGCTATGACCATGTCGTCGTGAACACTGGCTTTTGATGTACAGTCTGGGCTCTGTCCTTTCGCAACCCGCTGCGAATTCGGCGAGGCTGCATCCTCGGCATTTGCGAGATGGCGACGAAGACGGCGATATCTCGGTTGATGTTGGAGGAGGGTAAATTGCCCACACAACAATAAGAATTCATCAATGGCCCAAGATTGCTTTTGCATCAACAGCCAAAATAGAGACGGCATCTACAGGTTTCATCACCCGACTGTTGCGACGTCGACACTCGAAGATTGGCGCGCCGGCCGGCGACCGAGGCCCACGCAAATTTTGGCATCAGGGAGGACAGACTTGACCATTCGACGACGAACCCCACGATTCTAGGTAGCGACAAGGTTTACGATCTATCCCGCCTTGCGAATTGAGAGCTCCAGTAGCGACTTTCAGTCTCGGTGTTCTCTCGAAGGCCATGAAAATTTACCTAGGCTCAAACACGCTGGACATCTCGGTGGAACGACTGAAGAGGAATAGTCTCGGAGGTTGTGTCTCGGAGGTCTGCGAATACGGTTAAAGGGGCAAAATGGGCAAAACCGAACCTTGGAGATATCAAGCACTTCTACCTCTTTTGGCTGTCTGACCATTATGCCTCAGTTTTGACTGACTCGGACGAAACCAATACGCCATCCCGTCTCAGAGCAACTCCGTCCTGTTGGACATTCGGAATCAAAGAACGTACCCCACTCTGGCCATCCCTGGAAGAGATAGCCAACTGGCCGTGTGTTCCTTGCTCTGACACCAAGGACGAGCAGTCCACGCAGTCGCGTGAGAGCTCGCCTGTTCACAACGGCAAAGGCCATGGATAGTGAGGAAATGTTATGGTCCTACCAAGTACACTCTCAGAGGTGGGTCAGGAGTTTGTATTCTGTTGGTTGATCACCAGATCAAGAGGCTAATTACCGGTAACGTTGAAAATCCTGGTTTCGAACGAGTCAAGATGCAAGTTACTGCCGGTTGATCACATTACTCTCTGATACACGTACTCCATTATCGTTTTTACCGAACTATTCCAACAATTTGATAGTAAGTATCCCGTTCGCCATCGATCACTCGCCACACCCAGTCGACGTCTCCTTCCCCGAATTGGGTATATGTTACCTCGGCCCAAACACGATCAGGCTTTAGGGTACTGGATCCAGGAAGATAAAGAAAGCAGATAATGTACGGAACATGTCGCCAAAAAGTAATTCCTGACCCTTCATATTCCACTTCTGGTGATCTCGTCAGTGACCTTGTCCTCCACCATGCACGCCCCCGTCGACGGAAGAGAAAACTTTGTCGACATTCTCATCATCGGGGCTGGGATATCTGGCGTAAATGCAGCTTATCGGATCCAGTCCGGGCTGCCAGACTACAAGTATGTCATCCTCGAAGGTCGAGGTGAGATCGGAGGGACGTGGGACTTGTTTCGATACCCCGGGATCCGCTCCGACTCGGACTTGTTCACCTTTGGATTCTCCTGGCATCCGTGGAACCAGAACAACCCCATCGCCGAGGCCTCTGCCATCAAGGCGTACATGAACGACTCGGCGCGTCTTTTTGGCATCGACAAACATATCCTGTTCCATCACAAGGTCGTATCGGCCTCGTACTCGTCCACCGACAGGCTGTGGAGGTTGGCTGTCGACTACAAGGGAGCAACCACAACCTTCTCGACGAGATTTCTGGTCTTCGGCACGGGCTACTACGACTACGAACAGCCGCTCCAGACTGAAATACCTGGGCTCGACCGATTCCAGGGACCCGTCGTCCATCCACAGTTCTGGCCCGAGGACCTTGACTACTCCAACAAGAAGGTGGTCATCATCGGAAGCGGCGCGACCGCAATCACGCTGGTGCCTTCGATGGCCGATCGCGCGGCAAAAGTCACAATGCTGCAACGCAGTCCCTCGTACATCATGTCACTTCCGAACAGGTCCAAGCCGGGATTGTTCGACGCAATGCTTCCGAACAGGATCGTGTCCCGGCTCACGCGCTTCAAGCTGATCGTCAGGACGCGCCTCTTCTACCTGTTCTGCCGGAAGTTCCCCGACTTCACGAGGCGGCTTCTGCTGCGCGGCGTGCGTCGACAGATACCAGACACGGTGGCGGTCGACCCACACTTCTCGCCGCGCTACGACCCCTGGGATCAACGGCTGTGCCTGTGTCCGGACGGCGACTTCTTCAAGAGCCTACGCAGCGGCAAGGTGGAGGTGAAGACCGATACGATCGACACGGTCCAAGCCGACGGCATCCACCTGCGGTCCGGCGAAGTTCTCCCCGCCGACATCGTCGTGACCGCCACGGGCCTCAAGCTGCGTCTGGGCGGCAGAATCAAAGTCGACGTCGACGGCGTACCGTTCGACATGGCCGGCAAACTCATGTGGCACATGGTCATGATGCAGGACCTGCCCAACGCAGCGTTCCTCCTGGGCTACACCAACGCCTCCTGGACACTGGGCGCGGACGCGTCGTCGCTGTTCCTCACGCGCCTCCTCCGCATGATGGACAAGAAACACATCGACGCCGTCATCCCGCGACGCGAGCCCGGCGCCGCGATCCAGCCCCAGAAATTCCTCGACCTGAACTCAACCTACCTCAAAGCCGCGGAGAAGGACCTCCCCCAGACGGGCGATCGCGGCCCGTGGAAGCCTCGCACCTACTACCTTTGGGATCTCCTGTTTGCAAAGTACGGCCAGATAGGCGAGTCGTTGGAGATGGTCAAAGCCACGTAGTCTCCGTATGGGACCTAGCACTATTTTCCGTATAATCAAAAAGGCATGGTTCGCATGGGGGGTATGTAGTGGTAGGTTCAGTTATCTGGTCGGTCATCTGTGTCCTGGACCTCCGCATTTCGGTATGGAGAAGCATGCGAGTCGATGCAATGCAATGCCGTGAATAATATTATCGCACCCTCTACCCGGTAATCTAAATATAGATGCAATTGGCCCCCATTTTGACCTGTTAGTTCAAACAAGGCTGAAGGCCTATTCCTTGCAACCTGGCCCCCCCACTCAGCGGGACAAAGCCAAACGCCAAGAACAGAAACAGTCCTGCATAGCAAGTATACTAACAGATACCGGGCTATTGAAACATGCCGATTTCAGAAGTCATGCAAACCCAAATATCTTGACATGGTGTGCAAGGAATTAGAGCTCCACAGATTCCCACTTGACTTACAAGCTGTAACCCGTGTATTAACCTGTCTTCGTGTGTTCCACGTCGCCGTCGTGAGCATTACCACTTCCCATCAAGAACTCCACCATATCCTCATGGATTTCTGCCAATGCGCCTATACACCAAATACTGACCCCAGAAGTATGCGACTTCGCCGATCCATGACAAAGGGGGGCACACATATCCTTCATGACCCAGCCACATGCCTGTCATGATACAAAAACAGTCTTAATCCATCCTCGTTGCTCATGCTTCATCCATTCCGCGCCCTTCCCCTCACACACAACGGACCCTTTCTATTTGTCTACCTCCGTATCACTGAAGGTCCTGTCATCCTTCCGCCTCCACTCAGAAGACTCTGTCTCACAATCATCTCGGCCGCAGCCGCAGCCGCAAGCCTTTCTTTCTGCCTGCTCCGATCCCTCAGATACCCAGCTGCCTCAGGTCTCATCCTTAGAATCCTCAGGATCATGTCATCATTCGGCTCCGCTTGAGCGGCTTTCCATTTTTCTTCTTTGGCTTTGCGTTTCGTGCCGAGGTTGCGAGAGAGCAAAATGCTCTTCGCCCTGCGCGCTCCCGTGAGATTGCCAGGGTCGAGGAGGCCGCCCGCACCCAAGTGATTACTTAGATTGGCGGGAGCAGAGAACCTTGAGCGATGCATTTGTTGAGTTGCAGCCGTTGCGCTGGCCATCCTTTCGGACTCGCGGATGAGAGATTCCGTGGGTTCGAAATAGAAGAAATTGAGCATCTGCAATTCGTGGTACTTTGGGCTCTTTAATACGTTGAGAGGCACGCCGTTTGCTTCTCCAGTGTCTTCATCCACGGCGTTGAAGAATTCAAGGAGAGATTGTAACCACTTGAAGACGATGTCGAGCTCTTGTTGTGTCAGGGCTTTTTGTTGCGAAGGTTTGTCCGATAGAGGCGGGACAAGGAGAGCTTCCACAGTGACGAGAACTTCTTTCCAGATGCGTGTCATGACTGCCTTCATTGCTTCCGACGTCAGTGTTTGTTGCATGATGGCGAAGTTGTCGTCGAAGTAGTCGAAGAGTGGTTTTAGGGCGTTGACAATCTCAGCGTCGGTCGGCATGGTAGTTGTGGGAGCGATCGATGCTCGGTTTCGCGCAAAGAATGACGACACATTGGCGGACACATTTGCCATAGAGATGCCCCGATTCAGGAGAGACCTGAGTGCTCGTCGAGAGAGACAATGGTTGATGTATGCCGAAAGTTTGTCGGTGATCTTTCGTGTCATGTCCCGTTGGGTTCGCTGAAGACTTCTGAAGGCCTTGCCGAAGTAGAACTGAATATCGTCCCGCTCTCCTTCCATGCTGACACGAACCATGACTCGTCCTTGGGTATCAAGATCCAGCCAGTATTCTCTAGGCAAGAAATCGCTAAAGTGTGAAGGATCCAGCTTGAGTGAAGTCCTTCCCACGTAATCGTGATCACCCATGGCGTCCCAGTCCCAGATTGTCGCAATGAGATTGAGGGGTCCTTGTGTAGTTATGTCTACTGACTCGTCCCATCGCGGATTCAGATTTCGATAGACGATCCTGCTCTTGAACAACCTCTTCTGGTATTCGTCCGTCAAGACAACATACGGATCGCTGAATCCATTAACATCGCAAGGTTTGAGATCCTCAGCCTCCACAATTTTGATGGTGAAAACATAATTCGTCGTCTTTTTGTGCCGTTGTGCTAATGGTGGAGCATACTTTTTGATGACTTCGGCACAAGCATCAACATTGACCTCGGTCTCAAGTTTGTCCCATTGTTGAATGGCGAACAGTATGTCGTTGAGTTTGACGAATGATTCTGGGTAGAAATTAAAAGGCTCAACCCTCTCTTTTTGGTTCCAGGTGTCTTTCGCAAGTTGAACCCACTTCTCCTGTCTCGTCATGTTCGCAGCAGCTTCTTGTTCAGGAGTCAATCGGTCCATTTCTCTACTGAACATCTGGTCGAGCAATTCACAATACCTCGACACACCTTGGCCAATAGCCTTCGAAAGGGCCGTCATAAACTTGGCGTAACTCAAATCGTCGTCCCAATTGAGTTCGCTAACTTGGTTGATGACTTGATTGAAAGAGCTGAAAATGTCCAGAACAGAAGTTGAGTGGCGTTCGTCCTCGGTGGGTGTCTGGTCTGGGACTGCCGTCCTGACCTTGAACTCATCCTGCTTGACTGCATTTTCGACCCAGCCAATGACTTGCGTCTCAGTCGTCTTAATCCATCGCCAGACGAAGTCAGCCAGCAGATCCTCGATTTTATAGGGAAAAGGGACATGCGGTAAAGCATCGGCGTGAACACGACGGAATTCGCTCAACCCCTTGTACAAATCAAAGCCGTCCTGAATGGTCACCTCGAATCCCTCTCTTTGGGCAACATTTAGAATTTGCTCCACCATGGCTTTCGAGTCCTCAGCGAACGCTGGCAGAGTACAGTTGACCAAAATCATCAATGGATTGATACCGAGGATTTCTGGATTCTTCCTGAACCTCTTTTGCACCTTTTCTGCCAGCTTCAATACCGCCTGAGCCAATTGCTGGATGTGATAAAATTCCCACTTTTCATGTTCCTGGGGAAGTTCGCGATCTAGAAGAGCGTCGTAAATCTTCCGTGCCTCGGTTGCTAAGCCGTCAATGGCGGCACTCTTGAAGTTTTCGAAATCTTCAGGACTCTGGTTGAAATTTGGGTCGCTTCGAATATGCTCATCTATAACTGCCATAATGACGCCCAACTTTGGCAATTGAGCTTTGTCGGCGTAGGATGTCATGATGACTTCATACAGATCCCGAAGTAACGACTCATAGATGGCATTAAGGAGTTTGCCCATTAAGGCAAAGTCGGCGACGGTCCAATTATTTCGATCATACAAGGTGGTGCTCATGATCAACGAGCTCCTCTTGTTCTTGTTGTCATCCTGTAATGGCTCCTTGACGTAGTTGAAGGCAGCGTCGAGCATTTCCAGACTGAGCTGGTTTTCAAGAAATTTCTCACGAACAACATCCAGAAAGAGGACAACGCGAGTGAATTTGGGTATCCGCCATCTCAAAGCAATTTCATTCAGCAGCTCCATTGTCTCCTTGGAAAATAGGCGGCCCCCTTCTGGACCGTTAGCACTTCCATTCATCTTATCGTTAAGGTCATGATTAAGGGCTTGAAGCATTACAAATCGAAACATGGCTCTGGGGTCGGGAGGTATAAATGTATAGACTTGGGCTGCATTGTCGTTATGCTGGGAGGAATCGCCCGAATCCTGTTGAAGGGCGCTGAGATCCGCCGGCAGATCTAAGACGTAGGAAGAAGAGTCTCCAGATTGCGAGATGGCTCTGGAAAGCTCGGCATATTGAGAATCCGAGGGACTCGAGGGCTCACCCTGGGGGTTGAACTGGGGCAAGACACCGCCCGGCGTGCTCTTTGCCAACTCGGGATTGGACTGTATAATGGCGAGCATCAGCTGGGAAAGGTCTGGTCCTTCACTTCGTTTCCAGCTCTCGTATGCTTCTTGCGTATCGAAGTCATGGGAATTCAGAGTCAACTTCGTCCCCAGAGTGAGGTGCTGCTGGTAAGTCTTCAGATCCTGAAGGGCGGCCTTTTCTGTCCAGACTGGCTTGTTCTTTGTAATGTCTGACTGTAGCATCGTATTGGTCAGGCCAAAGATGCGCCCGACCACCTGAACCAGAGGCATGTCCTTGACCTCATAGCTCAGAGGCACCACCTCCTCGATGGTGGTCCATTCTCCATTTGCTTGCGACGTGGCCAGATTCTCATCACCCTTCAGCAACTTGGACTCTAGAGTTTGCAATCGAGCAGCCAAGTCAGGTTTGTCCTTGGCCCAGTCACGATCCTTGAGAATCAGAGAAAGGAGGCGAACGAAAAGGGCGACGTGCCGATCAACCATGCGCTTGACAGCATCATCTCCGGCAGGGTGGCCCTTCTGTAACTCCTTGGTCGCGGTGGAGAAGAAGATGAGAACGAGATCTTCAGCCCTCCGATCTGCCTCCATACGCTTTTTGAAAGACGGATCGGACAGGGTGTTAAGGAAGATGGCGAAGACCCTCTTAACCATAGCGTCATGATATTCTTGCCGCCTCTCCTTACCCACGAGGATACCTTGTAGCCTCTTTTCCAGCTCTTTAATAAAGTCATGAGGAAATCTTGCGCTCTTTGCATCTCGAACCATGGTGAAATCTTTCATGAGGTCGTTGAAGGAATGGGAAGTGCCAGTGCGGACGACGGTGGGCCGGGTTTCGACATGTTTCTTTCTGGTTTTACGGGGCTGTAGCAAGTACGACAGGTAGGCCACTCGCAAAGCATAGAGGTAGGCATCGTTTGCACTTATGGATTTCCGGCGAACCCTGGAGGAGTCTCTGGAGACTCTCCCTCCATTTCTGAGACTGTTGACGCTCCGGTTGGGCAGCGGTTTCGAGCGGCTGGAAGAAAGGGACATATGGCGATATGGTCATGAATTGAATAGTTTCTTTCTCAATGCGAGAGGAATGTGAAATGATGTACTGCGTATCGTGCTCGAGCCTTGTATTTGAGTGGTCTGCGAGCGGGTGGGCGTGGTCGGACCAGATCAGCCTGGTTCTCTTGGAGATGGATTGTGTCTGCGGCTTTGGGGGGTGGGGGGGAAATTTGGTGTGTTGTGAACTTGTGTGCAGTGGTGAGGCCAGGGTGACGTGACGATCAATACGGAGTCTCAGTAGCGATCATGCGCTATTCCGGCCTTTCGAGGCTGTTCAGACGGTGGGTGTCAACGCTCTGCACTTTTGCTCCCAGAGTTGAAGAGTGTCTATTGACATGTCATCGGGGGTAAGGTGAGGATTCATCAACGGCGTCCGTGTGACAGTCATTAATGTTTCAGGGTCGGCCTCCACGCGCAAGTCGCAGATCCAAGACTGCGGGCGGCGGGCAGTCGCTCATACGCTCATACATTAGCGGCACAGTCAAAGCTCAAGGGGCGAAGAGTTACAGGGGGGGTTTAATGGGCAATAGGCAAGATGGGGATTGTGGCGGCGCCATGACGACTCACTGCAATCACCCGAACAAGTGCCACTAAAGTGCCATCACGTGCGCCACTCTTTATTTAGATTCAAGACGACCTCGACCGGCCTCTGGTCAATACGTCCCTTTACAGCACAGGGAGACCGCGGCCGAAGCTCTAACACCCCTCGATCTATGTCCAAGTGCCCGAGCAGTCGCTTCTCTCGACGGAGTCGAAAACAACAACCCATACTGGTATACGACTTCAATGGGGATTCAACATTGCTAGAGTACTAGCCTGACTGTAGTGAGCACATGGAATTCCATCACCCGAACCGAGGTAGGTGTGTCGGTGTCTTAAACTGCTCACGGTTCTCTCTTCCATCTTTACTCTAGACTTCATATTTCTTTTCAGGTCACCCATCAGAGCAACATGCAGATCAAAGACCGCACCTTCATTGTGAGCGGAGGGTCTTCTGGCCTAGGTCTCGCAACCGCCGTTCTCTTCCTCCAACGTGGCGCAAACGTCTCCATCCTCGATCTTAATCCTCCGCCCTCAGATGCCTCCCTCGACCCATCCCGAATTCTTTTCACAAAGACCAACGTCGCGTCTACCGAGTCATTACAGACAGCCGTGCAAAATACAGTACAATGGGCTCAACAGACTACCAAACCGCTCTCCGGTGTCATCTGTTCCGCTGGCATCGGCACTGCAGCGTTGGCTCTTCCTAAACAAGATCCCTCGGCGACCCATAACAACGTCAAATACATGGACATGTCTGGATTTGATCGTACGTTGGCCATCAATCTCCGGGGCACGGTTGACTTGATCCGGCTCGGTCTTCCGCACATGGCTCTCAACAAACCATGGGGTCCCGACGGTGAGCGAGGGATCGTGATTGTGGTCTCGTCCGTGGCTGCATATGAAGGCCAAGTCGGTCAACTTGCCTACAGCGCAAGTAAAGGCGCCGTCCGCAGCATCGTTCTTCCACTGGCTCGCGAACTGGGCCAAAAGGCCGGGATTCGGGTGATGGGGATTGCGCCTGGTGTCTTTCAAACCGGGATGACCGTGCAACCGAAAAAGAAACCGCAACCAGAAGGAGCCAAAAAGGAAGGAGTTGAAAAATCGAAAGGGAGCACTGGAGCACGAGCGGGCATGAATACGGAAATGATCCAGTATCCAATGCGCATGGGTCAGGGTCATGAGTTCGCACGACTAGTCCAAGAGATTGTTGAGAATCCAATGCTGAATGGGTTTGTCATTCGACTCGACGGCGCAGTGAGGATGCCCAGCCGACTGTGAACATCTGTATTGCATTATACACAAGCCGACAAATCCCCCATCCCCCAAATAAGAACAAGACCATTGGAAACCATACCTCGTACCTTGACCACCCTTCCCATCCTCAGACGTCCCTTTCTATCAACTAAGCGCCAAAACACAACATTCCCAGCACCCTCCTCCCCCTGCCTCCCTTGCTCTTCTCCTCCTTCCGCCTCTTCTTCCTGTCCTTCTCCTCCCGTCTCGCTTCCTTCTTCTTCTCCTCCCGCGTCATCTCAGCCGGCAGGCCCAGACTCACCCGCCTCTCGCGTTCCGCCTGCCTCTGGCGCTCCTGCTCGGCGAGCACGGAGTGCTTGAGGGCTTCGTACTGCGCCGCTTCGCCCTCGGCCAGGCCGCCTTTGGCAACCACGCCGTCGGCGACGGAGAGGTGGGTTGGCATTCTAGATGGGTGGTGGATGGATGTCTAGATGGTATCGAGTCCTATGTAGACAGGTTTCCGAAATATCGGCACGCTGGTTGGTTCAAGGGCCGTTCAGTTCGGTCGAGGCGATCTGGGTCGAGGCAAGTTGAGTTGAGTCGGCGCGGATCCAAATTAATCGAATGGAGATGCTTGATATTTTTTAAAGGAATAAAAAAACGACAGGCAAGGCGGCATTAGAGAATCAATTGACCGCCCCCCTTCCTCTGTCAACGGATTGAAACAGAGAACCAAGGGTCAGGTACTTGATATGTGTCTTGCCCCGGTATATGTAGCACATGCGTATTTCGTGCCTGGCATATACGCTGATGGATACCTACATAGGTATTCATACACCACGCAAATGCATGTACACGTCCGGGTATGGCGATGCCAGCCACATACAAATATCAAGGGCCTGTACACATGCACATATATACCGCCAAACGAATCGTTCCCCGAACAAAACAGCGCGCTGCAAGAATTGGCCTTCCTGGCCGTGCGCTATGCTTGCTCCGTGAAATCCGTTGTACTTGTTAGCACCAGGGCAGTGCTGCTGCAAGGCCCTACACGGCGACGGGACGTCAGGGTTTCTACGAGGTACATACAGTAGCCCTGGGCCGGAGCTCTGTGTGGGGGCCGGACGGTCGCTGGACGGCCATGAGGGATGTTTGATACGAATGTGCGCAAATAGGGCGGATCTTGCGTCCAGGTTCTGCACGGTACGAAAGGACTTGTGGAACAATCTTCTGTAACTCTGATAAACATATTCGATACATATTTACTGACCACGTAGCGCTAAAGATACCCGATATATATTCACCTCCCCTTCCTTCCATCTACCCTGGATGAGCTACTTCAACTCGGGGAATGGTCGACGATAATGCGCAGGGCAATGATACAATCCCTCCGTATCCTTTCCGGGCTCGGGAATCAAATATTTCTGATGGTAGGGCTCTGCGTCGTACCACTGCGTCGCCCTCCTGATCTCGGTGGTGATGGGCTTGCCCTTGTACCACTGCTCGCCCACTTTCTGTTTGATCTCTTCCGCAATCTTCAGTTGGTCGTCGTTCTCGGCGAAAATGGCAGAGCGGTATTGAGTGCCCGTGTCAGCACCTTGTCGATTGAGAGTGGTGGGATCATGCATTCTGAAGAAGAATTCGCAGAGTTGCCGATAGGAGAGACGGTCCGGGTCGAAGACGATCAGCAGGGATTCAGCGTGGCCAGTTCGTCCCGAGCAGACGTCGGCATATGTCGGGGCTTTGGTCTGGCCACCAGTGTATCCAACTCTACAATCTAAAAGACCTTTGCCGTCGCCGAATGTGTGGCGGTATAACTCTTCCAGACCCCAAAAGCATCCCCCGGCGAAGATGGCTCGCTGTGAGTTGGGAGGGAATTGCATTGCTGCAAGAGCATCTGGCTGGAGGGACATGGAGGCCGCGGAGCTCAAGGGACGGAGGAAGCGCGAGAGAAATGAAGGCATCTGAAAGGCCATGGTCAGGACGAGGACGATGATGGGGATGAGGATGGCGTAGGGGGAGAGGTCGCTGAGGTCGGGCTGCAGTTTGGCGATTTGTTTGGTGCTCGAGTGTGAAGAGAAGTTTGGCAAAGGGGGAAAATGTCGATATATACGTGAGATCCAAGTTGAACAATTCCAGATGTCAACGGTCAAAAGCGTATTCGCTTGGTCGTTGAAGTTTCTCGGGAGGGGAAGTGAACGTTGGTGGGTGCAGTTCTCAATCATCAATCACGTCATTAAATAGAGGGGGCGAGCGGATGGGCAAGATGGGGGGCACCCGAGACGCTGGAGGGCGAGGCGCCGAGGGGATGACAGATTCCTGGTGGCAGTTTCGTGGCAGTGCTGCTGGTTGTCGGCTACTAGCTTAGCGGGCTCCGTCTTCTGGCTTCCCTCCCTCTACTCCTTCAAGGCTCACTTAGGCCTGGTGAGCCTATCGTAGCTTGCGCCGACTTCCCCCCAGATCAGGCTCACTAGGCCTGGGATGCATGATTCCGTTATCAGGCTTCGTGGCGGTGACAAATACGGTATACAAGCTATATTTCTGATCATATACCTAGGTAGGCGCAAGGGACGCGGACGCATTCTCAGCCACAAATACCACACAGACTACACCCATGTTGAATTTCTATCATTCATCACGACTCTCCCTTCCTCCCCTTTCCCCTCCGAGTCGAACAAGAACTAAGTCGTTATTGGGGACCAAGCAGTCTCATGCAGGCGCACTAACCAAAGTCACTGCTACCAAAGACTTGACTGATGTCCGAACTCACATGCCTTTCCCAGCCATCTGTTTGAGACTCTGGCAACCTCGGACCAACTTTTCATCTAATTGAAATGGCCAACAGACAGCCAATTCCACAGATGTAAAGTTGCATTTACTCTTCCAGCTTCTTTGAGTGGTTCAAACAACGTTTCGATTAGCCGGGAAAAAGACCAGATTATCAGGCGGGACCTCGAGCTGGGGAAAAGGAGGTGGTATCTACCCATCGATCGAGGTTTGCTGCGTTTTCGTACTCCCTTTTGAACTTTTTCATCCAGCTGATCTGTAAAAGATTAGACGAACAAGGTGGCTAGGTATGAACTGCTCGCCTCCCTGAGGGACAGTACGCCATCTCCACAATCTCCGGACTGGCCGTATTAGTTTGCGGAAACTGTGTCCCATCCATTTTCGCCGATCATAAATTTTCACACTTGGCCGCCAGACAGTTAGCGGTTGGGACTGCTGAAATGAGGATGCTCACTCTCGCGAGGGAACCCGACATCCTTCATCCTCTGGCCGCACTCGACAATGGCATTTTTTAGCGTGTTTCCTCCTGGTTCGCGCTTAGGCCCATCGTCCGTGAGGATAGAGATGAGGAGCGGGTTCCCAAAACACTTCGGCACTGAGTCGATCTTGTCCTAAACAAATGTGGGAAGAATCCTAGACCTTAATATCATGTCAATGCTAGTATTACCGTAATCATCCCACTTCAAGGGTGCCAGGATGTTCGCAACATGCTCAAGGCCCAGGTTTGACGAGCCGTCTACCTCCTGGTTGATGAAGCGAAGCGCGACCCCTTCACCTTTGGGAAGGACTCGCGTGGTGATCTTCGCCGTTCGTTCGACGAGGTTTTTCTGGGACTTCCAGCGATCTTCACGTTTCATTGAGCCGCTGACATCTACGCCACCTGTGTCAGAAATTGAACAGGAGAGAGGTCGTCATCTTTGACTTCCTGATTTCGAGACACTGACCGCAATAGATAGCTTGTTGATATAATGCTACCTTGCTGGTCTTGGGCAGAACCTCCGGACTATCGAGAGTAGTGCTTGTATCGTTTTGCAGCTCCACAGCGTTCTTAGCGACCTCTTGGACGAAGTCTTCCTTGTCTTCGAGGAAACGCTCTATGGGGGAGTCTCCGGCCGGTTCGTTCACTTTCTCCACGAGTGCAGCTGTAGTCGAGCCTTCGCCACGATTCACAGCCTGTGGTTTTTATTCAGTTAGTGTGCACTATTCCCACCTATACTATTGACGAAAGTTGGCTTACCTGGTCCCAGGCCTCGTCTAGATCGATGCTTATGCCGTGCGCCCGCCAGACGATATCATCGGCGACCTTATTGATCTAGGCAACAATGAAGAGGAGTAATCCAACAACCAATTCAATCAACTTGGCCAAGTTCGCCTTCTCCACCAGGTTGAGAGGATGGGTAACAACCCTATCGTAGGTCTTGTCGTCCAAATCTTTCGCATTGTAGCCATCATCATTCATCAGTGTCAAGGATGCCCTGGCCTTTCACTGTAGCCGGATGGATTCGGTACCCTTCTTACGGACCACGAACATCAACGGTGTGTTGGTCCCGTCTACGGGACTGGTTGCGTCAACGGCGCTTGAAGGTATCTTCGCATGAAGTAATTGGATAATCCGAGCACGGTTCTTGTTGGTCTTGAACGCGGCAAGCAGGAGTGGCGTTTCGCCATCTTTGGAGAGAGCGTCTGCTTTGGCACCTCTTTTGAAAAGCAACTGGACTTCATCGGCGTATCCTGCTACCATGGCAGCCCCCAGTGGCGTGAGACCTTCGTTGGGGTCTCGTTGCTCGAGAACAGTCCAATCAGCCTCGATATTTTTTCGAGCCTTGCCTCAGTCAAGAATCCTTTGCGAACAACTTCATGAATACCCATGATGAGAGGTTTGACTTCGGCTACTTTTTGTCATCTGCTGTTGTGGAACTTTCTGAAAAGGTTCAAAGTAAACTAGAACATATTGGGATCCAATACATGTATCCATCTCTATCATAGCTACTATTCTTCCCGGGGCCTCTGCACTGCAGCTGAGTCCCAAAGGCGTTGTGCAGCTTAAGTAAACGGCTAAGATGCCTCCTCAGTCACAGCGCCCCCGCATAAGGAGGCAAATACGGACAGAGAAGCGCCAAATTTTGCCAAAAAGAGGCCGTCGCCGTCTGATTGTCATAGACGGCAGTAGCGCCAAGGGGTTGTGAAGTTGAAATACAGTAGCGGCGGAATTATCGGACTAGGGAGATGTTGGGCTCGTGCGGCTTGAGGCAATAGGTGGGCAGAAACACGACACGTCACCCACCGTGCTGAAAAGGTGCGAGCATGCAGCTGTCTTGCTTTATACTGGTCGGCAGGGACATTAGGGAGGATGATTGTCCACTGCCTGAGGGAGAACGGCCAACATGCGAACAGCGCGATATCTCTGGTATTATGTCAAGTTGAACTTCGGTTGACGGTCCAGAAACCTAGCTTGTAGACTAATTAGGAAAGGAAAGAAGAGTTAATTACCTTATTTGGGCTTTCTAACCGCATTAGGAAGGGTTCTCTTAGCCTCCGGGACTAGCCTGGCGAACTTGCTTCTCGATGTCGCCCTCGATCAACACCGAAAGAACATCATATCCATTCCATGTTTCTAAGCCTAGTACTCCTCTGACTCACTGACCAGCTTGGACTGGGCTCAACAAATGACATCCGCTAATCGTGAGGCTTTTGCCAAAGGTTGGCAAGGAATCTTTGTACTTGGTGATATAGTTGCGTATTTCTTGTAGCGGGATGTTGGTGGTGACAGTAGGCCTCCAGCTTCTGTTTTATTGGACAGACGTGGAGGGACCCAAAGTACTTCATCCAGCTCAGACATGCATGGCAAGTCAAAAGCCTGGGAGGATGTTTTGTCGATGAGCATCTGATGCCAGGAAACCAATGGTGGTTTCCTTAAATGCCCTGGGTTCTGATGGGGCACAGGGGCAGGCCACCGCGACTTATTTCACAGGCTTGAAAATTCGAAACGGACACCCCCTCCCACGGAGCTACCATCTCAACTCTTCGCAAACATCATGGAAAATGCAATCCGGGGGGGGGGGGGGGGGGGGGGTGGACGAAATGGAGGAAGAGGAGTACGAGCACTCCGTGGCAACTTCAAACCTGTTCTACCTCTTCTCAAGACCCTGATTGCACGATTCAACCCGAGAATGCTGCCCATGTTCACCATCATCCAAGAGGCAAAAGCGAGGAAGCTTAAAGTCACCGTCAAGTGCACCGGGCATTCTTACGCTGACCACTCGACTGCCTTTCAGGGCATCTCGCTCGACATCAGGAGGATGAAAAATGTGGCACTTGACCTGAAATCGAAGCAAGTCGCGATAGATTTCGGTGGCCAGTCGGGCGACGTGTATAAGACGCTAATCAAGGACAAGCATACCGGTAACGGCTCTATTATCAACGGCGGGAGATGTCCTCTGGTGGGCGTGAGCAGTTCATCCTGGGCAGTGGTCTTGGTCCGTTTACAAAAAGCTTCGGAATTGGCAGTGACACTTTGATGGAAGCCGCTGTTGTGACGGCAGACGGCGAGAAGATCACTGTCAACGAAAACAATGGGGGAGACACAAAAGGAAGGAATGCTCTTCTGGGTACTGCGCCGCGTCGGCGGGGGCGGCAAGTTTGGTGTCCCGGTGAGCGTGACGCTAAATGTTCAGCGATCCAGCGATTGTCGAACAGAGATGGTGCAGTGGTGGTTGGGCGATGCCAATGGTCCCCTGGCGCAGGAAACGGGGACTTGTTGATGGCAACGATGAACAATTTCTAAACGACAAACTGGCCCACCGTGATGATCATCGACAGCACCTGGCTGCGCAACCTCTGCCAGAGAACGGGCGACGGCATCCGGTTCCTCACCTAATTTGACGGCAACAAGAGCGAATTCAATAACCTCATCAAACACACCAGACGTGGCGAATCAGCTCAAACGACGGTCTTGGCCCGAAGAGTCTACGCGTTTCTTACACGAGACGCTCGTCGGCCAGTGGTCCGAGGAAACCGCGAGGTCCTTCCCAATTAACAAGGCGGAACATCTACAGCTTTTTCGTCTTTCCGATGACAGAGACATGATCGAAAACCTCACGGCCATCATCAGGAAAGATATCGAGACGTTTCGGCGCCTGTCCTCCAGGGAAAAAGTTGAGATCCTCGCCACCTCTCCACGCGGGGGCAAGACGAGGGATGGATGGAGCGGGACATGCGAGGCTTTTTGGGAAAGGGCAAGAAGGAGCTGCGGCCCTTCTCGCTCAACAAGAAGGCCGCGTTCATCTACTTCCCCGACAGCACACTCTCCAAAAAGGCACTCGAGAGGGCGTATGTTGGGGACAGTTAGCATGGATTTTGCCGCGTCAAGGAGTGCTGGGACAGGGATAACTTTTTCGAGTGGGACCAGGGCGTCCGGCTTCTGCAGGGCGCGGTAGATGACCCGGACCCCGACGTGGACTTGCTGAGCGATGAAGACTTCACGGATTCGAGCGCAGGAGCATAGTGGGAGGCCTTTGTGAGAAAGGATGTCAAGGCAGGCCTTGATGATCTGACCAAATCGGGCTTTTGAGACCAGGTGTAGGTGGATGGACGTCGATACCATACGCTGTTGACCCCTTTTGACCCCGTCGTACCTCTCATACATTAGAAGCCTGCAAGGAGAACCCGAACTTAGGCAATTAGTGAACGTGGCTGCCATTCGAAAGGCAGGCTTGTTTCAATCCAGCGCAGCCACCAACATCGACACGAGACAGATCTGAGGAAGGTCAAGTCTCGAAATGAATGGCATAATCTCTAAACAAATTAATACAGCTGGATCATGTTGCTGCCGTCAGTCACTTGAGCGAAACGTCTAATTGGTTTACAGACAGGAGAAACAGAAGCCCTAAAAGACCCACGACACTCGTCTTCCGGTCGGGAACAGTCCAGTATCAGGTCCACTAACTCTCTCCAGCTGATCCAGTCGAAGTTGAATCACATCCCAGAACCAGAACCCCCGTTTCATGATAATCCGCATCTTTGAAGTCGTCCCAGCCGTCCCGTTCCCACCCCGTTCCTGTCCAAGACCTGTTAACTCCGGGATCCTGAATTCAACCGCTGCTCCCGGCGGCAGTCCTAGCCATAAGCCTGTAACACCAGAATATGCAAACGATCAGGTAAAGTGGCGTACGGCCAATCAAGCAATGGCTGTTCTTTCCTAAAGTTAACCACCTGATGTTTGTCAAATTAACGCCATACGGCTTTCCCGGTAGGCATCAAACTTCCCCTGCTAGCGGAATGTCCGTGCCCGATTGGCGCATGCGTAACAGAAGAGAGTCTCACTCCTCCTGCTCGCTCAGCACCACCGCCAGCGCCGGTGGGGGTGCCTCGCACGTCCATCCCGCTCATCGTCGTCCGTCGCATAGGATTCGACTGTGTCCCCAAAGCCTTCCCGTGACTATTAATTCCTTGAACGCGCGGACTAAGCACGCCAACCTTCCAAGGCCCTGCGTCGTTCTCTTTCAAAAAATCGTTCTTCGTGCCATGGACCATCCTCCTAACGTGGCCGGCAGCGAACATCGACTCGTTGGGCGGAGAACCAGCAGCCCCCGCCGTTGCTGCCGTAGGGGATCGGCGCCGCTGAGTCCGGGAACCATGAATACCTGAACGGCGAAGGGAAGAGGAGCGTTTGACCGCTTCACGGATTTTGAGCACGTCTTCTTTATCAGAGGCGGTGCTGTGGTGGTTTTCCGTGTCCGAGTTTGTTGCCGAGGAAATCCCGCCGGTATCTGTGAACGTGTCTGCAGTGGCTTTATTTTGCTGTGTGGGAATGAGAGAGCGGCGGTTCGATGCTCTGCTCGGGTCGATTTCTCTCAATGGTGATGCCTCATTGTCTGAGGACGACAGCGACGACATCTTCGGAGGCATCATGCTTGAGGAGAGTGGTGAGCCGTCATATTTCTTGGAAAGAAACCCGGCTTGAAAGCGGCGGCTCTTGGGTTGGACGTTTAGCGTAGCGTCTGGGGGAGGAGGGATGGGGGAAGAATCAGGAGATTGTGTCTGCAATTTCGAGAAGGACGAGGTCAGATCTGACACTTGGGGTAGGCTGATTTCAGCGGTTGATTCGTCCGACGAAGTGAACTTCTGTGGCGTCTTCTCAAACTCCGCAAGAGCGCCATCCTCGATGTCGTCTTTCCATCTTACAGCTCGCTTAACTCCCTTGGCAGGAGCTTTTCTTTTCTTCGGGGTGAAGGATATCTGGACACCTTTCTTTGCACTTCCCAGCAGACCACGACGTCTAGGCGATGGTCTAGCTGGAGATAATGCGAGGTGAGAAGCCATAATCGCAGCGGGCTTAGCCCTCACGGGACTTCCTTCCGTGATCGAGTTGTTGACATTCTGTTTGCGTCGTTTGGGTGTGCCTGCCTTGGTAGGGGCAAATGCCTCGACAGGAGCAAGGCTTCCATCTGGTTTGACGACATAAGATGCCGCACCCGTGGCGGAATTGATCATCCTTCCCAGAATCTGAGTGGCGGCTTCAACTGCCTCATCAACGGTCATGCGGTTCAAGCTTTCAATGGCCGAGATGGTCTCAAAGTGAGCTCGCAGGAGAACTTGGATGGTGGGTGCGTCTCCATTTTTGTCTTGCTCCGCCAAAGCTGCAAAAGCTTCCCGCTCAGCATTCAACTTCAGCAGTTCCACTTCGCGTCGAAGCATCTCAGAATCAATCATGTCGCCTGTATCCACTTCCTTCAGCTGTTTCAAGGTGTGCTCCAATGCCGTGTTCATAGGACGATCCCAGCTATTCTTCAGAACTTTCTGCTGGCAGTGATGTCGGCCGCTCTCCAACTCCATCATGATGCCTTGAGCCGTCTTCTTCACAGCCTGCATATTTTTCATGAGATCTTCTTCGTCCAGGTTGTCGTAAACTGCATCGAAGGCAGAAATCCAAGAAGACAGCATGGCAATCCGTCGGCCTATTTGTTTCAACTTGATCATGTTGTTCGTTCTTTCTTGTCTTTCTGCCCCAGAGTTCTCGTATGCCGCTCTGATTCTCTGTACTCCTTCTCGGGCAATGATTTCTTTCTTTTCATTCTGCTTCTTGAATTTGGTGAAAGCAAATGCCTCTGCGTCTTTCAGTTGAGCTTTCAATTCGTTGATCTGGGCCATCTGTTCGTCGATCTTCACTAGGTAATCTTTGACATGGCGATTGACATTATACACATTTCGAGTGACCTTTGTCTGAATATTCTTCGCTCGGTTGGCGTATCGGAGAGTGTTTTGCGTTTCGTCAAAGTGTGCACTCGAAGGACTGACACAAACGATCATGACAGTCTTGCAATTGCCGCCGAGAGAAAATTTGAGCAGACGAGTGAGTTTCGAATTTCTGTAAGGTACGTGGTTGCGTTTGCGTGGATCACAAAGGGCATTGATACAACTTCCCAGTGCCAGGAGAGATTTGTTGATGTTAGCACCTTCGAGCAGACGTTCGCCTCGATTCTTGGTAGCGCTTGCACGTTCGCTACCTGCCAGATCGATTATGCTCAAAGTTGCCATTGTATGGGGCTCCTCTACGCCGGCGTTCCGGTCCTTTTGAGCCACATTGATCTGCAAGACGGCGTGTGATCGGGAAGAGGTTGCGTTTGCTTCCGTGGGTGACATTGTCCGCATTTCATTCCCTCTCATGATCATCTCCATGACCTCTTCAACACTTTGCGGGTGATGGCTTGAGAGCCCCGCAACTGAGACTGCCTGGTTGGAATCCTCTCTCAGCATCAACCCGCCTTTGACGTTGCTCGGGACGAGCAGATCACGGATAGTTTCGTTGTAGATCTCAAGATAGGATAAGGATATCTCTGTGACCTTTTCGCTGGACTGCTCTTGAACCCTCTCAAACAGCTCCTTCATAGCTGAGAAAATGATGCCCGGCTCTTGGGCAGTGCCGGTGATTGTATGAGTCTTTCCACAGCCCGTTGCGCCATAAGCGAAGACGGTTGCATTATATCCATCCAAGACACTATCCAGCAGTGGTCTTGTAGTGGCTTCGTACACTTCACCCTGGGATGCGTTTTCGTCGAAAATGCGATCGAAACCAAATGTCTGGTCTTTGACTCTTTTGCCGGAGGGGACGACTGAACGTGAGAACTTCTGGACTGGGTTGTCTTCCGGAGGATCGAATATTCTGTTGGACCAAATCAATATGCGGGAAAGATTTAACGGAGTGAGCGGTGGATCCACATACAAACACTTCTCATCGACGACTTTGATGACGGAGCGAATGCCCTTTTGAGAGAGCTTTGGAGTTGGGGCAGCAGCCAGCGAGCCATCACCCAGAAAGATCGTTGTGTCGTCGCATTTTGTCAGTTGAGCGGCTTCTCTGATCGTAAACGGTCTAACTCGGACAGTGACTGAAATTGATGAGGCACCATCGGAGGCCATGGTGGCAGTGTGAGCTGCTTCAGATAGAGGATCACGGCCAGACAGAGCTCATCAGGGCACCCCTAGCAGGCCCTGGGAGAAAATGCGAGCGGTGAGATTCAGGCACGGTACGAAATGGTGAGTGTCGTAAAGATCAGAATGCAGGTCGGAGGCAGTGATCGAGGCTGTGGCTTGTTGAAGGTGTGTGTGGAGCGTTGATTTCAACTGCACGCATTGAGAGTCACTGTTGCGACTTCGCTCGATTCGCGTTAGTCTTCTTGGCGCTTTTTGTTGTCCAGGCAACGCTTTTGTCACGTGTCCCTCACACGAAGCTCTCGGCTTTCAGGCCCTTTTCATTCTTAATTTCTCCATATATTATTGTTCCTCCTTTCTATCTGTCTAGAGAACAGTGCCTCTTTACAATGAATAACAGCCAGCTACCCAGTTCATAGGCATTGCCTACCCTTAACATGCTTGTCACATTGATTCTAGCCCTCCCCACATTAAGGGAGCTTCTTCCCAGCTTTCCCATCGCTCCGCAAAGGTCCCTTGGTTTGTGCGAGAGTTCAACAGCAGGAAATCATCACAAGGTCTAGGTACCCATGTTTTAATCACGAGATGTCCCTTCCCTCCGGGTGCCGCTCCGTTCAATACCCGCAATGGTCAGAAGCCGCTGTTATACTCGGTATATACCAAGTACACTTCTTGACTTCGATCAATTCCACCTTGCGATCGGGCGGCTATTCGCGGCTCCAAGTCAGCCGATCAGATCCACAGGTTCCTGTTTATCTCGGAGGGGTCATGGGTTACCAGGGGTGGAGATGGGCGCTGACGTATCGTTAATCGTACGGTATACCACGAGCACGCTCCCACTCTATCTTGTCGATTAGCCCACTGTTCCTATCATCTGCAATTGCTATTGAGATGAGTTTGCATCTGTGCTGCTAGCTTCTCACTCTTTGTCCTATTCTTGCTCCTCTTTTCGTCTTGCCGCTTCCTGGTGTCTAGAATGGACCTCCATCTTTATACCAGATTAACGTCACGAATACCATCGAGGCAAGCCCTTCATGCGCAAGCCTTCCTTGCTCCCTCTGTGTACTCGCGTCACGAGACACGCCTACGATATCGAAAAGAGAATTTCGAGAACAGAGGGTTCCAACAGATATATCAACATCGCAAAGCGCATACACGACGCAACATAACATCCACAGCCTACGATGCCGCAGAGACCGATACGCCGCCCTCAGACATGCATTCCTCCAGACCCTTAGCATGCGTTCCCTTGCAGTCCCTGGTGCGATCTTATATCATCACCTCGATATCATCCATTCCGCCTCTGCTCCGTCCTTCATTAGCCGCCATGACCTTTCTCGCTCATACAAAGTCGGCTCTGTTCAACCCTGACCGCAATCCGATCCTCCACTCTCTCCTGAAACGCACCTTTTATGCCCAGTTCTGTGCTGGAGAGACGCCGTCAGAGGTTCGAAGCACAGTTGCAAGCTTGAAGCACACTGGGTTCAAAGGAGTAATATTAGGCCACGCGAAAGAGGTCGTCCTCAGTAAAGAAGAGGCCGATGGGTTGGATGTGCCTAAGAATGCAGCAGAACAGGCTCAAATCGATGCCGAGGAAATTGCCACGTGGAGACAGAACACCATTGACACGGTGGACCTTACGCAAAAGGGTGACTTCGTCGCGCTCAAATTCACCGGAGCGGGACGCCAAGCACTTCGACATCTGAAGGCCACAATCGCATGCTCTCCAGAGTTCGAGGTGGCAGTGCACGACATCTGCCAGCGAGCTCAGGAGAAGGGTGTCGGGCTCCTGTTCGATGCCGAACAAGCATCCTTGCAACAAGGTATCGACAACTGGACCTTGTACTTCGCAAAGAGATACAACAGAGAACAAGCGTTGGTATACGGTACCTACCAGGCTTACGCGAAAAGGACTCCAAAAAATCTGGCCAGCCATCTTGAGCTAGCTCGACGAGAAGGCTTCGTGCTCGGTGTGAAGCTGGTACGAGGGGCGTATATGGGCAGCGATCCCCGAGAGCTGTTCTGGGGAACCATCGAAGAGACCCACAATTGCTACAACGGCATCGCGAAGAGCATCCTGCAACGGCGATACCAGGGCATCCTGCAGCCGGGGGAGGCAGGATGCACGGAGTTCCCTCGGGTAGCTCTCGTGCTCGCCACCCACAATGCGGAATCGGTGAGACTAGCCAGCGAACTTCGAGATGAACAAGCGCGCACTGGTGAAGCCCGGATCGAGCTCGCATATGGCCAATTGATGGGGATGGCGGATAACGTCAGCTATGAGGTGGTACAGCGGGCAAGGACCCGTCTAGCGTCACACAACAACAACAGCAGCGTGGAGGTTCCCAAGGCATATAAGTATTTGGTTTGGGGCAAGATGGGGGAATGCATGAAATACCTCCTTCGCCGCGCCCACGAAAATCGAGATGCCATGACCAGGACGGTCGAGGCACGACGGGCATTGGGTCGGGAGTTGGGCATCAGAATGGCGTTCTGGCGGCGCTGAAGGGCTCAAGAGGCCACGAATGGAAGGAGACAAGAAATGTTATGGATCATGGACGGGGGGGCGGGCACATGTGATAACTTTGTAGGTTCTCACAGCGTTGCTTTGGCTTTGGCTTTGATTTACGAGCACTATGTCTGATATTTCTGGGTCTTATCTGCAGGTTGGTGCTATTGAAGCGAAGAGAGATCCAGATGTCCATGGACCGAGGACCTTAATGGACGGACCTAATGAACCATGGGTCCTGGAGTGTGCGCGGTGTGGAGCCCTGAATGGAGCATTTGGAGGAGCAAAGGACCAGTTTGGAGGTTGGAGCAGCAAACATACAGTACAAATGGGAAGAGATTCCCACCGAAGCTGGCAGGAGCAAACAAAACTCGCCCTTTCGAAATTGGCACACATTCAGAGTGATCTCGCGAAGCTTGAAGTTACAAGATACAAGAAACAACCGCCCTTTTTATTTTGGTTTTGGTTCGGGTAGCTGCTGCTTGAAGTTGATGCCCATATCCGCCACGACTCCCGCCACGCGCTGCTGTCTCTGATCTGTAGCGGGAGCCTTCCCCTTGCTTGCCTTGTCACTTCTTTGTTTGCAGGCATCCCAGCACCAGATTCCAGAACCTGCCCGATCCAAAGTGAAGTGACTGCCTGAGACTCCAGGAGAAGGTCTATTGAACACCGCCCTCACACGTCTGCCGGACCCCTTCAAAGGCGACCAGACCAGATCAGAAACATCTTTCCTCGCACCCTGCTCTCTGCTCCCTGCTCCCTCATCCCTCGCCATGATGCTCTCCAGATACTCCTCGTCCTCCTCCACCTCCAGCCCAACCTGGCGCAGCCTTGGCCACCCCTCCACCGTCCCCATCTACTCTCCCTCCCTCATCTACAGTGACGCCAGTAGTGACGATTCTGAAGTTGGTGAACCCCCCCTGGCCTCCTTGGACACAATATCTCTCACACTCCCTCCATCATCGTACCCTCGTGCCCTCCAAATCCCGCGCAAGGCGAAGGCGAAAGCATACTAATCAGGCATCAACACAGGACATTATGGCAATCGGAAACGACCCTCTCCATGTCAGCGATGTTATGGCGGATGCCCTGAGCCACTTGAACCGGGTGGTGGAGCATGTAAGGGACGGCTCTTCCCATGTTGCAGCACGCTGGACTAATCATGGAACAGCTGCGAGGCGAAGGTGAAAATGAAGCAGCGAATGGCATCGCACGCGACGTCCACTCCATGCTTGACACGTTCAATCATACCACGGCCCCTTGGTCTATCGAGAAATTCCACATGAACTCCATCCCTGTCGCCAAAGCTCAACTACTCCCCCAAAACGGCAGTGCCGGTCGTGCTGTGGCAAGACCCAATACTTCGTCCACTTGGGCAGCGGTCGCTGCAACCGACATCCCGAGCAACAATCGTTTGGTCAAGTTTGGACCGTCTGATGGATTAAAGCGACACATCACCGAGCAGGACTCGTCAAACCAGGCCCAGCCGCGGGAGGAGGACTTCCGCTGCATATGGATCTATGGCTGGTCCAAAGATAAGCCCTTGAGCATGGTGACGGAACGAATCAGCACCGGTGCCATCTTTTCCATGGCATACGTGGAGCAATATGAGGCCGTCTGCGTCATCTTCCAGTACGCCGGCGCAGCCATGATCTTCATGAACGAAGAAGCTGAAGCAGTTCATGACTATGGTCTTGGCTTGTTCGGAAAAGGCCATGAGGTCAAGTATGGCGAGCCGTATCCCGAGAACGACGACCTCGTTCGCATGTCACCTCCCACCAACGAGCGCCGGCGCTTGACCTTTGCCCGTCAACAGCTCTTCACCAATGGTTTGACTGAGGAGAGATTCAGGAGGGACCTGGCCGAGCTTGTCGGTCGACACAACGTCGAGTTGGTATGGCTGTTTAACACTGGCAATGGTAAGTCGGCACACACCCCGCCCTCGCCCTGCCCTCACCCTACCCTCTGCTGGTCTGACCGTCATCCCTAGCTACGGCCGTCTTTTCGTCGACTGTCATTGCCCGCATTGTCCGAGACGAGTTTCTTCGTCGATCGAGGAGGCCCGGACCTTACCAAGAGGTCCAGGTTGGGTTTTCTCATGACCCATGCGAACGTCCCATGAACTTGATCACTCAAATTCCATACCCCGCCCCAGGTCCTCGAGATCGCAGCAACAGTGCAAAGTCTGGATCGAGTGGCCGTTCCTACAACCCCAATGCTGCCAAATTTATTCCAGGCGCAGGCACCCGCGTCCGGAAGGGTACCGACTCAGATGGTTGGCAGACTGTTCAACGCAGACGCTAAACGAGGAGGTTGCTTCCTCCCCTTTCCTTTTGACTACCCACATACTCATTCTTTTTGTGAAACTGTTTTTCTACAGATTGTCGTGGAAATGGAATATTGCAGGCCTATGGATAGCCCATGGCACTGCTCTCGAGTCTCAAGGGTATACTGCAGGTCATTTCGGATGGTGAAGCATTGCAAAGCGAGGGCGACATGGTGCACAGACAAAGCATTTGCTCATTGGGGAGATCTGGACAAGGGGTTATCAGCATATGATACATACAGAACATCTGGCTCAACTGCTGGAATGGACGACAGGACGTTGCAGCTTGCAAGGAATGGTGTACGGTTGCTTTCTCTCTCACTCGAGAGTCTCCTACTTGTATGCCTCCGGATTTGGCAGGACCATATTAAATCCCTGTGGCGCCCGAACGTTGTTATTTCTTTTTGCTCTACTCAGTTTGCTCCTGGATGTTCCCTCTTCCTTTGCTCTGTACACGTCTATCTCCTGTCCAGGCCTCCCTCGAACATACCTAGTGAGTTAATAGGGCGTGGTATTCACCTTGAGATCGGACCCCAGTAGTTTCAACTCTTTGTGTCTGGTGCTGCTGTCTTGTGTCACCCTGTCTGGTTGTCCCGGCCAGCTTCCGCCCCACAGGTATTCCATGTCTCCCTATTCGCGATACTAGGGTCTGCATGTCCGTCTGATGGTGGCTCCTAGTCTTGGTGGCAGGTCACGTTCAGCAAGGGTTGAGCTTTTCTCGATACAGCCGGCGGAGGCCAACAAGCGGATTGTTGACATTTGAGCTGGAGGCCAGTTGAGCCATGGCACGAATTAGTCGTCAGCAGTGGATCACCCATGGTGGAAAGGCTGGAGGTTCGTAGCTCATCTTTGCTTGGAAGGATGAATGGCGTGGAGGTCGAGTGTGTGTGTACATCTCATTCAGGTCTTGAAAGGATAAAGAAGGGAAAGACATGATGAATGCACTCAGTCTATGTATATTACCAGCTACCCTATCTATCGATCTACCTACCTACCTACCTACCTACCTACCTACCTACCTACCTACCTACCTACCTACCTACCTACCTGCACCCTCCTTCATGAGCAAAGCCCTTGCACCGATTCGCGTTCGGATTCGGAAAACACAAATGTCTACCTCTCTCCTAGATACATACATATATACATATCGCAAGTCGCGGTCGATGCTCACTTTCAACCTTAACCTAAACCTAAACCTACACTTTGGCCTTCATTATACATATCACAGACCACATTCCACATGGATGCATTACCTCTTGCAAGGCGGTCCTTGGGGTTTTGCCCTCGGCGAGCAGAGTTTGATATCGTGGTCTGTCTATCTGTGTGTCTGCAGGTTGCTCTCTCTCCCTCCCCCTCCCCCCTCCGGGGGGGGGAATTTCCATTAATATCAGCATGGCCAGACCGACATGAATTGAAAGGGTGGGCTAGAGGGAAGGTGCTGTGGTGTTTTGAGCTGGATTGAGTTGAGCCCGCTCACTTACTCGCTGATGCTGTCAATTTTATTCTCACTCACTGCACCGTACGACGACTAGGACGACCGTGAGCTCGAAGAAGAGAAAAGGGGGGAAAAATAGAAAAAGATCATCGAGGACGGTCAGTCCGCTGAGAACGAGCACCTACTCCCTACATTCCTCCCTATATATACAGGATGATGAGTGTGGTGCCAACAAACTCCAAGATGCGTGTATACCTGTGTGTCTGTGTGTGGATGCTACGAATGGAAAGACTGTGTCTATGTGTTTTGAACGCCGGGGGATACTGCTGGATTCCCAGGAGCCAGGTACATAGTATGCTGCCAGAAAAGACCATCGTGTCTGTCGACGTTGGTGACGCCTTGGAGCTGGAAGTCTCGAGCTTCCGTTCGTCGCGGTGTCCCCAGGTCACAGTCATCGATACGTATGATGCCTCTTGGGGTATTCGTTGAAGAGGGTGGAGTCTCAGAGAGTCGTTTGCCGCCATTTGTCGTATGTGGTTTATATATTGATACCTCTAGGCTTACGTACCTGCCTGTGCTATGTATAATACCTATGTACATACCTTACCCTACCCACTCTCCTTCTATCTTGGCTGTCCCCCTGCCCCATTGTCAAAGACACCACAGGCCAAAGCGCCACATCGATGCACGATTCACCCCTCCCCTAACCTCCCTCTTCGACTCCCCAGGGAAGGGACTTGAGAACACAAGAGAAAAAAGAAGTGAACAGAAGAAGGGAGTGTGGACATTCAAGTTCGAGTTTCGAACTGCAATGCGGCTTGGCTTTTGCGTTCCAAGTTCTACCTACCTACCTACGTGGTTAGGACGCTCTCTCCCCTGGATTGTGGATACTACATATGACGGTGTCCTCGCGTTCGATATTAGATCCCGGTATTCGCTCACGTCTAAACTAGAATAGGAGCTAAACGCGACGTCTTCTCCGCTCTGGTTTCTCAAAGGCAAACTCGGGCGTGCGTTGGATGTGCGTGGTACGAAATATGTATGTCCCACAGCACCTAACCCAATCTACCTAACCAGCTCACAGACCTCTAGATGACGACGACCACGACGACCACCGGTGCATCCTCCTCCTTCCTAGCTCCCTTTCACCCTTCCTCTGCTTATTTGGATACTCATCCAGGGTTAGGTAGTCAGTTAGCTACACCTTGACCTCCTGGAAGCGCTTCACAGGGGGACTCTAGAGGGCCTGGTCGAGAAACGTCGTGGGAGGCGGCGGTCGTGGGGATGGGACATGTGAATTGTTCTTTATCTTCTCAGAGCCGAGCAAAGAGGAATATTCCAGGAGCTGTTGCATGTATCTCGCCGGATGGCAGGGAAGGGCGGGCTATAGATCAGATTGCCAGGTGTCTTTGGTCGTAGTTTCCCAGTCGTTGTCTTTCAACACGGTGTTTGCCCCGGAAACTGGAGATGGTTAGCCCGCACATGTCACATCTGGGTAGAAACGGGAGACAAAGGGGCGGGAGGTTAGAAGGCCTTCGTTGCGTTTGCGCACCATGGGCAATAATGGGGAACGAGGGTTACGAATCCAAAGGGAGAGGATGAGAGGTGGAAGAGACGAAGTACAACCTAGTCCAAAATATCTTCGAACTCGAGGTCTATGCTTCGACCCTGCGTAGCACCTTATACGAGTTCCTTTCCTATATACACCACTGGCCTGGCGCGGATGGCTTTGGGTTAGCTACCTCTATTTCTCCCCCCGGCCTGGGCTCCTTTTAGTTGACTGAAAATGCTAGCCCCATGGGATGGGATGATGGGCTTTCTCAAGTCCACGGACTTGCGAGACCCGTCAACAGCTCGATTATTGGTCAATGTCGCGGAGCCCGTGTTTCCTCTCACATAGCAATAAGCACATGAAGGTGAGTGGGCGGCCATTGAATTCGACCGTAAGATCAGTGATTTTGCTCTTTTTCTTCGAAACTGTCATTATTCAAAATGCATTCCATGATAGAGAGGCCAGTGCTGCCGTCACAGTAGGGATGTAGATATCGCGGGATATATTGTTTGCCTGAGGATCGAAGCCTCGGTGCAGGTTTGGGTCGAAAGAGTCATGCCCCTCCAAAAAAAAACAGATCACCATCCCTTTCCATATATCCACGTGAGCTGCGGCGTGCAGAGCCGGATGTTTGCGCTGCACATGAGGCAGTCATGACATATCATGAGTTCAACTGGCTCGGACCATGGGTGCCTGTCGCTCGCAGAAGTACATTCTTCTGTACTGCTTGGGACCCTGCCGCGATGGTCCGGTTTGAAAGACTGCGGAGGGTAAGCAAAGTAGCTTGCATTTAGAGACGCAGGCCGGGTGGATGAACCAAACCAAAGGGGCGCCGCTCCATGGTTTTGAATCCGGGTTGTGGGGTTCGTTGCATGCGGAGCTCCATTCCGACAATCCCTTATCACTTGTTTGATCCTATCAAGAGATTCTAGGATTTGATGCCGGTTAGTCGCAATATAGAAGGACGATTGGATATGTCAGAACGTGAAATCGGCGAATGTCCTATTGTCAAGCAAGAGACGTTGTCATTCCCTGCGCAAGTACCGTGAGCAGAGCCCAAGGCAGAGCAAGGCTCGAATTGACAATGGTGTTTTGTTTTCGAATGCTTCCATTGCTGAGTGTAGTCGCCAACTACAAACTGTCTGAGGAGACAAAATATCAACTGAACGTACAAAGCAGCTCGTCCTCTGAGTTCTACTCAGGTCATCCGATCAAAGAACGTTCTCTCATCAATACGGGCTAAGCAATGCCAGTACAATCGGGGCTCTGGATTTCGCGCAAAGGCCAAACGAGTGAGCGTGGCAGCAGTAGGACGCTCTCCACCAAGAGTACAAAATAATAAGGAGGCGACGGCATCAATGAAGATATTCTCGGAACCAAGACACAGCGGCATTCTTGGCCCGCTCTAAGCCCTTTTTCTGCGTCGGATTCTCAGTATCACCTCGCGTAGCGAAGCCATGGGCTAAGCCGGCAAAGTATTGGTAATCGTAGTCGATATTCAACGTTGGCAGGACCTTTAAAGAATACTCTTTAAGTTCTGGAGTATAGGTGGGATCCTCTTCTGGCGCGAGGAGCTGGGTAGGACAACCGACGGCGTCAATCTCTGCTTTTTCAAGCAGAGACGGGTGTGCCGTCGAAATGCAGTCGACCAGGTTGTTGCCTTTTCAGCCCGTTCCATGTTGTCAGTCACGGATCAAGCCAGTCTCAAGAAACAAAAGGTCGAGAAAGGGAGTGCTAAAACTGACCTTTGGCTCCCAGTCGAAAAACCGCCCAACCACCATAACAGAATCCAATTGCACCGACCTTTTTATAGCCCAGGTCCTTTTTCAGTGCAGCAGCACAGGCAAAAATCTCCGGTTGCCTGATGTCCTTGCCGTGTCGACCAATAAAAGCTCCCACATCCAATGGTCCAGTCGATGCATGATCGCCAGATCCAAAGAGATGATCGGGAGTGACGATCTCGCCGGCGAAGCTGGATGGGGAGGACAAAGAAGATGGATTCGTCAGCAATTTTGGGAAAAAAGCCAGAGAGCCTTTGACCATGTGCAAGAGAACAGCGCTGAATAATTGGCAGTGTGTGCAATACACCAGCTAATTCAGTCACCAGCACTTACAAATCAGGTAAATACACAGTGACGTCTGCTTCCTCGGCGTAGTGGTCGGCCAGCAGTCGAGTATTGTTCAAGGTCCAGCCGAATATGTCGTGGACGATGAGAACCGCCGCATCTTTGTTGGTGCCAGTTACGTAGGCCCTTTTATCGGCAAGAGTGGCTTCGTGGCCTTTCGGGGTACCATCCCACCGGAAGCCAGTAACACAACAACTAGACAGGGACATTGCGAAGATCTAAAGATTTGTGCCAATTATCGGACACCGAGACTAGTACTTAGGACGTAGAGTAATGAGACGAAGGGCAAAGGATGGAAGCGCCGATGAGGCATCGAAGAGGAGGAACAAAGGATGTTTACTAATGCTTATCTGCTAAGGCTGCATGAACCCACAAGGCAACCAATGAGAAGGCTTCAAAGCCGGAGCATAATATTCCCTACCGAAAACAGTAGTCTAGCCGAGTTTGTGAGGTCTTCTCGGACTGAAGGGGAAGATGATGGAAGAGGAGAGTAAGGCACACAAATCGTTTGGACTGTGCAAAGACATGTCAACTCGATGATGTTTCCGGAGGGTCTCCCTATCTGACGATGCGGCTGCGTCTGGGCCGAGACAGAACGTTTCTTTCGCACACAGAATATCAAGAGGTTGAATCGTGGAGATTTTCTTGCCGCATAAGGATTGGGAAGGTGAGTCCTAGGGCACAGTGTTCGGGAGCTGCCATATTAAGCAGCAGTTGATCTCGGGATTGATCGTGGCATCAGATTCATCGGGTTGGGTTTAATGCAATGCGAAATATCGGAAGTTCCAGCGATGGGTCTCTTCAACAATCCGAAGCACCTTCTCCACGCATTGGAACCCACGAGCGCGATCCGAAGTGCTTGATTGCCCTCCCCCGTGCCATAAGTTTGCTGCTTGGGGGTCTAATCGGCGGGGAACTAGAAGAATGCCGCCCCTGTGATTGAAGGATCTTAACGAAAAGCGGCCGCTCTTGCTTACGGAGTACCTTGATCGACCCGAACAGATGCAAAGGCTTCGGGATAGACACCCAGCAAGGCACTCTAGATTTGGTTCAGGGGTTGTTTTGTGAAATGGACAAGGGCCTGGGGCCCCAGCCTTGCCAACATTGGCTTCTGTTCTTCCAAGTTCTGATCCCCGAAGAGAACAAGGGAGGTCATCATCACCCAGGACTGTCACCACTGTGGCAAGTGCTGGAAAAAGCATCCATCCTGGCCATCCCATCCATCTAGCCGAAGACCAATCAAGGTGAGAAGGTGGTTTTCTAGCTCCAAAGTAGCCGGCAACCGGAGGCCGTTGGAGGCCAATTGGATAGCCCTCAGCAGCAGATGGTGGCAGAAGGAACTGCTGAATCTCGTATTCCTCCCCTCTGGGGACATCTGGGGGGGGAAACCTGGGCTGGAGGCTGGAGGCCCATCAGCCCCGAAATTTCACCTCTACGCGGGGGCTTGGCTACCTAGGCACTAAGGAGCGAGGAAGGCGCCCATGCAATTAGGGAGAGTTTAACTAGCTCCCAATGGGTTTTGGTACCTCTGGCATCTCTGGCGCCTGCTGGGCGACGCATTGGGCTTGCCTGGTGACATTCCTTCAGCTCTCACTCGCACCCCGCAACCTCGAACCCGGATCCCCTTGGCCATTGACAAAGACCCGCCATCGGGTCTGGGTGCGGTTCCGCGTGAGACGTTCATGTTTGGAACAGCTTTAGTCATGCCTTCGGGAAAGGCAGCCTCATCCCATGCTCATCCTGGTTCTGGGCCACGATCATGCCAGAGCGAACGTACCACGAAGTACTGGGTACTCCTCCCACCCCATCCCATCCTTTTCACCTCAGCAACCCCCTCCCATGCGCCAACCTGTGTGACAACAACTCACCTGTCGTGATCATGGCCACCCATACTACTACGCTCAGCCACGGAGTTAATGCTACCGCTCGACCTCCCGAGACCACAGACACCCAAGGCGTCTCGTCCCGCCGCTTGAAGAAGCGGGAAATCGACCGACGATGCCAACGTCAAGCCCGCGAACGCACGAAGTCCCGCATTGCCTACCTCGAAGGCCTGGTGGAGGATTTCCGGCGCCAGGATTCGAGCGGTCAGATCGCCACGCTGATGAAGCAGTTACAAGAGGTGGAGTCAGAGAGAGACCTGATGGCCAAGACCCTCAAGGACATCCAAAAGGCAATGGACATACACAAGCCGACAAAGCCGGTCGAGGAAGAGGTGGACGACAAGAGCACAGTGCTAATGGCGAGAATGGCCTATGAAGAGGCCAGTAGTGTCGAGCGGCGAAGTTCCAGTCTTACTCCTACCCGAGACGACGCTCCTCTAGCCTTCCAGCCCGACCCCCTCGATATGCAATCGGCCACCAGTCCGGCGAGGAACTTCGACCTGGCCACCTTCTCGCCAACACCAAGCTTGCCGCTGCAGTCCCAGGATCTTCTCTTTGCCCCAGAAGTGGTGCCCTTGCAGACCGATGGCACCCGTGCGTCCGCTCAAGTCATGGTGCAATCCAAGGCTGTGAAAGAACAGAACCCGATGCCGTGCAGCTGGAGCGACAACTGGGCGATTCCGCGACGATCCTGCTCGTGCAACAGCTGCCACGAGCGTCGCCCTGGCCGTCGCTCCGTCTGGCGGGGAAACTACTGGAGCTACGCAAACGAAGTGCTAAGCGAACGCTTCGAATGGAACGAAGAAGTGGCCCCGGAATCTGATGAGCTGTGCGACGACGTGCCGATTCGCGCATTGATCGAGGGCTGGGACGCCGTGGCAAAGCGAGCTCCCTTGCACCCTTCATGGCAGATCCTGCGCCGCATCGACGAGACCCTGTTCTCCATGTGTCCCAACACCGAACGTCTGGCAATCCTGCGCGCAATGCACACGCTGTTGCAATTCCACACCGAGTCAACATTCGACCGCTATGCACGACTCCCGCCGTGGTACATGCGTCGCCCGTCCCAGAAGATCGCTCACTCTTACGCAATCGACTACTTCGCGTGGCCGGGCGTGCGGGAACGGTTCATCTTTAATGAACACGACTACTGCGGCAACGACTTTTGGCATTTATTCTGCAAATCCTTTCGGATCTTGTGGCCTTATGAGTTTCGAGACTGCTATACTCGGGAGATTGAGACGGGCATGTACAAGTTCTCCCCAATCTTTGATCAGCGACTGAGGGACATCAAGTGTTGGACAATGGGACCTGATATCTTCCAGAGGTTTCCAGAGCTGTACAGCGATATGCCGGCGTTCAACCATATTCCACAGTCCCCGTGTTCGTCCGCAGGGAGCATCATGCCAGTCTCGGTGCAGACGCATGTACAGAAGGCGAGGCTACTTCCGCCGACCCCGCCGGCGAAGACAACCCAGACTACCGGGACGGGCTACGTGATCGAGGAGGAAGAGGAAGAAGTAAAGCCCCCTCCGGCAGGCAGCCAATTTATCCCCGTTGAGAACTTGCACACGCATGTCGTTCAGACACCTCAGCCACAGCCACAGCCTCCTCGTCAGCAACAACATCATCGGCAACACCAGCAGCATCACCACCAAGGCTCGCCTTTGGATAATCCCCATGCGTACAACCCATCAGACTTCAACCCGATCATGGCGCTAGACGCGTTCGCATATGGCGCCATCAGTGAGGTGGACTTTGCGAATGCGTATCATTCTGAACCGATGGAGGGGTATCCGAACCTGATCTTCTGAGCGGCAATGGTGAGTGGTTGGCAGTGCTGTACTTGGACGGGAGAGCCCCGAGCGGAAAATGGTTAGATAACACTTGGACCATGTAGGTAAGTGTTGCTCGACAATATCAAGAATAGCCCGTTAAAGACAAGTCCAAACGCAGGGGACTTGGTATGGATGCCATGTTCCACAGAATGCAGCTCTGGTGTGCACTTGTGCGCCCAGAGTCGTTTGCACCCAGCGAGCAGGAGGAGTGTGTGTCCAGGATAAAAAAGGGGGGAAGTTTGGATCCCAGACACACATCCGTATCCATCCAACCGACATGCAACCGACAGATTGCGAAAACATTAATGACGGCTCATGGGGCTCATGGGGCTCATGGCTCATGGCTCATGGCTCATGGCTCATGGCTCATGGCTCATGGTCCATGGTCCATGGTCATGGTCATGGTCATGGTCATCATCATCCATTCTCCATCACCATCCTCTCGCTTTCACTAACCACCCAAAACCCGCGACACCGCCGAATAAATTTCTCATTCCAGAAAAAGCGGCGCAATCCGTCCTCGCACCCTTCCCACGTCGCCGTGACCTCGGGGAACCGGCGTCTTAGGTCACGCATGAGCGTCAGGCCCTGGGGGAGCAAGGCGTCGTTTGCGGCGCGCCACGAGTCGACCAGGTTGAACCATATCCAGAGGAGGACGGATTCTTCACTCTCGATATCGATCTCGATCTCGGCAATAGCATCTTTGTCACTGGAGGGGTTTCGAGACGTGAACGCTCGCATGGGAGTAGAATGAGATGTTCGTCTCACGCGGCGCGGGGCGTCCGTCGTCAATTTCATCCTGCTGCCGTTGTACACGGCCGTGACGGCCCTCATGGGCGAGAACGTGTGCAGACAATACAGCAACAAGGCCAGGACGATCATTTTCTCGAGATTTGGCACCATCATTTCCTCCTCCGTAACGCCGTCCTCGGCAAGCCGCGTGTGCACTTCGTCCGGCGCGCCCAAGCACGTGCACGCCTCCCAGAAATCCTGGAATCGCCGCGGCTTCGTGCGGAAGACGTCGCTGGGCGTGACGATCGTGCTGTGCCGCATTTGCTCTGCGTGTGCCTCAGCCGTGCGGGAGAGGACCTCGAGCACGTCGAGTGCGAGCCGTCTTTGGTGCGCCAGGGCCTGGAACCCGAGCGGCAGCGACGCGACCTTCTGGGCCAGAGGAGAGGATGAGGAGGCGAGGATTTGGACCGATGGATACACGGGCTGGTAGGCAGGGCGGGATTCTGGGAAAATACTAGACCCCGTGTTGAGCGCCCAGAAGGACTCCCACTGCATCAGCGTGCAGCGCGCGAGGCCGTCGTGCCCGTGTAGATTCTGCAACCCGCCCCGCGCGGCGACGAGGGTGGCGATTGTCCTCTTGTGGATCTCGTGCGAGGGCAGATCGTTGATGGCGCGGGTCACCACGGCGAGGAAGAGGACGGTCATGATTGTCATGTCGTCAACGAGGAGGGTTTCGTTGTTGCTTCTGTCCTTCGCAGCCGGTTCAGGGGAGTCCTCCTCCTGCTCGTCATCACGGCGCTGATGACCATTATCCGGAGCAATATCAACACTCACATCGTGACCATCCTTCCTCTTCTCTCGCTGCCTCCTTCTCCTCCGCTGTGTTTCCTTCTCTCGTTCCCGCTCCGCCTCCTCCGCCTCTTGCTCCCTCATCTCTCTCTGCACGCGCCCCAACCTCCTTCGCAACCTCACCATGGCCGTCCCGATATGTCGTAAGACGTTTTCGCTCGGTCCTGAGGCGTCGTCGGGTCGTCGGCTCAGATGATCAATGATAGCCTGCACGCTCGCGACGCCCGTGTACAGGAAGTCCGGGTGCGTGAGCAGCTCGAAGTAGTACGACGTGTAGACGTTTGTGACGTTGAAGATCTTGTAGATGGGCGCGTGGTTGGGCGCCATGATCTGCGCGTGGTAGTCAATTACCGCGTTAACGGACGGCGAATGGGCGTGCCGTCGCGGGATGCAGTCGAACGGGTCGGCGCGCGTGCCGAGCAGGTCGTGCGGGATACATGCTGGTGTTGTCGGCGTCGTCGTCGGGCTGTTGATGTTGGTGGCCCAAGGCCCCATGTGTGCGGTAGTCTGAGCGTACGGGTTGATTTGGTAGACGACATGGTGACGAGAGGGCGTCCTCGTCTGTGGGAAGATGAGTGCAGCCGACGAGGCGGAGGACGAAGAAGATGACAGCCTGTCGAGGAGGGACGAGGAGTTGGAATTGAAATTGACTTCTTCAACGTCTTCGGTGTGATTGTCCTCGCTGTTGCCCTCCCACAAAATCCCGGGCCAGGTGGAGTCGGGCGGTGTCAGGGCCTGGTTGGAGGACGGGTGTGCGAAGGGATTTGTGGACCACGGTTGGAACAGACTCGTATGAGTCGGTGTATTTAAGTCGCGCTCTTGTGGCGACTGGGGCGGCGTCTGCAATCCATGTTGTGGTTGAACTTGACCAAAGGACAGAGTCGGGTTGGACGATGAACGACCGCAGCCATCATCATCCCAATATGGGCCCGGGCCAATGTGAATAGCGTCTGGTCTGGCGATGAACTGGGACGGCCGCCGGCCGCCACCAACACTGGCATGGTCACTACGCTGCTCCTTCAGCGTCTGCGGTCTCTCGGGGTGTGGTGGAGGCCATGGCTGAGGATGAGATTGAGGTGCTGCGAGGCGGGGTGCCTGACGATGATTCTGATACGAAACTGAGGCCGCGTGCGAGCGGGCTTTTGCTCGCTCCAGTTCCTTATCCCGCTTCGACGAGCCGACGGGTAATTCCTGCACGAAATGGAGTCGAGGCATCTCTTCTTATTTCATGGTTTTTCATTGCATTGTAGCGTGGTGGACAACGAGGGCATGGGACAACGAAGCCGGACTCATCCTGAGGGAAAGTTTTGAAGCTGGAGGGGCGGCGTTGGATAGCGCGTACGGACTACGTCCTGCCTCGGGGAACGGCAGTCAATTAGTCGAGTTGGGGGCAAGAATGGACCGGAGACAGCCACCGTGTTGAACAGTTGAACTGGAAAGGAGAGGAGAAAGGGGACAAGGTGGACTGACTACTGCTGTTTGTGTATACCTAGACCACGTCGACGGCGTACGGTGTAGGGTGTCCCTGTGAGCCCCCAGGCCCTCGCAAGAGTATCGACAGTAGGTATTGCGTGCGAGTCGAACGAATGTCAGCGTCCCTGTTCCTGTCCCTAGCTCTTCATGCAACCTGTACTGTACTGTTAATACGAGGTACCGAGCACGCAAAACAGGGCTTGAACGGGGTCAGCAATCGCGTGGGCCGCGAGCCTCTTTTTGGATCAGTTAGTAATCCACGCGCGCTCGCGCTGCCTTTTCCTTGCACGGCTCAGCCAAGGGAAAAGTGAGGGAAGGGGGGACATGGTGGACTTAGGCCATTCGCTGATCGGGTGCATGCCAATACCCCGGACTGGATATTTGGTTAGTATGTAATACCTGTATCCAAAAAAAAAACGAGATTGGCAGGTTCTGTAGGCGGAATTTCGCCGAAGTGAACGCAGCAAATAGCGCACAGTTCATGATTCTTTAGCGATAAAGGAGTCGACAGAGAGATGAATGCACTCCATGGGGGAAAAAAGGAGCCTTGGGAAGATATTGAAACACCTGGGTTCAAGGGTCAGGGTCAAGGATGGAGGGATGAATGCATGACATCCAATCCGCGCTGGCCTGATCAACTCCTAGACAAGTAATTGTATTGACGATTGGGGCAAACCTCGGGTATCCCATTGTCTCCTCCTGCTTTGGTAATAGACAGTCGTGCCATCTTCATGCTTTTGTGCTGGGTGCATGTCCCTATCTTACAAGTATACCGCCGTGCAGAAATTCCCTTCCTCTTTTTGCTTCTGTATCTCCTTGTTGAATTTTCACCTGTCCCTGTTCTTCGTACATCAGCTGAACGGGAAATGAATCCCATCAAAGGTCCCAATGACCACTTCCCTTCAAGCAAATGCATCCTCCCGATCAGCCCATATGTCTTCCAACTCATTAAAGCTGCTGAAATGCACGGGCCGATGCAGATCATCGTAGAATCGTCGCGGCGTGTCAATCTTGACATACACGGGCCTCTTCTCCACCGTCGAAAACTGCGCCCCCATGAAACTGTAATTCCATACGTCCGTCTCGGGTACCAGGAAGTAGCCCCGGATCTTGTCAGACAGGAGCAATTGGGTCTTGACTCCAAACGAAGTCGAAAAGCCCGCCGGATTATCGGATTGCGTGTCCTTGTTCGACGCGCCCCATGTGTATCCTTGTGGGCTAAGGGCCCATGAGCTGAGGGACACCGAACCCGGGGTGAATGACACGGTCAGTGTAATGGTCTTTTTGTCCCAACTGGGATGTTGAGCCATTAGGCGAGAATGCATCGTCACATCCGATGCACTCATGTATGGCATCTCATTACCACTGACTGTGTGGATAATCCCAAGTGGTTCCATTGTCTTGAGATACTCGTGTTGCGGAAGTTGGTGCGGCAGTTGTACTTCGCGTATGGAACCGACCTGGGGAACCATCACTATCGTGCGGATTTCCTTGACCTGATCATTGTCCGGTGGCGATGAGCCGTAGAGATACCCAGCCACTTGGACGCGAAGATCGGCAATTGTGATGAATTTTTTGAGGATGTTTTTGGGGAGCACATACGTGAACGACTCGTCCGATTCGTGAATGTCGTCGCTCGAGATGTAGATGTTGTTCGCACGCATCCTCAGATTCGAGGTCGCGATCGCCCGCGTTCGCCATTCAGTCTTGGAGGCAAATGACTGTTGCTCATACTGCGAAGTCGTCGTCACAATGATCTCTTCGCCTCGGACATTTTGGGTCTTGGTCGTCACCGCAGTCAATTGTTGCTGCTCTTGTTGCTGTTTCTCAATCTCTGCGGCTTGCTGTCGTTGCATCGACGGCGCCGAGATTTCCATACCCAGAATAATGTCTCGTACTTCACTGCTGGTGAGAGACTGAACGTTGACATTGTTCTTCTTGCCGTAATCGTTCAAGATAAGGTCTCGAAGCTGAACTTCGACCTTGATCCAATCTTCGTCCGAAAGAGTGGGCCAGATATGATGTGCCTGAGTGATGACAGTCTTATCAGGTCGGAGAAGCAGCTTCGTCTTGTCGGTGTTCACATGCAACGCGCGGAGAATGAGGATCAACCTTGAAAACGCCGTGTACGACGATATCGACTTCAACCAGTCGTCGTACAGATTGAACAGGACCATCTGTGGCTCCTTGGCTTGCAGAATCATGTCAGCCAACTTTTCGACCTTCATAGCTGCCTGGAATGGCAACTGGAGCTCTGAAGCTCGGATGGAAATATTCGGGAAATCCAAGAGATGAACCTCAAGAGGGTCAAGAAGACCTTTACGCGTCACGATCAACTGTTTCGGCTGTTCCTCGACAGGTAGAGATCGTATCAGTGCAGCAACTTCTTCTGCCGTCTTCCATTTAGCCAACTGTCCAAGACGCTTCTGGCCAGCCCACACACTGGTGTGGATAATCTTCAAGAATAGTTGTCCAGTCTTCGGGTTGAACACGAAAACGGCGCCGTTAATAGGCTTCGTCGTCAGATTGCCCTCAAAGGTTTTATGGATGGTGACTCGATAAACATTTGTGTCATCGATGAACAATTGAGTCTGGTTGCTGAACAATTCCGAATAGTTCTGAGAATTCAGGAACTCTTGAGTGCTTTCGGAGGCGTACAGTTGGAGGCCTTTTCTGATACGTTCGCGTAGCACATACAGCGCCGGATTTGCTTTCATTATCTTGGCCATTGCCTGTTGCACCAAAGCCTTCAGACCGGGGAAATACTGGCCGTATGCAGAGTAGAGGTTGTATGCGAGGTCAATAGCAACCATCAGCCCTGTCGCTGACGGATAGATGCTCATGCTGTCAGTCGTGTAGTCGAGGTATTTGGCTCGGACGTAGCGTTCAATGTCGTGAGAGTCGTAATCGCCATAGCGCAACTGGACGTCGACCCAAAACTTGTTCGTCGTCGTGGCCTCGATCTGATCTTTCGTGTCAAAAAGAAGAGACGGTCGAGTGACGTTCCATTTGTGGCTTGCAAACAACAGAATGTCAGCGCAGGAGCTGTTCATTTTGTACGATTTTCGAGGATGGATCGTCTCTTTCTGAACAGTCTCAATGCCTAATTGCTCCAGTTCCTGATCAAAGACTTGACACAAATCCATGACAACAGATTCATGGATCTTTTGCCACAAGTGGGCACGGAATATCTGGCTAAAAATATCGGTTAGCATGTACTAATATTGATGGAGGGGAACACGCACATTAGGCTTATCTTTAAAGTCGGAATCTTGCCGTGAAGGAAAATGCCAGTCAAATCGAGCTGCACTTGGAAACCCACGTAGACATTTGCCCTGTTGATGGTGGGCGACCACCATAGTGTGAAACGACGATTGGGAATTTGATTGAGACCGGACCGTTGGGCATTGGTGAGCTTCTTAAATTTCATGGACTCTTCAAAGCCACTGTTGTGAAGCACGAGGTAATCATGGCGGAGATAAAGCTGGTCTTTGTCGACGCGGAAACCAGCCCATTTTGTGGGCTCGGCCTCGAGGGAGACATCCTCTATCATAAAGCTGTGGGCTTGTGGGATGAAACGCTCGACTGGTTTCTTGCTCGCGAGGAGGCAGGGTATCTCTGCGAGATTGCCAAATATCTGGGCAATAAGCTGAGGGAGTTGTTGCGTATGATTAGGATTGCATTTCATGATCCGCTCAGTCAATACGCTGAAACCCAGAGAGCGTGCAAGAGCAACAACATCCCAGAAAAGATGAGAATGCCAGCGCTCACTTCGCTGGAAGCAAAACATCTTCTCGGAGTCAACATACCAGCCATCGCTGTCGAGAAGTCCTGCAAGGACGGCCAGGCGAACAGCTCTTGTATTCTTCATAAAGACTTCTGGAATGCGCTTTTTGCCAGCTTCGGGGTCCGTGCCCCCTTCTGTGAGGATTCCAAGCCCACGGAGCGCGTTGAGAAGCGTGTTTACACCAGAGGACTTGTTAGAGTTGCCAACGATCCTGTCGGCAAGCTCTTCCTCCTCCTCGGGCGGCAAATCACCGTAAGCCCAACGACCAGCCTCCGAACGAGTAACACGTTGACGCTGAAAGAGTGACGCTCGGTCATGATAGTCATCAGTGACAGACTCCACACTGTCGTCGTCGCCACTAAAGTCACTATCAGAGATGGAATCCACACTGTCGTCGTCACTGCTGCAATCAGCATTCGTTAGAGGAAGGGGTCGAGCTCCGACTCTGGTCTTGCCAACAAAATGAAGGTCGAGTTCAGCCGCGTAAGAAGCGAGAAATTCTCGGATTTCAGTTTCATGGTCGCTGTAGACCGTAGGCTCGCTGCGTGATCCATCTCCTAGCCAAAGTCCAAGAAAATACGCGTTGACTGGTGGTGTCTGCTCTGGCAACTCAAAACCAGGGCTTCTGAAGAGGCGATATCTGGTCCTCTCCATGCGCTCGAGCGACGCAAATTCACGGGCCGTCATTTCGACGGTGTCGAAGACATCATCTTCTGCGGCGTCCTTCTTACGGTGGAGGACCAAAATATGGTTTGGAGTGACAACGAGATCCTCCTTTCGAGATCCAATCTTGATACGATATAGACGGTCTTTTCCATTGACGATGTTGAATGCGCGACGAGGACCACCGTCGGGACCCAGGAGTAGATCTCCCTCCACGACATCTTCAACGGCGACCCTAGAGCCATCATATCGCAGCAGCATAGTGCCGTTGGCGAGACAAGCTCTCTCCCAAAAAAGGCCCTCCCAGGATGGAAAAGCTGTTGCCTTGAACAAGGTATGTTCCAAAATTGTCTCGACACCGCCCAAGGCTTGGATGACGTCGGTTCTGTAGGCGTTTAGATTCCACAGTTTCCCGTCGTGTCTCTGACTCGTCCACCAGAAAGGATTGCTCTTCATCAGCTGATACTGCTTGAATTCTGTGCGAGCTCTGAAGCCTTTATCGAAGCTCAGAGTGCTTCTGTCTTTCTGGAACAGAGTGTTGATACGCGGTAAACCTCTATCCCAGCTATCCTCCAAGTCTTCCAGAGTAAGTCTCCGATTTTGCTGATTGGCTTCCATCCGCTTCTGAGAGTATTCGGTCCAGACTCGCTGGGAGTCGATGAACTCAGCCTCCCAGGGAATGATGTATCGGAAGATGTTGGGAATGAGAGTTTCCTCGTCATGAGACATGCCGGCTCGATAGTGCGTAACACCCGTATCAGTTTGCTTTGACCATCGCTTGTCACTAGTCGGGATCAAGATGTGAGAACCTGAGATCATGCCAAGGCCACCCAGCTCCTTCGGCGTGTAGAAGACAGCTGGAGGGAAACGGGAAGGCATCTTAGAGTTCAGGCCAATCTTGACACGAGTCTGGATTTTCGTCTCGCACTTGACAATGGTGTCCAACAAGTTAACAGTAGACACAGCTGCTTCTCGATAGTAGGTAAACAGCGCAATCAATGTCGTGTTCCATTTGTTCGCGATCTTAGTAAAAGTCGTAGAGCCCGAGGACATTAAGATTTGTCTTATGCGGTTGTTGAACTTCTGGATATCTTCTTCAGTGACCTGCAAGAATGCATACGCGGTCCTCTCCTTGGTCTCATTGTTGGCGAGAGCCCAGACGCTGTCCTTGATCGGGAACTCATCGTTCTGATTTCGAAGCTTTGGTAAGATCCTGACCTCGAAGCCGCACATTGAGAATAACAAGTTGGGATTGTCCCGGGAATAGACACTCGCGAAAGTGTCGTCCCATTCGATGGTGGTGATTGAACGAGGTAGTCTGTTCTTCAAATCCCAGAAGACGGCCCGGCCAAGATTGACGTCGTGTCTCATCAACCTCATTCGAGAATCTCGAGGCCAACATTTCTTGTTCCGGTAGCCAATCACATTTTCAAAGTTCGGATCGGGCTGTTCGGTCAAAAAGCGCTGGATCAAATCCTTCGACTCTTCTGCGGTAAATCTGAAGAAGACCCAGATCTTGTCAATATACCGCGTGTATAGCCGAATAGGATGTCTGGTCTCTGTTTCTCTGTCTCGGAATTGCAAGAAGTCGTTGGGGCTCTGGGGTGGTCCGGCGAGCTCACTAGCTCGTTGGAGGCCGAGGAGAAGCAAGTCGATGACCAATCCATAGTACTGGAAGACGAATCCTGAGAATTGTAGGCCTCGAATCATGCCGTAACTATTTGTGTGGTTCATATCTTTGTAATTGAGCTGGACATTGTTCTTCGAAGTGATGTAGTCGGCCAAATTGTGATCCATGATGAGTCGAAGCAACCGGTTGAGTAAAGTCAAATCAATCTTCTCGTAGACCTTGGAAAGCTGCGTCTCGATCATGACGTTACATTCTCCGTCTGCGGTCTCCCAAACATTTGTCAGATTGTTGATACCTTGGGCCCACTTGTAGACCAACAGCGGTGGGACCTCTGAATCTGAAGGCTTAACCCAGGATGGGAAAAGATGTCGAGTGTCTGCTTGGTACCAGAGATATTGGTCGAGATATGCATCAGTGATCTTCTCAATTGGCTCAACATCATAGACCGGGTTGATTGAGCTGTAGTTGTCGTTCATGTCGATTCCGACTTCTTTGAACGCCCGTTGAGTCAACAAGAAACGCTTGATCCTGGCGAGGGTGGTTCCGGGCGAATCGTACGCCTGTTCGATCAAGGCAAGCTCTTCTCTCTGACTCTGGTTCAACCTAGCCTTGACAGAATACGCCTCCCGGAGTCTTTCTAGAGCCAGGATGAGAATCTTCGTGTCATGCTTGTAAGACACACTGGGAAAGGGAATTGGCGAGAACTTCCGCGACTCAAGCCAGTGTACAGTAGTCGTGTAAATAGCCACAGCCTCCTCCGAAGAAACATAAGGACCATCTTTCATGTAATTATGCTGTCTTTCCTGTTCAGCTTTCAGCCACAGTCGCGTCAATCGACCAAGGTTCTTCTTGGCTACTGTCTTGTCGACGGTTGCGCCTCTCCTAATCCGCTCTCGGTTGTAATGAGCCACAGAAATCCACCAGTCAGCCTTGCTCTTGACGTATCGCAAGATGATGTTCTCGATCGGTGCTGGTAAGCCCGGGACTTTCCAAGGAATATTGCTCTTCCAGCATCGCCACGCCTCGGAAAGATGTTGAAGCACGGTATTGACTTTGTTCTGCCTAATGCCTTCAGGCATCATATCCATCAGGTCTGCCATGACAGACGCTCGGAGTTCAAGGTCGAAATGAGACTCCACACGTTGTTTTGTGACCGTCTTTGCAACTCCTTTGCTGTGACGACCTTCAAACTGTCTCGACAACAAATTCCCAAGCCACCTCTCCAGAAGAGGAATGATGCCTCGCATGAAGAAGAGCCACACTCTCCACGCTGGCGCCCAGAAGCCGCAACCAGGACCTTTACCGACTGGACCAGAGTTGAAGCGATAATAGATCAAGTGTTTCAGGTCCTTACAAGACCTGATCTGATGCATGAGCTTGTACTTGTAACGATACATTCCCGTCAACTGTCCGACATGATTGAAAGCATAGAGAATGCCGTCAGCCAGTTGGAATGCATCAATATTGCCGAGTCTGTATTGCACTTGAGCATCAACGATAAGCTTCGTGAGCCTCAGAATCTCTCGCATCAAGTGAAACGCATTGCCGAAGCGAGACTTCTTGCGCTCTTTGGTAGTCAAGGTTTTGACCGGTTTAAGGTTGAAGTTGTAGTCCAGGTGCAGATACGTCAAGTTTTTCCGATGAATGAGCAGGTTGAGCATATTGAACCCTTGCCGGCAAACTTGTAAGCCCGCCTCTACCCAGTCGATGGTCGTTTGCTGAAAGAACTTGGTGGATTTCAGGGTCTTGAGGAGGTCTTGTTTGTTTTGTGCCTTGGGCTTCTTCCGATGCAGTTCGTTCAGAACATAGGTCTTCAACAATTTCTGGTAAGAGACTCGGACTTTGACTGGTTGTCCAGGAGGGCAGTGCTCCAGATACCACTGCTTAACCAACGGGACATCCTGGGCACGAACCATTCTTCCGGACCTCCGATCAAATGGGAAAGGGGCCCACCACAATGCGATGGCAGAAGCTGTCTCGCTGGTGTACAATTCCTCGTCCGCGAGGAATGGCTCAACGTTACCTGGAAGCTCGAACTCATCGTCTTCATTATTGCCTTCGCCGAAGATCTCATCCTCGTGGCTGATAGTGATATTCTTTGGCGCTACTGATCTCGAGGAGATGGGGTTGATGACGGGATCAAAATAGAAAGCTGGCAAGTTAGGATCCTCGGATCTTACGTAGACAACCTGAGGGTGAGAGTACCACGAGAGTTTGACACTTCGTGGCAGCGAGTTGTACAAATAAGGAAAGGCGACTCTGTATTCCGTCCGTATTGGCGCACGGAAGATGATTCGATCGATTGCGTTGAACTCGCCGAAGTCTTCGTCGTTGGGATCAATATCTTTGTACAAAGGCTCAAACCTGGGCCCACCGGGAATGGCAACGTTGAGAGCTTTTGCTGTGAAGAAGCTCTCACGATCGAACATATGGAAGTAATTCTTATCCACCACGTCACTCAAGAGCTGGTGCGAAAGTCGGTAAAGCGTAGCCATTTGCGGCAGTGTCAAGTTCCATGTTTTATAACTTGGGCCATTAACATGTGGCGTTTCCAGGAGAGGCCGGTGATCGTAGAACCATTCGTAGACAGGGCCGTCCTCATTTTCATCAAGTTCCATTTGAATGGGTTCTAGAGGCTCCACGTCTTCGATGTTCTCCGACCATGACAGCGGTGGTTCTTCGTCATCAAAAGGGGGGAAGCGCATGCGCTTGAAATGCCTCCTGTCGCTCTTCTCTCGTCTCATCGAAACCCACATAGTTGCCCACTGGGCATGAAAGACTGGCTCGATGACTCGTGGGATCTCGTTTACCAGTGTCAAGCATCCGTTGACATGGTACAATACTTTGACTTCCCTCGCGCTCTCCCAGGGCATGGGCATGTTTTCCAACAACTTGAACACGGCGTGTGGCATGTACTTCAACGCGCCCAGATAACTTCTTTTGTCGCTGCTGAACTTCTTTTGGCTGACGTCTCCAATGTCCTTGACAATCTTCCTCAGATGTTCCGGCGGCATATCTGCTTTTTGGGTTTCCACAAAACCGCCCTTCCTCTTTTCGCCATACCGATTGCGCTGCGTGCGGAGCCACTCTTTCTTTTTCTGTGCAAACTTCGCGACTCGAGGATCGACTGGCGGACGATAACCTGGAGGCGGGGGAGCCATGCCGGGAGGAGGAGGCGGCGCACCAGCACTCCATCCCGGTGGAGGCGGAGGTGGTATCGAAGCCATCCTGTCGCTAGGCGGCTGACGGTGACTATTGCGATAGAGAAGATGAATTTGTCGTTCGATTTTGAAGATGTATCTGAAGGTCGCTTACCATTTACGGTACGTGATTTGACCCCTGCTTCTGCCTAGAGAGCAGTATCTTTCACTCGCGTAGTCTCAGACTTACCATCCGCCAGCTGCAGGTCTTGCCGGATGGACTGGCTGAAACAATTGTCGACCCGAGAGACAAGTTCTGCCTTGACGACCGCGAGAAAACTTAAGTCGGGTTTGCCCGCACACGTGACTCTGAAAGATGGAAGCGTGGATCTTGGCGCCAAGCCGGAACATCATCGGCACAGAAACTTCGCACACGGATTTTCGTCAAAGCGATCTGGTAGTCAACCGCCGATTCAAGACAAGTAACGACTTCCTCGCCTTTAACCCATTCCATTGCCTATTCAATACCGTCGCAATGGCAGGCGTTAGACTTCAATATCGCCGCCGAAACCCGTACGTATCCCCTGTCGAAAATATCGACGTTTACAAGATCGCAAAATCATGGGGAAATAGGACAATATTCAATGGCTGACATGGGACTCGCGAAACATACAGTTACAACACCTCCTCCAACAACGTCCGAGTCATCAAGACCCCTGGTGGGAAACTTCGTCTCCTGCACATCAAGAAGCGCGGCACAGCCCCCAAATGCGGTGACTGCGGCATCAAATTACCAGGTGTAAGTGGTGGCACCACTGAAAGACAGACGACTACTGCACAGTTCAAAATATCGTCAAGTCGAGATCCATTTCTAACAAGCTATATCGGTGATACAGGTCCCTGCCCTCCGGCCACGAGAGTATGCCACCACTAGCAGACCCAAGAAGACTGTTCAGCGAGCATACGGCGGCTCAAGATGCGCCAACTGTGTACGGGATCGGATCGTCCGCGCTTTCTTGATCGAGGAGCAGAAGATTGTGAAGAAGGTGCTGAAGGAGACGCAAGAGAAGAAGACGGGGAAGAAATAGAAAGTGACAAGAGAGCTGGAGGAAGACCGGCATGACTTCTTTTTTGATAAGAAGCGGGGTCGTGTTTATGACCGAAAGCTTGCAGAGGTCAATGGTGGTGGTCAAGAAGCGTATGGCAAAGGCAAGATTTTGACGTGTGCACAACAACAGTGGTCCCCTAGCATCTCCCAGGGTTTGGGTCGATGATACGCGAGCATCCTAAAGACAGCAATATCTGGGTGTTGAGAGGTCAAAATTCGCTGCGAAGTGCCTTCTACACCAAGAAATGTCTCTATTGAAGTGCCAATAAAACAGGGGGCGTGAGCTATGTGCACAATGAAGAGCCAAATCCGAAGGACTATGGTTTCTGTGCAACATCTGCCGCCTACCTATTTCCTCTTCCATGGACCCGACTTCTTCTGGATGTTCCTGTGATAACTATTGCTAAAGCCGCCGAAGTCCAGTCTGAGCGGGTTGTTCATCCTTACCTAACTTACAGGTCAGTGAGATCGTTATACCACTCTCGCGAGCGCTTCGCGCGGCGCTCTGAAACAAGGTCACTATGACAGAGGAAGAGCGCCTCTACCACAGACCTGGTTCGTAGTATTGCTCTGGGACAGGGGATCGCATGAGCAGTTTCTCGAGCGCCCCATCTCTAAACCAGCGGCGGACAAAAGTTGGAACACTCAGGCGCCAGGACCATACAATGATGGTCTGCACGTGCTTGACAGAACCACCTTCCTGCAAAGGGCGAGTATAGTAGAGTCCTTTCCTGCATCGTTTACTCACACCAGAGAAACGCAACCGCACTTGCAGACTGGTCCAACGACCGGGGGTGCAGAGTAGCGATATCGGCCGAAACCTGATGCTTGAGCTGTGCGATGAGAGAGATACCAACTACTCGATGCGCACCATCTTTCGCATGTGTCGGCATTCCTGTTGGCCGAGCCCTGTAGTTGCACCACACAACGGCTCACAACTTTTCACCGGGGCAGAATCGAGGCAAAATTTCCCTTAGTTGTCTTCTCCCGCGTTTCCGCAGACTCAACTCAGTGCAGAACAATCGCCCAACGGTTCAATAATGGATAACATCGCTGTTTATAAGTTCACCAAAAGTGTGCCTGGGGAAAGCTGTTCGATTGCCGAGTCTCAATGATTCCTCAGAAAACCAAAAGAAGGGCTCGGGATCAGATCGGACTCTTGAGTGGGAAGGTGATACATTGCCGCTGTCAAATCTGTCATATCTGCCGGCTGCCAGGCAGGCGAGCCTTTCGAAGGCCCACCGGGGATTTTGTACTGCCGATGAAGCCACAGCTGTACAACCTCCTGGCTAGATAGCTGTCGGGCACATCACTTGCGGGCTGGCAAGAGGCATGAAAATATCAAGATGAGCCTGCGTCGGCTCGGAAGTCGGCGTCCGATGCCAGGCACGACCTGTATAGGAAGCGTACGGGAAGTATTCGGCCATCCCCAGAAGATTGCAGTTCCAACCTCAGCGTACGTACGAGAAACACAACCAAACGAAGAGGCTTGGGGTTGGTGGGGGGAGGGCTAGGGGTGATACAGACGCATCTGTACAACAGAAGGCCTCCTCAGTCACAATATCTGGTGGCTGCCACCAAGACATGGGCTTCAGAGTATTCAGCAGGTTTTATGAGTCTCGACGATGGCGACTATGAAGTCGAGATTTTGATCTCCTGCAGGTGGTGTTCATGCCGCATCGTGATCAATGTCACCGTCCAAGCTCATGGAAAGTGGTAGCTCCACGTGAGACGGCTCGAGCGGACTCTTTCCAAGAAAACAATATCTACCACCATTTCTCTTGATTACGCCCGTGTCCAAGGCCGTTAATGCGACATCCTCGAGCCACCTGCAGCGGGGTATTGGTATGCTCGTGTGACTGGTTGCCGCTGGTCCTGTGAGTAGTCACACCAATTGTCGTGGGACTCCAACGGCCGCCGATGACAGCGAGGTAACTACCATCTTTGACATCCTGACAGATGCGCTTAGCAAGTGAAGTGCGGCAGAAATGCCCCAAACCTAGTGGCTAGACCACGGAAGGCGCCGAGGGGATTGCGTCGACGTCGATAGATTCAAGAACACCTAGCAAGGGGGCCTGGTGCACACCGACGATGCAAGGTTGTGGTTTGACATTGTGATACGGTGCAAGACCAATCCTCTAAGACTCACCCTGGATAATTCTGCGGTCAGTCCTGATCTGGTCGATCCCAGGTTGTATCGTCATACGTTGCCAGGTATGTGTCAAGCACGTTCTGAACAATTGACTAGTGTAAGGATGGTCGGAACCATGCATGACGGGTTGACGGAAAAGCGGTCGTTTTGCGCCGCTTAATCTATCATATTCGAACCGATCGTTAGGGAGTATCCGTGCTTTGCAGATGGGCAAGGGGTGGACGGGGGTTCGGGGACTCGCCATCTGCCTCATGGAACTTATCGAGGAAGATTGTTGCCGACCGAGGTTGGAAATATCGTAGTCTTCTCTGCATGACTCCGTTCCTAAAGAGACCGAGATATTCCAGATCCCGAAACTTCAGCCGTTGCGGATATTGGAGAGATTGTCGAGGATCCGGCGAGCATCTGGATCCGGATTAAATCTTTGCAGGGGTTTGTTTCCTGCCTCTGTCTGTCCAATTTGGTGCATGGAAGACTTTTGTTCAAGGATTGGCCTTGTACCCGTGCAGATGTGTGTTGAAACGGGCTCTAGACGGGGCTGGAAACCCTAACGGCTCATACTCGTGTCTTTCAGCCCTCGGGTTGGCACAGAAATGAGGGTTGACATCTCCAACCTCGTATCCAACTACCCGCATCCCAGTCCGCTGCTGGCGAGTCTTAACCACGTTGAGAAATCTGTTATGTCGGGCTATTCTTCCACCCTTGACGAGGTGGCAAAGAACTCGGTGGAAGGTCAGATCATTGACCATTGCAGATGGACCACCTCGATCACACCCTCTGCGTCTGCCTATCGTGGCCAAGCGGATTGAACATTTCGCCTCCACAAAACGCAAACCCAGATTTGAGGCCTGTCCTGCGGCATGTGAGCATGTCTTACTAGTAGTCAAGTGAGGCCAGGTCCAGCTCAAGCGAGCCAGTACTAGGCTCTTTGTGGAGCTGAGATTGGCGGGAATCGTCTCGAGACAATTGGAACATCGGAAAGCCAACAATCTTCACAACATGATCTTTCGGAGTTTCGATCGGATCCGTGCTCAAGATACTGAGCTTGTAAGTTCGTGTTCGCGTTCAATCAATGCAGGGGATGGGGCTGTCGAATGTGCTAATGGAGGAAGAGAGGAGAAGTTTTGCATTTTCGCCCACAAGCTGAGACAGAGAACGTGGCTTTTGATTGCGCCTTTAGAGTTTCTCTCTGCTTTGGCCTTTGTTCCGTGTAGATGCACTAGCACCTATCGGTTAAGGTCTGGCTGTACCGTGACGCCACCGAAGCATGAACAGACTGGTGGTCGAAGGATCAATCAAGGGGGAAGCGGGAACTGTTGGCCGTCAGCCTGGTGCATTTGTGCGAGGAGGTGTTGAATCTCGGGGCTTGAAAACTGTTTGACATGTCTTAGTGTCATCCCCGGGTTGTCACAGCCCAAATTTAACTGCACCTCCACCCATGTAGTTGCGTTGTCAACCCTGGCTACAGCCTCCACTGCGTTTTTGGCCCATGCTCTCAGCCAAGGCCTGCGCTTGTCGATGGGATTGAGCCGGGGAACTCTTCACGGAGATCGAAATCCCCGGACTAATACGAGGAGCTTTTTTGCCAGCGCACATCACAACCCATTCCGAGGAAAGAAGGGTGGAAAGGAGACGATGGCACTTGGTGGGTGGAGAATAGAGGTTAGCAAGAACCATTACGCATGGCAGAGGCCATTCAGAGGACGAAAATGATTTCCATCACGCAGATCCATTGCTCGAACGAGAAAGGAGAGACAAAACGAATGAAGGCATGAGAAGTTGAAATGAAAGCGGAAGTCTAGAACCGCTCTCTCTGCCAAGCGAATCGCGTATTGCTCGCTTCTGGCAGCTTTCTGTTACCCAACGCACTGGTTCCCTCTCGCTAAAGGAGGTATAGTACAATCGGAGGCTATTGTCGCTCCCTATGGCAACAGTTCTCATATGCAAGGTCTCGCAATGCCAATGGCTCGTGGGCAACATAACATTGTCGTATATTTGCTGCGTCGAACTTGCATCCGTCTCCAACGACATGAATCGCAGACTTTCTCAACCACACTAAAGAAAAAGAAAAGTCACTGTACGGTCCGCTGGTCCGCCCCGATCGCTCTGGAACAGGTAATATCCATCCGTGCTTCGAAAGCGTCCGCGGAATCTAGCTCCTGCAGGTCATTTAGTGGTACCCAATGACGTGAGACCAACCCCGGAGAAAAAGGGGGGCCTTCCGCCCCAAGTCTCATTCCACATGAAATCTGACAAGTTCCCCCATCTACTGATCTTGCATTGACTGCAAGAGAGCATCCTGCAAATGCGCGTTCTCCTCTCCATAGCCAATGCGCTGTGGCCTGAAACCCGGCGCGCTTTGTGGAGACAGACAGCTCAGCAAATTCGCTTCTTCAGCTGCTAGATTCTGCTCCACCGGAGTCATCGGCCAACTCTTCGCTGCTAGTCGTAGATCCAGGGAGTCAAAGCTTTGGTAGTCGGTGTAGTCGGAGTACGATGTGGTCGAAGGGCTTGCCGTTGGCGTCGAGTCAGTGAAAGCACCCTGCTCTTGATACCTCCTTTTGGCTGAATGCCGCGCTGCTCGCCCACCTTTTGCTCCCGCTCTTTGACGTTGAATGGCTGGTATGCGGCCCCGCAGTGTCTTTTTGCCTGCTCCAGATTTGCGATACCTTGTGGTAGACTGGACCCCATTCTTGATCGCCTCATCGGTCAGCATCCAGACGCTAGTAGCTTTTCTCACGCTGCCCTTTGCGCTATCCCTGTCGTTTTCGAATGCCTGTGTGCATGGTTAGTCGGGGATGCGCATGGTCCCAGGAGTATGCATTGCTAACCTTATTCATGGACAAGTTGTGCCGAATGCTATTCTGCCAACCATTTGATCCAGATTCTTGAGGTTTAGTAGTATTGTGGCGAAACCATTCGTAAATCTCTCTGAGCATCAACCTATGGCCCGGTGCCTGCATCAGAGCTTCGTAGATGAGTCGGGCATACGGCTTGTCGTCAACTGCGTCTTCATCTTCTTCCATTGTGGTGAAGATTCTGCACTGGCTGTATTCGTCAGACGAAGGCCAGATATTCTGCTCTTCATAATATTGGTATGCTGACAGAGGGGGGTCCACTGGATCTGCTGTGTATGGGAACAGCGGAAGGCCACTGAAACCATCTGTTTGTCCGACAGTATTGCTGATGAATTGCGGATAAGGATGGGGTGCCCAAGTCGGGTCTAGATCGATTTCGGAAAATTGGAGTTGGGCGCTTGCCGGGAAGATATGCTCGTGATGGGGATGAAAGTTCTCATAGGGGATGTCGTCCACAGTCTCCACCTGGAGCAGTGGATGGACATCTGTGTGTTGTTGACCATGATGCATCTGAAGGTGCGAGATTGCTGAAGGTGACTGCAAATTTTGCTCCTCGAACGCCCCGGTCGTGATGTTTGAAAGTTCAAAATCTCCAAAATTGTCATATGCCTCATAGCGATGAGTTGGGATCTCAGCATCCATTTCCACCGTTCTGCGCATTTTGGGTTCTCGGAAGATGCGAGCCGAGTGATAGGCGGCAGAAACTTCTTCACCGAGATTTGTGTAGGCCGGAGGCGAGGAATGGACCTGATGTGAATGCTGTCCAAGTCAGGGGAAAGTGCAAGAGGACGATGAGATCTTGGATCATTGACTGTGATCGCGACAAACAGGAGGAGAGGCCGGTGCTTAAGGATTTATTGCCAAAAACAAAGAAAAGTCAAAGGTGGGAAATAGTATTATCTAGAACAAGCAATTAGTTTAAAGGTGCATATCATGGTACATGCTTGAAAGGGGGGAACCATGCAAACAGGCAGGGGTAGGAAGGGTGGAAGGAACAGGCGCCGGAACGCAAACAGAAGGGTTCCTAGACTGACCTTTCATATCCTTTTGCTGTAGGAGAAGACGCCTGGATGCACCAGCTGCATGCTAGTACAGTAAAGTACTGTATCACATACATCCAAAGGGAATCCGGAATGCTGAAGGATCTCCTATCCAATCAGATTTGGGACGGTTTGCGAAGCTCTTTGTGCAACCAGATGTGGCTCAACAAGCTGTCATATTCGGAAGAGTGCATCTGGCTGGGCCTCAAATGCCAACCTGCAGTGCCCCACCCTCTCATCCTGCACCAGGAAAATTTGACTTTTGTGTGTTTTCCTTTGCTTCTGTGATGGCACAGAAGGGTTGACGATTATACAAGCCACACCATATGCTGAAGGGAGGCCCACAAGACCTAGCATAGTAGATTAGCGAACAAGCAGAAGTGAGCGCCATGATCTGGCTGGGTTGAGACAAGGCAGCCGGATAGTTGTACCGGTGGGCTCCGCGCTCAACGGAGCAGGAATGTTGTATATGCAACGGCCGTCAAGCTGAGTTGGCCGGAATGCCCAGAGATATCAATTTACCGGTAGCTTAGGTATCATCTCGTTGTGTACCCAGGTATATGTAGACTTGACAGTTCATTTCATTCCAGTCTGTGGCCGATATCTGAGAGGTGTCACACTCCGCGTAGTCATGAATGGGATCTTAATGGCCACCCTAGGAGACGTATGCAAACCAATGTGGCCACCAGAAAGACGTGATCAAGCAGGCTCGGAGTCTAGCATTCGATAGGAGGGGTGAAGTCTCTCTGAGATAAGCGGTGCCGCTTGTTGGAAAATTTCAACCGTTGTCAGCTTCCGGCATAAGAGAGATACTGCATCAAGGAGACAGAAGCCTGCGGCAGAGCTCCAATGAGTACCAGGTCGGCCGAATGGTGGCATGAAGACAACGTACAAAGTTGAGGACTTAAGATGGTGTCAAGGACCGTGGTGGTGAGAACGATTTGGTTTGCACATCTGACTGGTAGAGAACACCGTAGGCGGTACTGCGAAGTACAGGAAGTTGCGGCACCATGGGCTTGGCAACGGTCAGACGCCGACGCCCACAACACAATGCCAAGCATTTTTTATGTTCGGGCTGCTGGCCCCAAATGTTGCTGGAGGCCGCATGTCCGGGAGCCTCCCTTCCGGGCCAGCCAGCTGATTACATCTAGCACCCGTTGCCAACCAATCCACATCATCGCCTGAGAGGGGCCGCCGACGTCAGTCAACGCGAGCTGACTTTGCTTACTGTGCTCTGCGATAGCCCGTGATGCCCCGGAAGGAGCCCTTTTCAGGGAAATGCCAATTAAATAAACTCCATACAAGTACACATTTTCAATCACTCGACTGCACTTCTTGGTCTGGGGACTAATCCATCAGCGGCAGTACCCTGACTTATTATCTCTCCACTCATTTGCGCTGAATGACAGAAGGGTTCAATCTCATTCCGCGACCTTCCTAGGGCCTCTGTGTTTCTTCTCGCTGGGCAGGGAGGCTCGCCCTCATATCTCCTCACCTTCCTTCCTTCAGGCGTTGCTTGTGACGACCATTTTCTCTCCTCTGTTCCATCTTGGACCTCTCTACCCAGTCGAAGCATACTCAGCCGCCATGCCCGAAGTCGTCCGAGGCAGTCGTGCCAGTTTTCAATTAGAGCGCAGTCGTGCGTCGCATGATGGAGCGGCCCCCTCCACTCCCGTACGAGAAGGCCGGGGTGTCCATTTCGGCTCAGAAAGCCCTGGTGTGCGAGAGGAGACTCCGACACCAGGTCTGAGAGCAGTCGATACCGGGCTCAGCACCATGTCTGCCTCTGAACGAAGAAAGAGCAGAGAACAAGCCAGGAGAGAGCGGAAAACGGAGCCGGAAAGAGATGCATACTACGATAGTCGTGCTGCGACCAAGAGAGAATTCAGAAGACGGGCGAGCACACTGCAAGAATACTATTCCCAACATCCTACCCTCCTGCCACAATTGCCTTTCACATGGAGACACGGGTGGCGAAGGTGGAAGCTGTTCTTGACGATATTCACGATCATTGTGGACGCCTGTGTCATTCCTATCGTCTTGTTCTATACCATGAAATTCGCGGGCCACGTACAAGGTTGGATAAGTAGGCTAAATACCTTGACACCTTGTTGCAACTCTCTGGCTAACATATCCATCATAGTTTTCGCGGTCGTGGCTACCATCTGGGGCGGCCCGACATACGTCGAGTTTGGTGTGAGGAGCTGGCGTTTGTGGAAGAAGGAGAACTTCTTCCGGCCCCTGGGCACCTCGAACCGATGGGCCTTTGACATCACCCACTGGATCTCGGTCCTGACCATCACCGCTGTCACCGCGCTGCTTATTGTCGGCAGTGCTCCTCACATTGTTTGGCTGCGAGTTCTTTCAATGCCTGCCCCAGCACTTGTGTTTTGCATTGCCGGCAGTATATTCGTACTCACCATGTGGAGTCTTGCTGGCAAAAAGGCGCCCTTCCGTATCAGCTCCACCGAGAAGGGCGGCGTGGTTTACCCTGGAGCGTACTATCTGATTGAGGATGTCGTTGCCGTTAATGCCAACGCCGGCAGACCTTTCCGTGAAGCTTTGGCTGCGCGGTATCGAGCAAGCCCACGGTTCCGGAGGATGATTCTAGTGCAGTCTCTGTTCTGGTCTGTCGCGGGACTTCTGGTTGCTATAGCTTGCACGGTGGTTGTATGCATCCATCCCGTACCCAAGGACGTGGCTTATGGTATTGGTAAGTTCTGACCCAAGAATATCTCCTACGAAAGAATCATCACTAATGTGGGCTTCAGGCTGGGGTGTCCCCTTCGTCTGGATCGGCATCTGGACCGCCATCACCATCCCCTGGGTTCGACGAGATATGCACAAAGAAACCATAACGTGGGAGGAAGACTGTGGCATTGAGCCTGGCGAAAAGCTGCACAAAGAAAAAAGGCTCGAGCCCACCGATTCTGACCGCGAGACAGCAAAAGAGCCTAGCCCAGATGCGGAGGCGTGATTTACCCTTCGGATTCATCTGTACTACTATTTCTATTGATTACAAGTACATTTAATGGAATGATGCGCATTTGGTCTGATCGCGTCTGGCTTGAAGGGATGGATATGTGTTTTACAAGCCCGTGTTCCTGGATGCTTTTCGGCACTCGTTCGAGCGTGCTGCATTGGATATCCCCTTTTGCATGTGAGATCCGAAAGAAGGAGCGGGGAGTTCAAGGCGAAGAAGAGTCGACGCTACATGTAACAAGTACTGATAGACTGACACTCTGAAGATTCCACGAAGATGGTAAACATAATGAGATCGATCCCTCTTGGTCGACGGGTTTCTCCGAGTTCGATAGACTGCATCAAGCATCAAGCATTTTGATGTCGCGTGCTTCTTCATTCGAGAATCCTGGACAACAACACCACGCTCATCTCCCCACCGACCTCCGTCCATCACCACACTAGTGAGGAAAGAAAAGGGAGGAGTCTGACACACGATACGGCCCTCAGCAAAGATTTGCGCTCGTTCACCGCGACTCTCTGCCCGAAGCACGCTTTGTCAGCTCGCCAACGACAAGCCGCCAACAGAACATCCATCCCTCATCGAGGTATCGTCTCTCCCTTTACGGCCGAGCTTGGGGAAGCAGACTCGCTCCAACCCGGGACCTTCTCACATGCCAGGACTGTGGCACCCCCTCAACAGTTGCTGCACTTGCAATCTACCAAGTACAGTCGTTCCCGAAACCCCCCCCCTTTCAATAAGTACACACAGCGACTTTCTTTGGTGAAAGGTTAAGAAATAAGTGGAACTGTTCTAGCCGGATATGTTATAGTCTTCTCTAGTATTTCACTTAATGATCAATGGCGCTAACGACCCTCTTGTTTACGATGTTAGTAAGGAAGGTTGTAAAGACTTAATGCAATAATGCGTGATAGTCGACAATACTGAAAAGGCTGATCCTATATAAATCTGAGAGCGTTGATCATCATGCACAGGTTAATTCAGCTCAGCCAACACGCAATTTGATCTTGTTCCACGTCCCTGCGAAACCCCAAAGCCTAACTTAAAGACTGTAACTTTTGTGATCGATCTGATAGTGCCGTTCTCATGTGCGCGCAATTGTTCAACTCTATTTATTACTGGGATTTTGACTCGGTAATATTTTCAGCACCGCACTTATTTTGTGCCAAACAATAAAAGGCTAGATCGTGAATATTAACGAAGCGAAAGAGAAATGGACATCTACTTTCGAGAAGTGTTAGAGCTGCTGTTAAGTACCAGCCGGGTCAGCTGTCCTCAGTAACAACCCTTTAATAGCATGAGCTGGCTGTGGATAGCGCAGGGTATGAGTAGTCGATGTTACTAAGAACTATTAGGTTCAATAGCTAACATGAATTGGCTGCGGGGAGGGTGTAACTATCTAAGGGTAACGAGGGTGTATATATAATGCCTGCGCTCTGTGCGCTCTGTCGCAGAGCCAACAGAGCCGACAGAGTCAGTAGAGTGTATCACGTGACTCAGACTTGTTCTCCTGTGGAACCTTCCACGTGTCCAATGAATATGGTAAGCCGTGTCCGTACGGCTCGTGACCGGTCGTCTCCAAGGCTGTTTCCAACAAGAAGGTACTTAGACTAGATTATCACTGCTGCTGTAGACTAATTGTTATTCTAGGCCTATGTGTTCGTCGAAGATGACGATAAGCGTCGCGCCCGCGAGCTGTGCAATGAGATGCTACAAGAGCCAGATATTCATCCCTTATATTAAGTTGAGTGTCATCTTATACTTACTGCGCTTGCCGACATCCCTCCTATGGCAGAAATGCATTTTAATAAGGCAGACAAATTCTGCACCGAGCTATACGCGAGCAGAAAGGATGGTGACGGGGAGGAAATCTCAATGTACCGAGGGATGATCAACGATGGAAAAAAGGATCTAGGTTCAGAGATGAAGCAATGGAAGTTAGAAGAAGGGATATATATCTCTAGCTCGGAAGAGGATTCGAGCTAGGTTAGTCACAAGTGGCGGTGGGACGACCACCAATCCCTCGCTGCTCTCACACATCCACAGCGCAGATTACCTTTAAACCTGTATATTGCTCACTGCGGCGCTTATGACTTCTACGTGCGCCTGATCAATTACAGGTGAGGGCTGAAGAAGCATACACCCGTATGCTAAAATATGCCGAGACCAGGCGTTTTCGACGCCATGAGGATGTTTGGCACTATAAGTTTCTCCTCCACTAAGCACGACTAACTCGTTAGATCGACCCCCAAAAATATTGCATCGCTGCAGTCGATCCACGCTCATGATCGCGACCTAACAGGTTGGATTTTGTAATAATCGCAGCTTTTGTGCATAAAACAACAGCCATGACGCGTCGTAACTGAATGATATCCGTACGGAGGGTTGAGGTTTATTCTCGCCATGATTTCGAAGACTTGTTATGGTGAAGACTTTTTCATTCAGCAAATCTTTCAGGCCGGCATAACGTTTTATATGACGCCCAATCCGAACATCGGAATCTAAGGTCTTCACTATAGGGGCTATACGATTCCTCGGTCTACAACCGAATAATTGCTAAGGGTCTGTGAAACGGGTCTCCTGTAATCGCTGTGAGGAAACTATTATCGACCCATCTCATAGTATGTTCCATGGCAGTAGACATAATGTTAAATATCTCTTGCCATCGTTGCTAGTGTCACGAACCCACCGTTGTCCCCAAGTACTCTACGCCCTCCACCCGAATCGGGTGGACGGTATAGAAAGAAAAGGAAAGGATAAGGCAAAGGACGGTTGAGGCACAAGGCTATCGGTTAACGCTGCCTTACCCTTTTCACGTGACAGAAAGAGGGGAAGCTATAAGAGTCTCCTCTCACCTGAATCGGCGAATTTTTGACTGTTTGTCCCAGGCAATTCCAGTGATTGATAGACTATATTGCATAGCTCGCAGTCTTTCGGGGTCTCTTGTAGATCAGACACTTTGAAAATGCGCTCAAAATTCGCGGCCATTATCCGATCTTTGCTGCAAGTCTCGCACAGTCGCGTCACAGCTGGGCCTGGGGGATGCGTATACAATTTGAGCTGCTTGAAGAAGCCAAGCGCAAAGGCATTGTCTACGATATGGGTCCAACGGTCGTCCCCTTCAAACGGTCCCTGTCGTAAAAAGATGATCAACAAGAGTCCACTTAGCAAGAGACCAATGTGACTTGCCTTCCGTCTATCAAATCTTGGGAATTATCCTTTCTGGGGCTGAATTATATGGCCAAACCCTTCCTCCTCCGGCCATGCGAGAACGGCTCTATTAGCTTCGATGAATCCTTGGCCATCGTCCCCGTCGTAAAAATTTTCGACTGGTTGATTCTCGACGTTAGCTGATGGATGGGCCATTCTATGATCGGCAGCCTCTTCCGATGATGAATCACAATTTCGTAGGGACCAGGCTTTATGAGAACGCTGCGCAGGCTCCCGAGGTTAGGTGAAGCTTGACAACTTCCAAAATTTGGGGCCCCTCCTGCGCAATATATATAGTCGGCTAGCTTCGCCCAGGAAAAGGATACTAGATATCGAGGAAACCATGAATGATTTTGACACTGAGAAACGAGTACTATACCAAATGCACCAGATCAAATTGCGCAGGTAATGGAGCGTTCGCATTTTTGGAGGGCTCTGAATACTTGGCCTGCGTTAGCGGTCAGGCAATCGAATGGCGACCACATCATATGCCAGTTTCCTGCCCGCAGCCTGACGTCGTACGAGAAGCGGAAGTGGTTCAACAGCAAGATTTAAACGTGGCAAATTTTGATTCGCTGTTCTAACGTCAACCTCGATATTCCACAGCATCATGAAGAGCGCCAGCAGACGACTAAGTCTTCAAACCCCTCATTTTACATTTGGTATCTCGATTTTAAGCCTCACAATGTTATGCGGTCAAAGCGACTTGCCCACATAGGAGTTGTCTACCAATTCCATACATCGAGCTGCATCACAACTTTGTAGCTATCGGCTTAACAGAATGTCAAACCTACACAGAAAGGAAAGCGAGATGCATAAGGCCTTAAGTGGCACACAAAATGCAAGTGATAGCACAGATGTGCTGGACCCACAATCAAGCATGGACTCGCCCGATCTTGGGTGGGCAGAAAAACTTGCAAGCCTTAGTGCTTCCGGTGCGGGTCACTTTTCGAATAAAGAATTCGAGGCTGCTGAAACTTTATACCAACAAGTCTTGGATATATGCAAAAAATTTAAGGGTCCCAACGACATAGACACGATTTCCAGCATGGTCAATTTAGGGGAGGCACTGCTATGCCAAAAGAAGCATGAGGATTCCGCGAAGGTGTTTCGAAGGGGATTGAAACAGTCCCAAGAGGTACTAGGACCTGAACACAAGACCACGCTGTTCAGTATGAACTGCCTCGCAGTATCGGTAGCCGCTCTAAGAAGATACGAGACGGACAGGGAATCAGGGGGAGTATGCAGGGGCTGAAGAGATGTACCGTCGTGCGCTGGAAACGAACGGGCTTTCCCTAAACTCAAATGACTCTTCTATGAAAGGCACAATGGAAGGACTCGCGGAGGTGCTCTGGGTCCAGGGTAAGGCCGAGGAGGGCAGGAAGATGTGGAAGCAGGCATCCGGGAAGGACAAGGAGGGCGAGGAAGACGATGACACAGCTTCAAAATCCGGCCAGAGCAAGGATGAAGAGCAGGAGCAGATGTATCGACATGTTCTCGAATCGATAGAGAAACCCTTTGGGGAGGAACACTGGATGACACTCAATACCGTTCGCAATCTCGCCTCGGTCCTAGCGGCACAGGGTAAGTATGAGGAAGCCGAGCAGATGTATCGACGAGCGCTGCAAGGATTTGAAAAGACATTCGGGAAGGAGAATCGGGAGACGCTTTTGAGCGTCAAATTTCTTGGCCTTGTGCTGCGTGATCAGAGTAAATATGAAGAAGCAGAGAAAATGCTTCGGCGAGCGCTAGTAGGGTATGAGAATGAACTTGGTGAAGAGCATCTAGATACTCTCAGGATTGTTTACAATCTCGGCTCAGTTCTAGAGGCTCAGAAAAGGTATGAAGAGGTCGAGCGAATATATCGGCGAGCGCTAGAAGGGTACTAAAATACATTTGGGAAAGAGCATCCGGACACACTCAGAATTGTTTACAATCTCGGCTCAGTACTAGAGGCCCAGAAAAACCACGAAGATGCTAAGCAGATGTATTGGCGAGCTCTACGGGGGTATGAGGATGTATTTGGGAAAGAGCATCCAGAAACACTTAGGATTACCAATGAACTCGGACTAATGATGTGGGGCAGTCAGGCCAACGGTAAAGAAGCAGAGCAGATGTTTCGGCGAGCACTAGAGGGGTCTGCAAAGGCGTTTGGGAAAGATCACCTGGACACGTTCAAAAGCATCATAAATCTTGGTATGGTTCTAATGATCCGAGGCGAGCACGACGAGTCTGAGCAAATGTTTCGGCGAGCACTAGAAGAGACCGAGAAGGTCCTCGGGAAAGAGCATCCGTTGACGCTGACAAGCGCCTATACTCTCGCCCGCCTTCTTCGAATCCGGGAAGACTATATAAGGGCAGCGGATCTCTACGAATGGGCTTGTAGTGGCAACTCCAAACTTCACGGGCCAGACCACGAGATTACGAAGCAGTGCATGGCCGAATACTCTTCTTTGCGGGAGTTGATGGCCAGAGGAGATGTTTAACATCGCTATTACTCAACCAAACCTGGCTGCTCATGACATCCACATCATGGCTACGTGAATCGTAACGTGGTGGCCGGTTGGCCAAATCAGAGGCAAGTTCAACTTTAGCTCAGCCTTGATCAGGCCTTACGGATACCTACGAGAGCGGCGTTCAGCCGTCGTTGTCCTTCGAGTCGACGTCGACCTTGCCAGTCACGAGCAGCAGCTTGACCATAGCCTCGTGCCCGTTCTCGGCTGCCCACGAGAGCGGCGTCCGGCCACCAGAATGTTTTGAGTCGGCCAAAATGCCTGTATCGCTGGCCGGTTTTGACAATAGGATTTTCGATAAATATTGTAATCCGAACCATGCTGTTAAATATAGGCCCGTGGCTTATTTCGGGAAATCCAGACTATAATCTCGGTATTTATACCTCAATATTGACATTGTCGGTAAAGCAGAACACACCGAATTGCCATCCTATAAGAAAATGGACGTAAGGTCTAATACCTACTCTTAGACTTCTGAAGCGTGCGCACCCTAGTATCGAGAAGCATAATCTAAGAACGCGTTGTTCTTAAGTCTGTTTTCGAACTCTTCATCACTAGGACAGCTACCGCTCCCAAAAGTTTTAAACGAGAGGTAAATGAGACAAGTTACTGCGCTTTGTAGCTGAGCGCGAGAAAGCCATCTTCTCCGGATGCGTTGAAAGTATTCCTGTGTAGTGTAGTGTATAAGACGAATAATATTACTCGTCTCGTCCACAGTAACTAGTTTGGCTTAAACAGAAACGATAGTTTTAACAGATGGGATATTTTTCCGGTCCAACTCGTCAGCTCCAAGACTCGCGCGAACAGGGGCCTCGTCTTTATCTAGGATGTTCTCCTCATCCAACTCGACTAGATTAACCGCTAAGGCATAGCATAGCTCGTCGGAAGAAAGCGGCCTCTCCGCGTAGGTAATCTAAGAGAGTGCCTTCTTTACTAGTTTCCTATGTCCTAGTAGTTGGCTTTCGATTCTTTAAAGCGCTTCTATATAAGCTTTGTCGTATATATGGTCTATGCCCAAATCACTTTCGAAAGTTGTCCCAATGCATCCTCGACCTCGGTTCTTATTATTTTGTCGAGAAGTAAGTCGACATAGAGACGAATAAGAAGAAATCCAAAGGATCGTAAGTTAATGATGGTCAAAAAGGGGGATGCGTTGTACTGACATAGCATCCGCTGCTTGAGCAATTGTATCCTGCACTAAGATTTGCAGCTCGTCATCATCTTACACAGCTTCTAGTAGACGGTATATCTGGCACGCAATGAATCTTTTCACGTCCTCCTCACTGGCTCGAACTTTCAATGTTAACTCTCCTTTCGACTTTTCTTCAATATTCGGAATTGAACGCGAAGTCACCATCAGACGAAGATCGGTACTCGATTCCTTTTGGAGGCTCCGGATCGTGGTTAGAAGCTTAGCACAGGTACCGTCATCTGCACATTCATCTAGAGTATCGACAACCACGTAAACTTTTGAGTAGTTGCTGAATATAGTGTGCAGAGTATCGGATATCTCCTGGAGTGATGATCTGGTTCCTCTGCCAGAATGATACTCGTACAAACGCAACACAGGCTCAGGGATTAATCGCTGGGCCCGCACTAGCTGTTGGAGAATTGCTCCACGTAAACCGGTGGCATTTTGATCTCGCTGTTCTCCGTAGTTACAAAATATGTACGTAACTCCGTTGGTGACATTTCGGATCGTTCCAAAGAGATGATCTATGACGAAGGCTGCCATCATCGTCTTACCGGCACCGGGCATCCCTGGACAGAATAGAGTCTGCCTTGATCCATGAATCCTGTTGTACGAAGGTTGAGTTGTGGGCCTGTCTGGTTAATTGTGTCCTGTCCCCCTGGCTATTCAGAGAGACTCTACCTATTTATATATACATTGGCCTATAACCACAAGAGCATTCCTGAAACCTCCCACTCCGTCGCCATCCTGTCACAGAACTGCAGGAACAACGAGGTTGAAGCAGTTTGCGCAGTTGGTGAAGCGTCTAGCGTCTCAGGTGGTTTACCACAGTGGCTATCTTGCAACCCTGTCAACACATGTCAAACCTAATTAGAGAGCTGGGAGCAGGACAGTTTATAGTGCTGGCAGGCTGCCATCTTTACAGAGAGAGCAAGAGATTACGAATTAGATGGCTTTTGGTACCGTCCACCTAATTCCTGAGTGTTTTATCAGTCTCGTTCAGTCCTCAATGCTGCCACTGTGCTAGGCGTTCGTTGCTCTAGCCGCCGCCTCTCTGGGTGGTGTTAGTGGTGGTGGTATTGTCTTGTCAGTATCAACCAGAAACGCGTTCTCGATTCCCGATCTGCTGGACAGGCCTCTGTACGTTGTTGCACGTACACACCGAACCCTGAAGTGCTCCGTTACAGCACGAGTATGTTTCTACCCCCATTCCAGCAGGCGCATCTAAACGAAGTGGCGTTGAGGCGTTCGGGTGTAGCTAAACGTCGGAATATTCGAGGAACGCGCCTTAGGCTCCTACGCTATGCGGGCTGCCCCTTTTAGAAAGTGGGCATTTCTCCGGAGTGCTATGATAGAGTGAGCTCCTCATGCTATCTATAGATGGCGCCTAATCTCTTAGCATCGTAATATACATAGATTTAGCATATGATTGAAAATGGCGCTTTCATCCCTAAATTAGTGAGGCCGCTAATTATAGCTTTAACGCAGTTAAAGCCATTAGTCGAAACCTTCGTGATTTCGATAGTATTAGAGCACCTTAATTATGGGGTGAACATCCTTCATCTATCACTCCCACCATGCGAGACGCCCTATTGAAATATCTCCTTCGAAACTTCACCTATAGGTACAGTTAGGAAAGGAGGTACACGGCTTCTCCTAAGCTATACCCAGAAGATGAGGTAAAGGGTGTTGCATCTAATACTAAGTCAATATATACAGAGTTTTATGTCTCATTATCGATGAGATTAGCACCTAATGGCTCCCAATGAAAATTTCCTCTGAGCGGGGTGCGGATTCAGCGGCTTATAGTTTGTGGCGGTAACTAGGGCCTGATTATGTATTATATTGCGCCTCCAACCTTGCACTAATAGTAGTTGTCCTTCGAGTTAATCTTTACCGATGAAACGGTGGTCGCTGGTTGCGCACATCATCTAAACACCAGCGTCTCGGGTGGCCGATGCGCTCACAGCTTTCGAAGGCCAGGCGGCGCACGCAGACCCCGCTAATACGTGGTATGCGGAGTACGGAACTGCCGGAACGATGCGGGCAGTTTTATTACCGGACTGCTTTTTCGGTACTGTATTCGTGTGGTATTAGGAATAAGATGACACGGATCGGTCGCTTAGTCATACTCGGATTAGAAGGTAGACTGTTACTGATTAGGCATAGCATGCTAATATTTTAACTTTCCGTGGGAGAAAGTTGCAATGTGTCCGCGAAGGGGAGGGCGGTTTCGGGAACGACTGTACTGGTATGTAATCATTATCGGGCGCCCATCAAGGTCAAGCCCTAGTCCCAATGGGTCATCCTCAGGCATATACGAGTGCACACATACGTTTGCATAGCGTTGTTTAGGCAGCCCGCCCAAAGACACGGAGAAATGAGATGGTGGCAGCATCAGTAATAAAGTCCGCGTCCGTAGGATGCCGCTTTGTCACTCGTCTCCCCTCCCCGCTTCCTTTGAAGGAAAGGCTGAAGGATGACGAGTCGAGTGGGATAAGGGGGACAAACTAGCGGTGGGGAGGATGATACACAGACGGGATGACATTATGACAGTTTAGTTTCTTAGGCCGACTTTGCTCGGTTGAATCGTCATGGTCCATGGAGCATTGATTAATTAATTAATTAATCAGAACACCAACACCTTTCTACTGTAGCTTCTCTACCTAATCAGGTCGGTCGGACGCCGAGCAGATAATAAGAAAAAGCAGGCAGATAACCATCCTCCTTGTCGTGCAAAATGGTTACAACAGTGTTGTCAGCGCGAGCTTTAGGGCCCTTCCATAAGGCCCCTGGACAGCCTCGCCCCTGGACATCCTTCAGCCTCATCAGCCCCGGGCCTCACCGCCCTCAGCAACGTGCCTAGCAGTCTGTTGCATATCGCGGCGGATGCAAGATCTCACCTCTCCATCACTTCCGATACACCACCCTTTTAAAGGTGAAGTGCAGAGTCAAGACCCCTTTTTCAAATGTGCTCTTGAACCCTCTGTCGTGCTTCGCACTGTAATCCCAGTCCCGATCCACGATCCTAAACGCTATATCTTCATATGGCGGCCCACTCATAAATCTAATGATGCAAGTATCTTCTTCGCCTGCCGGGGCCATCCTTTGACCCTTCTTCCTCCCTCCTTCGCGGATGATTTTATACGTGGGTGCTTTTGTCGGGTCGATCAGGTCGGGATAGAAGATGTGGAATTTGTACCCCTGGACGACTTTCGGCGGAGGGTTGTCATGGCCGTAGTGTGTTTGGTTGTACTTGTTCCACTCGTAGCCCATTAGGACCCGATTGAAGTATTTCGGTTTCCGCGGTCGGTATTTGCCCCCATATTGCTGCATCCAGAGTGGCTTGGATTCGGATGAGGTCTCTTCCTCGCCAGCAAAGATCTCCTCATTTTCGTTGACGCCTTTGGCCACTTCGCGGTCGAAGAGGGCTTTCGTGGTCGACGACATGTCGTCTGTCGACGGGCCAAATCGGTTGGTGGGATCGAAAGGTTTGGATTGTTGCACTCCTGGACGAGGCTGTGTTGAAGTCGGGATTGTCGAGGTCGTGGCGACCCCCGCTTTCGGCGCTGGGACGTAACCCATGTCTACTACTTTCCTTCTGCTCGCCGCCACGTTTTGAAGAAATGCACTCTCATCCTGGACTTCGAGTCCTTTGTCTTTCGTTGCAATCTCCAGCAACGGATCTGGATCCAGGTCCTTTGAAAATTGGACGGGAGATGCGGGCTCTCCTCCGGCATGCCGAAGTTGACGTTGTGCTAGGAGCGCTTTCTGCTCGTTCTCTCCTCTCAGGTTCTTCAACCGCGATTCGAGAACATCCTGGCAGACCTTCTTGAGCTTCGCTTTGGCCTTCCAAACAAGCAAGCTATCCAGCAACTGCTGCCAGTAATCCGTATCTATAGGCTCGTTTGAGTCCAGCTTGGTCCTTATCTGTCCCTCCAACACCTCCAGCTGCTCGTATGTCTTGGGTGCCAAGAGCTTGTCGATGTCGGTCGCCACGGAGCTCATCGCTCTCCCTTCTGGACCTGACGCACGTAGCTTCTTTTGCCTGTCCTTGCAAATGATCTGCATCGTCTGCCAAAAGTCCCTGTTTTTCTTGTTTGTTTCCAACTTCATGTAGGTCTCAATATCCTTGCGCAGGTCGGAAAGCTGGCTTTCGGAGAGCCCGTCGAAGACACTGTTTGGATCCACAAAATCCAAATCTTTCTCATCAACTTCATCATCCAAAGGATTCCGGGTAGGGTCGACAACACGGAGGGTTACTGCCAACCAGTCGATGGGTTTCGCTCGTCCTTCCTTGACTCGGATGTCTGCCTTCTTCTTAGCCTGCCTGAGAACGAAATCATCCTCTTGCGCGACCCACTCTCTCATGCGCTCATCTTCTTGCATCTGATTAATTCTCATTTGGTCCTTATGAGACCATCGCTGAGGCTGGACATTGTCTCGCCTTCCTGGAGCATCCCGTTCTCGATATTGTCTGGTGTCGTTACTCCTTCGCCATGGAGGAGATTGAGATCGTTTTCTCTTGTAAGAATGTTGAAGGTCGCTCATTTTCGCGGAATGAACCTCGACTGAGTCCACAACTGACTGTAACAGTGGTTGTCACTGCAAGGTGCAGTCTGTGCCGGGCAAAGGCGGGTTTTTCTTGCCTGGTGGAATAAAAGAGGCGGGCAAAGCGCTTGATGGCTCCATGGCTAAACCTCGGCGCCGCGGTTCCAACTCGCCCAGCTCGCCAACCTGCGAGCTCACACTTTGCTCACACCACAACCTCCCTTCTTAACAAACATTTAGTGTGTTGGGATGTTCCTCTTGGCTCGTCTGCTTCTATGCCACCGAAATGCCTTCTCCATTCTCATGTCACATGGTTGATTTTCCATCATGCAGACCGTGGACAAGATCCAGAAGTCTCGAAACAAGGGGCCGGCTTGCACTCAGTGCCGCCAGTTGAAGGTAGGCTGAACACAGAACGCGTTGGTGTCCAGTGCGGCTTCTTCCCATGATGCAATATGCGGCTAAGTTATTGACCTCGCGCGCAGTTGAAATGTGACTCCAGCCAAACATTCCCTGCTCCCTGCAGCCGATGCAGCAGGACTGGAGCGCGATGCCTGATCGATTCTTCCTTTCGGCGGGAAAAGCGCCAGGAGTAAGTCAGTCGCATCTTCTCGATGTTACTTCCTAACTCGATTCTAGACGTATTGAAAGGCTGGAAGAGGAGCTGCTCCTGGCGAAACAGAAGCTGGAACATGCACCGTCTGCTTCTGATCGAGCATCAACAGAACCACAAGCACGGCAACCTGGGGGTGAGGAGGACTTCACTACTTTCCCTTTCGCAAGCTGTATCGGAGAACTTGAACCAGCAACTCTCGAAGATATTACAATCCAGCCTGGTTCCATCGTTGAGTTGTTTGAGCGGTGGGTTTCGTCCAAAGTCATTCAGCATTTCCCTCTAATCCTGCCATAAAGCTACTACCTCCACCACCACCCGCGATTCCCCATCTTGTCGGCGCCCTCGATCACTCTGAGGTCGTCAAAGAAATGGCCTCCTCTGTTCTGGAGCATTATCCTGGTATCTGCAAAATGCCGTCAGCACGCCGGCTTGTACTCCAGACTAAGCCAGCCGCTCAAGAGGCTGGTCCTAAGTCCCGAGTACCTTGCAAACCGGTCCGTTGAAATGATCCAGGCTCTGTTGCTCCTCTGCACCTGGGCAGGAGGCGATGACCGAAGTTGGACAGACCTTTCATGGACCTACAGTGGGATTGCCACCCACGCAGCCCTCCAAATTGGCTTGCATCGACCCGAATATAGCAACGATTTCATCTACGGCTCGAAATTCGATGAAGATGCTATTGTGCCTCGAAGGAAGGCATGGATTGCCTGCTTCATTGTTAATGAGATGTATGCCTCTGCATGATATCTGATTGTCCGCTAATGTGACCAGGGCAAGCCGCAGAATCGGTGTTCCGTGCACCACTCCTATCGACCACACCATCCTTGAAGCTTTATCATCTCCCTCTTCTGCCATCCCTTCCAGACTCAAGCAGCAACTTCAGATCGCGTATCTGTCGTACCGAACAAACACTACCCTGGGTAATTCCGACCTCAGCCCGGCGGGGGTCCTCCAAAGCTCGATCTCAGCCATCCACATGTTCGAAAAAGAGTTCTCCTTGATGGAATCGACATCTGGCCTTTTGTGGTCTCCTCACGAGGAGGTGCTGTTTCTCGGATCTAAGCTGAATCTCTATATTTATGCAATTACCTCCTCAAATACCACCAGTGAAAACGGCCGGCATTCCAATGTGGACGAGTTCATCGGCCCGGCTCTCGCAACGGGGTTGAAGCTCATCAACATCGCCAATAATGCCGAAGACGAAATAATCTCCTGGAGCGTGCATACAAAGGAATCCCTCATCGCGGCCACCTTCTTCCTCCTGATGCTGAGAGACAGCGAGCACCCACTAGTCGACCTCGCCGCAACTAGAAAGGCAATCGGCCAAGCCTGGAATACCCTTCACGCCTGCACGGTCACGGAGCATGACTACCTGACGAGAACCTGCACCACCATTTCCTACCTCAGCCAGCATCCCCTAAAGAGAGAAGGGAATGGCTTCGCATTGAGAACGAAGTCGAGGATGGCGTCGAGCATTATGTGGGACACCATAAGGCGGCTAAAGGAGCAATTCGGCCTGGAAAAACCAGCTCAGTCTTTGAGTGAGCGCCTCGCTGCTGCGAGTGATCGCACGCCACTTTCTGGCGAGTTCGCCACGCAAGCGTACCCAGACAACCTGTCCTTTGAATACTCGGGCGGTGATCTGATTGATTGGGACTCGCTATTCAACGAACTCGGAGACTTCTACATACCGCCACCAGACATGGTGGTCTAAGTAAGGCAAAGTCGTGGTATATCCCACAATATGAATTATACGCATATGCTATCTTTGTACAATCCGTGTTGTGTCGTGTCATCAGATCATTAATTGTCGTGATGCCTCCTCAAATCCAGCTCGAAGCATAGCTCAGCGAGAGCGATTTCGCACTCCTCCCTAATCGCAGTTCTGCCTTGCGAATATGCTTCGGCACAGGCTCGGCGCCCTGGAGATCGCCTTCGTCCGCTATCAATCTCGACAGAGCCGGATCCCTCGTGACTCTCACGATTGTCGAAAAAGAATTCGTGTACGAAGCGCCGTTGTGAAGTAGCGCGTGCACGCCCAGCAGGACACAGATTAGCGCGAAGAAAGTGCTGAGTCCATATGCTATGAGCAGTGTGCGCGGCTCATAGACGAATTGCGATTCGAATCTTTGTCGCACCGCTGCAGCGATTGTTTGGTCGTCACCGACGGACCTATTTTTGCATTCGATAATCAGTGAATCAGTCGGATTCTAGGTCTGCGAGTAGAGCAGAAAAATATGGACGTGCGTATACATATGCCTCAAACATACCCGGAGACGACGCTGTACCGCATACTCAGCGTAATGTTCTGAAAGAGCATCTCGTTCTGCTTCGCTTGACGGAGCGCCAGTGCCGTCTGATTCAGCGCTGGCTGCGCAGGGAACAAGGCTTTGTTCATTGCCAGGCCATAGACCGAGTTGATTGTCGGAAAAGAGATGTCGTTGGAGTAGGTGATGGGTCCATTGACCATCATAACAAAGGACTCCATGACGGCTTGCATGTTCATCTGTTGACGGACCCGTAGATCCTCTAACGTGCCCTCCATCGTGCTGAGCGCTGGCATCCAATTCTCGAACTGCGGGGAGGAAGTGATGAATTGTGCGCCAGTACTTTTCACCGCAAAGTGTGCGTCGTACGACGCGTTGTACAATGCACAAGTTATCATTTGCGCCTCCGCCTCGCCGTCAAATCCAGGAATGCGATTGCCCGTCTCATCGACACCTGTGGTGTTGAGATAGATAAACACTCGGGCTGCGTCCTTCGAGACAAAATCTAGTCGATTGTTCCCGATCTGCACGTCTGTGGACGCGAAGAACGAGCCATTCACGTCAGGGCCCCACCCGGACTGGGGCGCCCAGCCATAGTAAAATACCCTGGTGTCCGTCATGTTCTCGTACTCAAGCATGGCCTTTTTCGCCCAGGAGAATTCTTCGCTGCTCGACATGTTGCAAGTGACAGCGGGGCCAAAGAATTGCAAGTTGAAGGTCAAGTTTGTGCTGGACGACCGCAGGGGGAGAACACTGTTGGAGAGAACCGTGGCGAATGTCGGATTTGATAGGCCCGTTGCCATGGAGGCGTAGGTTGTCGTGTTGCCGTCACTTATCACGCCACAGAAGGCATTACTGTCAGTTGTGAAAGGCCGTTGAGGAACAATTAAAGTGCCGTTTTGGGAGACTAACACGGGTTGCACAGAGAGGGTTCCTGGAGTGATGATGGCAGAGAGGGGGAGAAGCCTGGGCTGGTCAGGATCAACTTGGATGGTTAGAAGCAAGGACTCTCACCAGGTCATAGCCGCCAAAAAGGCAAGAACAGGACGCCGCCACCATATACGAACAGCCAAAAACTCGAAAGCATTGCCCAATATCGCAAACATGGAGTCCAGTGAGCCCATTTCGTGCGGCTTCGAATGCAAGTTGACCCACATCCATTGATCATATGCGACTCCCGTCCCAATAGCCAGACAAAGCTTCGACAGGAACGCGAGCGCTGTGCCTGCACGAATAGCCCACAGCTGCAGCAGAGCGTTGTCTGCAGGCTGTCTGCTAAGGCTCTGGTAGAATGCGTGGTGGGATGTCATGAGAACAACGCCGCCGAGAAAACCGGCACCCATCACAGTTGGTGCTCGCCAGTGGATATAGCGGAGCCTCTGGGAGTCTTTGATTTCGTTGACAATAACATTCCCATAGCGCTTTTCCGACATTGTGAGCGTTGAGCAGTCAAGGCAATTCGCTGTGGTCCGATGGAGAAACCTAGAGGGTGAGACTGGCGATAATCCAGGATAAGTTGTACATGTAAACGACCAAATATGATATACAAGACCAGTCCCTGACCTGCCCCACGGAGAATAACAGCCGGACACAGCGGGCGTTGATAGGGGCCAGATGTTCCACCACCGCTCTTCCGTCAGATATATATGACCTCCCTGGAACTGCGTGCAGGGCACCAGGGCCCTGACCAGCAACCTGGTTCCTTGTGGTGGTCATTCTGGGTAAGACGCATGGTCAGTGGCGTACAGTGCATGCGCAGGCGGCATAGCCGCTGCCTTCAACAACCCTGAAACGGCCCCTGCGTGGCCCTGTTTGACCAGCGATGGTCGGCGGTAACAGATTCTGCCATCTCAAATAATGGCCACCTAAACTCGAGGAACTACTTGTCGCAGATACAATGGCCTCGCACGGATTGTTGTTATTTCCAGGAAAATCAAAGGTTTAACACGGAAAGAGAGGAGAAAGAGAGAAGAGAGGTCAAGAAAAGGTCAATCCAAAACTGAACTGCTAGTCTGCCAAGGCTGGTGCCTATTGGCTAGTGCACAACTGCCTCCGTGACTTTGTTATGGCCATTGCTTGAATGACTTCAAGTTCGCTGCCTCATCAGTGGACTCGGCTCGAAATGAGACAAGGCTGCACGGCAATTACCATCCCCGAGGTCTCCTTCAGCAACAGTATGTGAACGGCTTTGGCTTCTCGAAATGCCCGATTCAGAGAGCGAAGGCTGGCAAGAACTCCAAACTGAGTCTCGCCGTCGATGCCCCAAGCTATTCTACTCCTTCTCCACCAAAAAAGAGTCGCTCACGCTTCTGTTAACCGATTTGATCTCTATTTGGGAATGCTCACTGGACAAATATGACATCCTCGCTGCAGCGGCTCGACAGCAGACGAGCATCGATCCATCCGTCTCATCTGACCAATTCGAAATATTGCTCTCCAAGATCCGCAAAAGTCTGAGCGACGGCGAGAACTCCATCAATCGCGACGGCCGTGGAAATTCGCAGGCGCTATTGCTACGGACGAAGATAGCTCTTCCCCGCCCACTCCGACCCCTCGAGTGGACATTCACCCTCGATCTCCGTGCAGCATCAGAGTTAGCAGAACGCATCCTCCGCCCCAGCTTGCATGAAGTTTTTGTCTCCCAGAACAAGATCAATTCCTTGCTCGGAATCATCAAGGACAAAGACCACGTCATCTCGCGCCTGCTTGAGAGAGTCGGCAACTCGGCCGTTGACCTGAGCTTGGTCTTCCCAGGTATAACGGGCTTTGCTTCACGTAAAGGCGGTCATGTGTCCGTCGCGGATGCAAAAAAGCATGTCCCCGGGATGTCGAGCTTCGATGAGAAGTCGTGGACGACACAATTTGCCAACAATGATGGTTACGAGGGAGCAGATCGGACAGGGTTGACTAACCTTGTTCGGGGCTGTGAGAAATGCTTCGTGCACACTAGAGCTGAGCATGAAAGCTGGGTGAAAGACCTTCCTTCCATGGAAATTCAAAATCTCAATGCTGCCAGCAAGAACCAACTTGGGTCGCCATCAACAAGCACCGGCCCCGTGCACCCAGATTTTAATCTCGAGACAACTGATGACGAGTTCGAGGTAAATGTTCCCACTGAAAACCTAATTGCCTCTGTGATTAAACCTTTCATAGCGTCAAGCAACTCCACCCCACTTGAAGTCTAAAGGTGCCGGAGGTAAAAGGGCGGCGCGAGCAGCGACAGATGACGAGGAGACCGAGGAGGACGAACTCGCCCCCCAACAAGCCCAGTCCTCCGCAATTGGCGGTCTAGGTCGACGAAATGCTACAAAAGCCTTTGGCGCTTCGATGCGCTCTCCAGAATCAGCCCCTTGTGCTAAGAACAAGTCCCCTTCACGTCGTCGGGCCTCCACAGCCTCGACAGCTACAGCAACAGCTTCAGAGGATAATGATGCCGATAACGAAGGACCCCAGCCACCTACCGCTCCGCAAAGTAGGAGCAGTCACTCAACGCAGAAATCCAAACTTGGCGTACTGCGGCCAAGAAGAATCTCTCCGACACCTTCACCGTCATCACTGGCACCACCAGCGCCAAAATCGAGGTCACCCACCTCTTCTGGGGGAAGAGGTTACAACGAAGGGCCCACTCCCCACAATTCGCGTGCCCCTCGTGTATCTATAACCCTAGAGGAAGAGGAAGTGACAGATGACCATCTAGACCCCGCGTCAACCTCATTCCCATCCCCATCCCCCCCACCTAAAGCAAAGCCTGCAACGCCAGCGCATGAAAGGTGCCGTCTAGGCCGCCTCGGAGGGAGGAAACAAGTAACTCCATTAAAGAGCACCTCGCCGGAGCCACAGGAGACGCCAAAGGGTGATGAGACCCCGGAGACACTGACTCCTACGAGGAGGAAACTAGGTCGACTCGGAGGTCCCCGCAAGAGTGATCGTGAGACAACAACCACCATATCGCCAAAAGCGCAGGACAAAGCCGGCATCGTCGACGACTCCTCGAACGCAACGAACTCTCCGTCTCCGCTTGCTTCGTCCTCGCGCCAGAAACTGCTGGGCGTAGAATCCGGAGGACACCGAGGACGCCAAGCCTCACGCCCATCGACCCGCAAGGAGCCTGTGGTGGAAGAAGAAACAAAGCAAAAAGAAACAGCCGAAGAAGCCGCAGGTCGGCGCAGGATGGAACTGAAGCGCACGATCGCTGCGACGGACGGTGGGAAGAAGAAGCGCCGGTTTTAACTCTGGTTTTAACTCTGGTTCTGGCTCTGGTTCTGGTTCCGGTTCTGGCTCTAGCTCTGGTTCTGGCTCTGGTTCTGGCTCTGGTTCTGGCTCTGGCTCTTCCTTGTCCTCGTTTCCATCCTTATCATCGTCCTCGTCCTGAATCCGGCATCCGAATCCGAATTCCATTCCCGAGTCCGATGCCGATGCCACCGTATCCTCCCAATTCAATCCAGCCCGGCCCAGATTCTGCCCATGCGTTGGAACCCGGAATACAAAATACGGAATACAAACTCCACATAACCGCAGTGCAGTGAAATGGCCATGACCAAAAGCCCTCCGCCCCTTCGACGCAGCGGACAGGCGAAGCCTGTACCGAACGAGTGACGAATATAGATCTCCAAAGAGGTGTGCGATGTAGCTGGCCATATAGGGTAAGATTGCGAAAAGCATGGGAGTTCGTAGGTAGAAGGTCCATGAAACGCAGCTACGGCAATTGGAATGCGCCGACTTGACCGGGCTGGACTGGGAACAGTTTCCCCAAAGGAAAGAAAAACAAGCGTGTTTGTTATGACGCTGATCTAACGCATTGCATTCATGTATCCAATCTGTGGTATTGTACGCTGTTTCGAACGCTGTTTCGATCGCCGTGGAGAGAAGATGAGCAAACACACACACCCACACATATGCACCATGTCTCCCTCTCTCGCGCGAGCGTCCATCTGCCTCACTCCCACTATCAAGTCCCAAGCCCAAGGCCGCGAGGCTAACACCTCTTTTCATATGTGCTTGCGCGAGCAAGACGAAGATCTTGACAAGCCCGAGATATCCGAAAAGAAAAGAGCAAAACAAAGACTTTTGTAACCGCCAGGGCGCATACTGCAACCCTGAATCGTTCCGTCCGTCGTGAAACCGTCGCATGGCTGGCGTTATTTTGGTCGTCCAATCACAACTGTGTTCGAGACTTCTGTGCAGAAACGAACAAAAAAGAATAAACAAATAAGACCTGAGAAAGATGTTCGGCTGCATGTTGCAAGGCCGACATGGAGCTGATCAGGTACAGCTTGCGGCAGCCTGGTGGCATTTCAAGGATGTCCTGGGGGCTTTCCGGAATGGCCGTGCCCACCATCTCCATGCCCCGTCTGGGAGCTGTCTGATCGATCGTCACCGTCTCGATCTCGATCGTGCTCATCCACCGTCCAGTTCGCCCGGAGATGACTGCTTTCGCTAAAATTGACTCTCTTATGGCTTCTGGACCACTGGCCCTTGTCCCGCTTCTTCGATTGCTCAACCTCTTCTTCACTGACACTGGCGCTGTCGGCCTCTGCCTCTTCCAACGCCTTCTTCGCCCGAGTCCTTAGCGCGGCGGCCTCGGCGGCGGCCTTTTGCGCCCGAGATTGCTTCCGCCACATGCTTGCGTATTTGCCACCCAGCGCGATGAGTTCTTCGTGCGTACCGCCTTCGACCACGGTTCCATGAGAAAGTACCAGGATCTGGCTGGCATTCACGATGGTGCTGAGTCGATGGGCGATGATGATCATCGTCCGTCCCTCGGCAAGAGTGTTGAAAGACTCTTGAATCTTCTCTTCAGTCTCAGTATCTAGAGCAGCAGTGGCTTCGTCAAGCATGGTGATGCGTGGGTTTTTGAGGATTGTCCGGGCTATGGCAACCCGTTGACGTTCTCCGCCAGAAAGACGTACACCTCGTTCCCCAACTTTCGTGTCGTAGCCGTTGGGAAACTCCATAATTCGGTCATGGATCGAGGCTGCCTTGCAAGCATCGAAAATCTCTTCATCCGTTGCGTTTTGATTGGCGTACTTCAGATTGTACATGATCGACTCATTGAACATGTTGCAATCCTGAGGCACTACCCCAATGAACTTCCGCAGTGAGTCGATGGTGATATCTTGGACGTCTCTGCCATCAACCTTGATCTGCCCGGAGTCTGGGTTATAGTAGCGGAAAATCAACCGCATCACAGTGCTTTTACCACCACCAGATTCACCAACAAGAGCAGTGGTCGATCCAGGCGGACAGCGAAAAGACAATCGGTCAAGGGCAGGTCTTCGTTTATCGTAACTGAAGCTCACATTGTCGAAGATGATGTCTCCGGAACATTCATTTAGCGTCTCTGCACCCTGGCGGTCAACAACATGCGGTTGTTCTTTGAAAAGTTCCAGCATCCTCTCTGCGTTGATGAGGTTTGATTGGATTGATCTGTAGAAGGTTCCGAAGAAATTCAAAGGGCCCTGCAATTGGGCCATGTAGGTTATCAGAAGCACGAAGTTACCCACAGTCTGGTCACCTTGTGCAACCTCAAATGCTTCGATGAAACTGGCGATCAGCAGTGCGATCATGAAGAGTGCACCCTGCACCGTGTTCATGTAGGCCAAGGTGACATCTACCCAATATTCGAAGTTCTGCATGACCTTGATCGAGGATCTGTACCGGTCAAACTCGTAATCTTCCGCGTTGAAATATTTCACCGTGTCCCAAGAGTGTAGAGAATCGTTTTTCACTGCTTCCATCTCTCGTTGAGCATTGACGTAACTCCGGCGCAAGGTGACTCGCCACGACGCAAGACGGATAGTGACATAGATGTATAAAAATGTCACAATCGCGACAACCAAACCGAGATATGCGTCGAACTTGATAGTGAGATACACGACCGCCACCACGAGATCAAAGACCATCGGTCCGACTTGAAAAGTCACCATTTCGAGGAAAGAGTTGATGGAACTTCCTTTGTTCAAGGCCGAAATCAACTCGCCAGTGCGTTTTCCGGTGTGAAACTCCGCGCTCAGACCATGGACGTGCTCGAAGGCTGCCGTTGATATCGCACGGTAGGAGTACTGCTCCACCGGAATCCAGAGAATTGATCTTGCGGCACTGAGGATGCCTTGGGAGCCTTGTAACCATCTGAACAAGATGTACAAAGCGATATCCAACCAGGGGGCTCGGATTCCACGGCCATCATCGCCGGATAGGGCATCTGTAATTTTGCCTACCATGACAGGGACAAAGACATTGATGACTCGTTGACTGATCATGATGAGAAAGCAGGTGCCCGCAAGAAGCTGCAATTTGAAGGACTTTTTAGGCCAGAGATAAGGTATCAGCAAAAGGAACCCTCTGAGGTACGCAAACCAGGTAATATTTGGAACCTCAGTTGGTTTGGCCCAAGCGTCGACTTGCTCTTTAGGTTCTGATGACGGATTGTTTTGGTGGTCTCCATGGTGAGCATGGCCATTCGGATGTCTCCCGGCTTCTGAATCTCCGCCGAGCAGAGGGCTTCTCTCATCCTCGGTAGCTGAAGCTGACTCCTTAGGTCTCCCCCAGTTGAACAAGAGGACGAGAAAGAGGACGGTCATGCCGAGGAGGAAAACAAGTCGGCCAAGATTGACAACGACTTCCAACGTCTCCCATCCTGTGATCTTTTCCCTATACTTGCCTCCTTGCTGGTTGCCTACGCGAGGTTCATAATGGGGCGCGGTGTATACTCGAAGGCTTGCTGCGACTATGATGACTTCCAAAGGTACTGCGCTGAGCCACGTAACAAAGTGGGCGGAGTTGGGAGAGGGTTTTGTATCCAGGATAGAGATGAAAACCACGAGCCAGAGGAATGTTGAAGCTATAACATAGATCTAACGTCGTAAGTTACAGTGCGGGATAGGATTGAGTGGACGCGAACATACCACAGCATTTTTCCCGGGCCACCATTCATCTTTTCGATTCAGCAAGGTCTCGAAGAGAAGAATCGCCGCGTTGCCCAAAAAGCTTAAGATGACAACGACCTGGCCGACCTTGAAAACGGTCTTGACTGCAGGCGATAGATCCTTTACCGCCGCAGCTTCCTTGACTTGATTGGCGGATCTCCTTCGGACGGGGAGAGGTCTTCCACCAGGACCTCGCATTGGGTGAATCTTAACCTTGCCTCCATCATCAGGCGCGGTCTTGATGCCGTGGTAGACAAATGCGACAACAAAGACGATGAGAAGAATGACAGGGTAGGTCCATTTTGCCAAGTTCAAGACCCGTAGAGAGGCTCGAATCGCATCCAAGTCTGGCTCCGCGGGCATATTATTCACCCAGTCCCTCAACAGTAATTAAGATGTTCGCGAAACAAGGAAAATCGAGAAAGCCTCCCAGGATCACAGATTTTTGAAAGATTTAAGGCTCGCCTTTTATCAGGGAGACAAGCACAGGTCTTGCTGGACTCGTGAAGGTCTCGCCGTCGCGTCCACCAAAGAGTGCCAGGGGAGTCCGCTTGTCTCTGCCGCCTCGGTCGATGAAAGAAATTTTCTGAGAACCGGAAGGCAGTGTATGAGACGTCGGGTTCTCTTCGTCTGGGAAAAGGAAATGGGCGTCAAAAGGGTTGAGCGAAAGACGGAAGGAACGATTACAACAACGAAAGAAAATGGTGTTGAGGAGCGAAATTTAGCGATTGTCGTCGTTAGGACAAGTGATGTTTGCAGGTGTTGAAGAGAACGTGTGAAGAATGACGACGTAAGTTCGAGAGTTGGCCTGCTGGTGGCGATCGAGCCGGGGGGAGCGATCTGGGAGGCGACAAAGCTGGGGCGGGGGTGGTTGTGGTCTGGTGGTCTTGTGGTCTGTTGGTCTGGTGCAATAGTGGAATGGTGTGGTGTGCAGTTGGCGGCTAGTGTGGTGTCTATTCCCCCTTCGGTGGCCGCTGCTAAGGGCCCAAAAGCTTTTAACCCAGCTTTCGATACCTAGATCTGGCTCATCAAGGCTCACCAAGGCTCACCTTTCTCTTTGCGGGCTGCGCCGTCCTGTCGCGTGACAAACTGCAGCAGTGATTGGGCCAACGCGGTAGTCCGGTAATGGCCCGTGAGCTGAGTGTGAGGAATACTTTTCGCTGGAGATGGGCCGAGACAAACGGCTCAGTGAATGGCGGCGCAGTCAATAGTAGCGGTGATGGGTGGGGACCTGTTCTGACGGCCAAGGAAGCTCTCCTTGAGTAGTGACGGCAATCTGACGGCGCTGTTGTTGGTGGAGGAGGTCAAGGGCGAAGGCGGAAAGGCGGAAGGAGGGAGTAGTGGACGGCAGCTAAAATATGTCACTGGACCTGACGGTGTCCCCGTGCCTAGCGTCGCGTCACGTAACCGGCACGTCTCCCAAGAGCACAGGAGAATTGCAAATGTCAGATGTCGGATTTCAAATGTGCGATGTCCAGAGCAAAGACCAGTCTGGTGAAACGGGGAAACAAGTAGATGTCAACCTGGAAGTCGACGACAAAGCAGAAGGGGGAAAAGAAGTGGTTGTGAGATAAGCCCGGCTTGAGTTTGACGGGAAGACACAGAGAGCAGTTTGCAACTGATTGAATTGACAAATGTTGATTGTCAGATGTCTAGCAGACAACAGAGGGAGGGAGAGGATCGCGGTCCCAAAGGACAATGCTGAGGCAAATATACAAATCCATGGCTGGCGATACGGGGAGCAGAGTGAGATGAGGGTGAGGTTCATGTTCCCGCTAGCTTCGAGTAGCTCGATGGACTAGGTATCGGATGGTGAAGGGGAAGTGAATTGGATTTGAGATAGGTTGAATCCAACATCTGTCAGTGGCCTCAAATGAAGTTGACCTGATATCCGAAGGGTGGAAATGTGCGTCGCGGGCAGGAAATGGTAGGAAATGCAAGCAATGGAATGATGGATGGAGATGGAGATGGGCAATGAGAAAGAAATGAGGACAAGCTCACTCACCGCCCGGCCAGAAAAATGCAGACAATCCAAGATTCTGCATCCGAAGTCGAGTGCTTAAGAGAGCTCTAGGTACAGTAGTCGCCTGTCGACTGTAGTGTTGGCACCTTAGCAACAACAGGCTGTACGAATGGAGAGAGGCGAGTGACGGGATCTTCACGCCCAAGCCCAGGCGACTCGTCCGGATGTAAAGGGCCAGAAATCCGATGGTTCCATTATGGCAGTCCCCCTGCTGCCTCTGGGACATCATTTCCAGCATCTTGTAGCATTTAGCGGTTAGGCGCTATTCCAGCACAATGGTTATACCTGGGAAAGGGAAAGGCACTTGTCCGAACCGCATTGGAGGGGGGCTGCTCGGCGTCTCCCTAATGTACCGGGTAAGTAGGGCAGCTAATCAACCGCCCAAGCCCCCTATATTATGTCCTAATCGAGTGTATGAGGGGAAAAACTCCGGGGCACAGAAACCCATTTAACCGGCGCCCTCGTGGCTTAGGCAAGCCTGTAGGGGTTGTACAACTAACTCAACTATGTCTGTAGGTGTACTTAGGAACCAGGGTAGTGGCTGCCGAGTTACCTACTGTAGGCACTTAATGTGTCCTCGTAGCCGTCTGCAATGCTGGGCACCTGCAAGCATGGCTATAGGCTTAGGGGCCGGTGGCTACAAGACCTGCAGCACACTGCCCAACAGGCCAGCTCCCCCGAAACTCTAAGCGCCGCAGCCTTAGCACAGGCTTGCGCAGAGGGAGCCTTTCCGCCCAGCCAATTGAGGCTCTGTCATACCCTGCTCCACTTCCAGCCTTGCAACCACTCGCCTGGTGCGCCTGCGCCCCATATTACCACGTCTCGACGCTATCGGTTCTTTCAATTCTCTCAATGCCTTTTGGCTGCCCTCGCTTTGGTCTTGTTTGCATCTGCATCATCTCTGCGTCGCTTTCTCAGCCTGCATATCCCAACCCGCAGCTACTTTGCAGGACGCAGACCTCTCGCGCTGATTATCCCGTCCAATGATGGCTGGAGCCAACAGCAATGAGCCTGGTCCATCCTTTTTCACCCGCAGTCATCTCGTCATCGATATTCGGGACGTCCGCGGATATCGCTGAGTCGACAGAAGAGCATGTCTGATCCTGTTCCCTCCGAGTCGCAAAATCTTCTTCCGCCTCCACCAGCTCCCCCATTACCGCCCGGCCGGCTAGGCCAATTGCAGAGAATCATCGCTCCCTGGGGCAAACATATTGGTTCCAAATCGCATGGGGGCCCAGTACAGGGCGACCGTGATGGCGGTCTGCGTCGAATCACTGGCATACACACGTACAGGCATGAGTGGGCTGCTCGCTTGCTGCTGCTATTGTCGACGCACTGACTAACTGCGACCACCAGCTCGCACTCCTCCCAGACGGCCACCCATCGAACAGGCATTCCCATTGCCGCCCTCGACATTAACAGACAGAAGACTCATGCCGTCTTGGCCGGCAAAGAGATACTGAAGACAGTTCGTGTCCACGATGGCAAAGTCACCGAAGACCTAAACATTCGGGCCTCCATCAGCTCCTATGCCTCCGCCCACTCCTCGCCGCAGTTGGATAGCGCCGAGAGGCGGAGGGATTATCTTCCTGCAAGAGACGTGAAGTGGTCAATAGGCAATTGGGAGCACATTATAGCGACGGCAGCCACGAATGGTCGCATTGCGCTGTACGACCTAAATGCCCCAAGTGCAAAGACCGAGTTGGCATGGCTCCACGAGCATACCGGACAGATCAATAAGCTAGACTTTGATCCTCATGCCGGATATCTGTTGCTCTCGGCCAGCCAAGATAAGTCTGTCCGATTATGGGACATGCGACAGCCTCAGCGTGACAAGTCCCGCATAAGGTTTGAGGTGCGCAGTGCCGTCCGCGACGTCCGTTGGTCTCCGGTAGACCCATTAGATTTCGCCATCTGCGCAGACGGAGGTGTCGTTCAGAAATGGGATGCTCGCGTACCAGTCGCGCCCAAGCTGAGTATTAACGCGCACGAGAAAGCTTGTTACTCTATAGACTACCACCCCGATGGGCGTCATGTTATCTCAGGTGGGTTCGATAAGTACGTCAGAGTATGGGATTTCGAGAGCGACAAAAAACGCCAGAAGCCTGTCTTTCAGCTCAGAGCGCCTCACGCTATCAGAAACATCAGGTGGAGGCCGGCCTGCAAGGCGCCGGAATCGACAGAGTCGACCTTGTGGCAAAGCACCCAGGTCGCTGTTTCGTATTATCACGACGACCCTCGACTGCACATCTGGGACCTTCGACGGCCGCTCTTGCCGTTTCGAGAACTCGATAGGTACAGCATGCCTCCGAACGATCTCTTGTGGGCAGATAAGGATCTGCTTTGGACTGTGGGTGATGAAGGCATCTTCACTCAGTGGGACCTCAAGCACACGGTACCCTTCTATAACCAAATCGCTCCCTGCACCTCCACATTCCTCCCCGATGGGGAGTATTACACATTTTCCGAGGAAAGGGACGTCCAACGGGTATCCTTCTTGGATGACGCTGCAGCAGGCTTCTTGAATGTGCCGCGAGACAAATTCAGCAGTGGTGAGGATGGCGCGGCAAGCCGAAGTCTTACGGATGATGAAGGGGCCCTTGAGTCGACGGTGGGGACGAGCTTCCGTCGACGTGAAGGTGTCAGTGTGCCCGCGAGACCTATCAAGTCTCACACGAACAGTCCGTCGTCAATGGACGATAAACCGCCGATCCTCCCTCTAGATGCCGCAGTCCTCAACCGTCAAGGTCTGTTTAACAACAATCAGGAGGGTGCCGTTGGCTTTATTCCTGGTGTGGCAACCGAGCCGCAAGTGGTCGAATACTTGGCTTCACACTATGCGATTCCAGCGACGATTGATGACAACAAGTCATCTCCAGACACAATACTTCAACGCTTGCAGAATGCCTTCCACCAGAACGCTGCTGCATGCGACGCGGTGTCCATGCATCGTATGGCTCAGTCTTGGCGGATTCTAGGAGCAGTGATTGTCCCAGAGCTCAAGGATTGGGCGGACGCGAATCGTGCCGACCGTCGAGCCGACGCCGCCAGAAGACGTGAGACTTTGGAGAGCTTTCGAGCTGGAGGGCACCGCCCGGGTCTTTCTCCGCTAGCTGGACTCCCACACCGGGGCTTCAATCCGAAGGCCGATAACAAAGGCCAGAAACTCATGAGCAGTCTGTTCAAAGGCGTCGCTGCAGGAGAGCGCCAGCAACAGATATCTGAAATAGACAGCACTTCCAATATGACGACGCCGTTGGTCAAACCATTACCAAATTCACCTCTGCCTAGCTTAAAGAGACGGTCCCAACCAACCGCTGAAGAGGGACTGGACAACATTGCACCTCTGCCTCCCTCGGTCCTGACCTCACACTCAACCGCCGCCGCAGCAGCTCGAGCTCTGATTGGTTCCCCCAACCAAGCAAAAGGATCGGACACTTCTCCACCTGAACTCCTTAGAAGTGCTGAGGAATCGAAGAAACTCCCAAGGCTGACCGAATCGCCAGTCTCTCCGGTCAAGAGGCCACGGTCCGATCTTTTAGTCGAGCAGAAGCAGACGCAAGGCCAAAATAGGAGCCAGGAAGATCGCAGAGCAGCATTACGCGATTATCGCATCCAAGCTCGACCTCTATTCTCCTTGGCTGATTCGACAAATAATGTAGCTTCGGAAAGCAGGCCCGATTCTGATGAGAGTTTCCCAATGTTTTCGGTGTCAACAGACAGCTCGCATCGGTCCCGATCAATTGGACAGTCGTTTGATTCTCCTGGTGAACGCTTGAGGAGATCTGCGAGACACTCGGCGAGAGAACCCATCTTCAATCAGGATGATGAATATGAACTGTCTTCTTCAGACGATCATGGCGGTAGGAGGCTCGGTCCCAAATGGGGAAGGACGGCCGCGTCGGACGAGCACGAAATTGGCTTGTCTGCCATTGAAACACCACTCGAAATGAGCTTTGGACCTGGTGGACAAGGACGGCCCTCCGAGTCATCTCCAAAGGATCAAGCCTCATTGCATGCAATTCCGCAACATGAGTCTGTGCCTCCCTCGCACTTGGATACAGCTGCATCATCGTCGCCAGATATTTTTCAGTTTGAAGAAGCAGCCTCAATCACCAAACCACGGATACATACGTCGAATCCTATCAGAACGGAGCTCACAAATCGAGGTGCCGGTGACGACATTCAACGCCCTGGAAATGGATTTCTAACTCGACTCTCTATGGAAGAGTTGGACCATGAGACGTACCTGTACCAAGATTTTCGGCCCATTGATCTATCCCAATATGAGCCGAAACTCCCATTCGCATGGTCATCGCTTCCTTTGATATGTCAATGCATATCGTTCGACCTAGAGAACGGAATCGGTCAGGCGCAATTTGCCGCGCACCTTCTGATGCATGTTCATCCATACTTTTTCCATGCAAGCTTTCGCAAACTGAAACGAGGTGAAAAAGAGTTTGCGGACAGTCTCGCCGATAGATTGATGACACCGCGGCTCGGACACCGGATCATCCAGGGGATCTTTGAGAACCACGTTTCATTTCTGAG